GAAAATAAAAACTTGATTGATTTTGACCTTTATTCCACTGATTCCACATTTTATCCTACATTAATGCCAACTAAATACAACAATAATACAGCTAATGTCGACTCTACCAACACTCCTCCACACGTGGTGATTGAAACGCTACCCATTATATATCCCAAATCTTTTATTGATGATTTACAACATCTTTCCGATTTAAATGCTATGGCTACTACTCTTCCACTCTATCCTGTCATGTACAATGGTCAAGTTTTACAAGTTCTCATTGATTCCGGCGCTAGTGAAAACTATGTCTCTCCTCATGTTATCAAATCCCTTGATAATCATCGTCTTATCCCCGTTACTGATCGTCATGTTGAAACTGCTGGTGGTATGGTATCCCAAATCAAGCACAAGGTGGAAATGATTCTCAATTTAAATGGTGTTCAAGACAAGATCACAGCCTTTGTATTCACTACTAAATTTGATTTGATCCTTGGTCGTTCTTGGTTAAAGCAGACCAGACCTTTGCCTGATTGGAACACAGATACCTGGTATTTAAATAATGGACGTGTCAAATTAACACCTTCTACAAACATAAAACGTTACTCACCTACCTCTCTTCCTAATTTAAATTATCTCATCACTCACAAACAAGCAGATCGTATTATTAAAAAAGGCGGTGAAAGCTTCCTTTTTGTTATCAAACCCGTTCACCCAGATACTGCATATTCCCTCGATAAAACCACCTATTGGAATGATTTAGTCAAAGAATTTACTGATGTTTTCAAAGACACTCTACCTGGCCTTCCACCTGATCGTGGTATTCATCATTTGATTGATACTGGTGATGCTCGACCTGTCTCTCGTCCTCCTTACAAAATGAGTCCACTCGAACTTGAAGAATTACAAAAACAATTGACCGAACTTCTGAAATTAGGACTAATCAAACCTAGCTCTTCTCCTTGGGGTGCTGGTGTATTGTTTGTTAGAAAGAAGCCTGATCCTGGATCCAATAAGCCTGGTTCACTTCGCATGTGTGTCGATTATAGATCAGTAAACAAATACACGGTTCGTAACAGTTCAAGCTTACCACGTATTGACGAATGCTTAGACAAGTTGAGTGGCGCGCGTTATTTTACCAGTTTAGATTTACGTAGTGGTTACCATCAAATTCGTATTGCTCCTGAAGATGTTCCTAAAACTGCTTTTAATACTCGTTATGGACAATTCTCATGGCTCGTTTTACCTTTTGGTTTGTGTAATGCTCCCCCGGTTTTTCAAACGTTGATGAATAGAATTCTTGGTGATTACATTGACAAGACTACCATTGTTTATCTCGATGACATTCTGATTTATAGCAAGACATTAGAAGAACACAAGATTCATGTTCGCCAGATTCTGGATGTGTTAAGAAAAGAAAAACTCATAGCCAACTTGAAAAAATGTGAGTTTTGTAAAAAGGAATTAAATTTTGTCGGTTTTAGAATTACAGAGACTGGCATATCCCCAAGCCCTGAAAAAGTACAGGTGGTACAACAATGGCCAAGAATGAAAAATGTGCAAGAAGTACGTCAGTTTATTGGTTTTGCTCAATTCTACAAAAGATTTATCAAGAACTTTGCCTCTATTGCTGCTCCTTTAACAGACCTCACCCGAGGTACAGGTATTAAAACACGACCGATAGTATGGAATAACGATTGTCAAATCAGTTTTGATAGGTTAAAGCAACTATTGTCTTCCAGTCCTGTGTTACAAGTTGTACGCATGGATAAGCCTTTCCGTATTGAAGTCGACGCTTCCGATCGTGGTTGTGGCGCAACCTTACTTCAACCTGATGATGACCCCAATTTGCCCTGGCATCCACTTTGTTTTGAATCTAAGAAATTTGCTGATTCCGAATCCAAACTTCCTGCTCAAGAAAAAGAATTATTAGGCATCTTACATGCGTTACGTACCTGGCGTTGTTATGTTGAAGGCTGTCCCAAAGGTTACACTGTTTACTCTGATCATTTGCCCTTACAGTATTTTCGATCTAAAGAAAATCCACCGAATCGATTAGTAAGATGGATCAATGAATTGGAATTGTACTCACCTGTAATTTTGTATAAACCCGGCAAAGAAAATACCGTTCCTGATATTTTGTCCCGCATGAATTTCGAATCTACCGATGCTGTTAAACCAATGGAACCTGATTATCTATACGTTACTTGGACCCAACTACCTGCTAAACTTCGAAGTGATTGGCCCATGCTATTAATCCCGGAAACACGTGAAAAGGTAAAATCTGCGGAAGTAAAAGCCATACTTGATAAAGAAGAGAAGTATTTTCATGTTACTGCTAATCAAGTATATCGTAAGATTGCTGTAGATGCAAAGACTGGTATAAAACTTGTTCCTTTTTTACCTTTTGCCCAACGTGCCGATACTGTTGCTCGATATCATGATTCTTTTGGTCATGCTGGTTACAAGACTTTGTTAAAAATGTTGATTCCCCGCTTTTGGTGGCCATCTATGCGCTTGGACATTCAACAATGGATCAGTGTTTGCCCCTCTTGTCAAGTAAACAGTCGTAAAGGTCTTGCTCATCATGATGAAATGCACCCTCTGAAAGTACCTACTGCGTTTGACCGTTGGCATCTGGATTTTTTAGATTTACCTACAACTTTGAAAGGTAATCGTTGGCTTTTGGTTGGTGTGGATTACGCCACAAATTGGTGTGTTGCTCGAGCTGTTCCTGTGGCTTCTAAAGAAGTTGTAGCTGATTTTATTTATGAAGAAATTGTCATGAATTTTGGTGTAATGTCGGAGATCTGTACAGACAGAGGCGCTAATTTTACAAGTGGTCTTGTACAAGAGTATATTAAACGGATTGGATCTAAATTCAAGTTGACATCTGCATATCATCCCCGTACTAATGCAAAAGCTGAAAGATTTAACGGTGTAATTAAACAAATGTTGCGAAAGTATACAAATGGTGCTCTTCATCGCTGGGACGATTTTGTTCATGCTGCTCTCTGGGCATGTCGCATACGTTTACATACCACTACTGGATTTAGCCCGTTCTACTTGACATATGGTCGTGAGCCCCGTCTACCTGGTGATGTGTTACATCCCTACATTGATAATGCAACTTTTGCTGATCCTCGTACTGTTGCAGATATTACCTCTCGTGAACTCGCTGATTTAGGTCAACACCGTGCTGCTGCTGAATTTCGGTTAAAGGCTATGGCTGAAAAAGACAAGATTCGTTGGGATGCTGCTATTAAGAAGGTCACTTTTGAACCTGGTGATATGGTTATGCTCACACATGAAGGTCGTTATGGTTTAGAGCCCAAATTTAAAGGTCCTTTTATTGTAGTAGAAGTTTTTCCAGATTTTGGTACGTATAAACTACAAACCCTTGCTGGTGAACCGTTAAAGTCACTTGTTCATGTTGATAGGTTACGTATTGCACGCGGTGATCGCCCTGAAGAACCTTGGTATGATCCCACTTCTGCTCGTCGTGAATACAATACTATCATGAAAGACTTGGATAACACTACTGAACCTCTTAAAGGTGACCATATTGATCCTCTACAACCTGACTTTGTACAAACTTTTGCTCATGATATCACTGTTCCTCCTGTCTCTAATTCTGTCCCTTCTGTTCCTTCTGTTTCTTCTGTTCCTTCTGTTCCTTCTGTTTCTTCTGTTTCTTCTGTTCCTTCTGTCCCTGATTCTGTTCCTGATTCTGTTCCTCTTGTTTCTGATTCTGTTATTCCAACATCGTCAACCGCCATTCCGCAGGAAGACACACTCATGTTGCCTGAATCTCCCAAACTCGCTATTGCAGTTGTTCCAAAAGTTCCTAGTTTACCTCCCTCGCCTATTGTTTCTAATGCTGTCTCGTCTACATCTGCCAGTGTTCAGAGTCGAACACAAGGTTTAAAAGGGGGTAATGTCAAGCCCATAATTGTCGATGGTTCTGATGCTTCTCTAAGCCACATTCCGACCCGGACTCTTGAACCCGACCCGGACTCTACCATGGACGTTGAAATGCCGCTGGAGATCGAATTACGATTAAAGAAAGCTAAACTTCTAAAAAGGAAGTTTGTACCCAAGATAACCAATGCCAATAGAAAACGGCCAAAGAAGTAACACCACTTTATTATAAATATCACAACACTACTTCTACATTCAATAACCTGATTACTTATATTTATCACAATCAATCTTTATATCTATCACCATACTTTTATTATATTATCACCATACATATCAACATCATATTATCACATTATTATCACATTCTATATATCCCCCAAACTAGTATAAATAGCTCCTAGCTTTGTATCAAATAAACATTATCTTCTATTTTATATATCTTAAGTATATATCTACTTATTAACTGATTAACCACTGAGAGTTGAATCTTAACCCTATTAAACCTATTACAAGACTGATAATTAATTTTAGTTTTTGCAATACTAAGTCGTTATATGTAAAACATTTTGGTCACGTGAATATCACGTGTAAGGCTGCTGATTGGTCATGTTGCTCGTTTATTATGTCATATTTCAGGTACGGGTATTGATTTATTGGTGGTGTTTAAGAAACCTTTAATAAAACGTCATAGAGTTAATGCACTTGCAAATCGACCATTATACGATGAGTTATTAATTTTTAAAACGGGAGTAAAACAAAGTTAGTATTAACAGAAACTTAAATGAAGAAAAAAAAATATCCCATTATTGAACAGATAGTGAGGGATATTGGCTAACTGTAAGTGTCATATTAAAAAGATCATGATTGTCAAAAATTACCATAGCAAATGGCAACAATTTCAAATATTATAAATACATTGTGTCTAAAAGTTGATCAGAACTTCACCGTCATACTAACACCCTCGCTAAATTGTGGATTTCAATCCAGGTTTCTCCAAATAAAAAAAAAAAAAAAAAATGTAAGCTCATTTACGTGAATTATAGATTCACAGATTAGAATTACAAGTTTAAATAAAAGCAAATGAAAAATCAATATTTATAATACAAATGGGTGGCGAGGTTTTTTATTTTTTTAAATCTAAAATTATCTTCTATTGCCACCCTTCTTACGTTTACTTGCCTCGAGATTGGGAGCAGATACCTTCACTTTACCCATCATGGTATTGATGGCTTCCATATCAGGCACACTTTTAATCAGTTCCTTTTCACGGGGTGTGGCATCTGAGAGGTTAAAGAAAACGGATTGAGCTTGCTTTACGGCCTTACCACGTTTCAGCGAACCTGGAGTCAACTTGACCTTGTACTTGTATTTCTGAATGGCAGAGTAAGGAGCACAAACAGGGATAGCAAAATGAATGATATCTTCAGGTAAAGGATTAGGTGTGAAAGAATCCAGCACAGAAAGATTGGCCACTTCATCGGCTTCCAACATGGTGATATTTTCTTCCTTTAACATTTGACGGATAGTTTCTGTGTCCTTTTCATCTACACCTTCTTCTACAGCTTGTTGTTTCAGTGTCTCTACTTCCTCTTCCTCCTTTTTCTTTTCCTTTAATTGGGCCTTTTCTTCAGTGCTCTTTTTATAGGCAGCTCTTTCTTTTTCTAAAGCAGCCTTTTCTTCCTTGGCTTTAGCATCACGCTTAGCCTTTTTACCCTTGGGTTGAGGTCCCTTATTTGACTATTTGAAAATGTTAGATATAAAATGAAGGGTTGAGACTTTTTATAACACAAAAAAATTAACTTACGGCTAAAAGTTCCATACGAAGTTGCTTTTCTTCCTCATCTTGATCAGCATATTTATCCTTAATCTTCTTTGCTTTACCCTTGCGTCCACGTGTAGGAACGGGGGGAGCCACCACCTTTGCCTTGGCAGGTTCTTGTTTAGGTTTGGGTTGTTTTTGCTTTTGTTGCTGTTGTTCTTGTTGAGCTTTGATAGCGTCTGTGACTTCGGTAGCGTTTAATTTTTTCATCAATCTACGTTCCTTTGCCGTTATAAATTTCTTGGCAGGTGTATTAGAACCGCTTGTGGGGGTATTTGCAGCAAACTCTTTTTCATCCGAATCTTCTCCATAGTCTTCTAAATTATATTTATCAGCAGTCTTGGGTTGTTGCTCTTTATTGATCGTTAAAGATTCAAGTTGAGTATCAGGGAAAGCATTTTCATCATCTTCATCGCTACTGCTATCATCATCGGAGTCCTCTTCTTCACTTTGTGACTTTTCTTCACCAGGTGTAGAAGTTCCTATTAGAAAAATGAATATTCAATGATCTTAGAATAATAATAATAATAATAAAATCGTTACCTGATGTTGTGTCTGATGCTTCGTTTGTCTCTTCAGTTATAGGTGCACTTTCTTCTTGCTTTTCTGAAGTGGTTGTGGTTGTGGTGGTGTCTTCAATAGCTTGAAGGTAGTCCTGCTTATCTGATTTAGAAGCTTCTTGTGTATCCTGCTCTTCATCTTCTTGATCATTTCCTTTGACGTGATTACCGATACAAGATTCATCCAGTTTAAATACATAACCGAAGCCATAAACAAGTTGAACCGGAGGTAAAAAGTTCTTTTTACCACGAATCATGAAACTACCTGTAGTGAGGTATTCACCAGAAGGAGCAGACTTGGAGACCTGATCCGGATAGACCCAGTAAGCACTGGTAACCATTTTAGCTTCCCAAGCTTTGCTTTGACAGACGGACATGATACCAGCTTGATACAAGGTACTGGGAGGAATAGGTTGACCGTTGGCATTAGGTTTGTTCTTAACAATAACACTAGCGGCACCGTGAAGATCAGCATGAACGTAAGCATCATCCTTGGTAAGATAACGTTTTACTAAGAGCTCGTTTTGTTGCATATCACGACCGGCAATGATGAGATGACCATCGGTAGAGATAAACCATAAGAATTTCTCGAACCAAAAAGGCTTTCTGATCTTATTGATGGTAGCGGTAATTTTAGTTTCTTTCAGATCTTGACGGATTTTACGTTCGGCAGATTTGAGAGCCTTGGAGGAAGCTTCGATTGTCTTTTCATGCTTTTGAGCGGTACTCTTCTTTTTTTCATAGTATTTTCTGGCATTAGCAAAAGCGGTTAAGCCAATTTCTACATCGACCTTGTAGGTTTGTTGTTCCTTAGGTTTAGTATCTTCGTCCTCGCTATCCTCACTTTCGCTATCTTGTTCATCTTCAGGATCGCTATATTAAATGTACATATCTTTTCATTTAGCACCTTACTCTTTTAGTTTTTTTGCTTGTTTTGTAGTAACTTACGTCAAAATTAAAGTCAATTGATTTGTATCCAATTTCAATGTATCAATGATCAAAGCGATTGGATTTTCACGTCTTTTTTCTTCCTTTACCAAATCATTTAAATCTTGCCAATCCATTTGACTAGCGACAGCATTACGAATAATGGTGATGGCAGCATCGACTAATTGAAGATTCAATTCGATCAACTGAGCTTTACGGACATTGGTGATTTGTTGATCCAAAAGGATATTGACTCTCTTTTCCTGTTCTTTACGGACCGATTCTAATTTCTTTAAAGCGGCCTCCTCTTGACGTCTGGTTTTTAATTCGAGTTTTTGAGATTCGATGGCTGAAAAGAACTCATCCACGGCGCTATCAAACGTAGGGAATTCCTTGTATTTACGGTTGGCGAATTGCTTATATAAAAATGGATGGAATTCGTCATAGCTTTTTTTTTTTTTTTGGAAAGTATAAGTTTACTTGTTCTCTCTCCATAAAAAAAGGCAACTTACATTTCGACCTGTTCCTCCTCATTTTCAGTCTTTGGTTTAGAGTCATCATCAAGTAAGATAATGTATCCATTAGGAACTACATTTTTGGTGGATTCAATCAATTCATCACCTTTTGCGAAACCCTCCAAAAGATTGCTCAACATGGGAGAATCTATAATTCCATTTTTTTTTTTTTAGAATCTATCCATGCCTATCTTAATTCTATTTACCTTCAGAAGTATCAAAATCGGTTGCCACCTTCATATTTGGATCTAAATTAGCTTCAAGAATGATATCTTCAATCATAGCAGGACCATACTCTACAATTTTTTTTTTTATATGTCAGTCATTTTTTTTTTTGTTTTGTTTAAAAATTCATTTCTTTGTACGTGTTTGGTACATACCAAATTTAATGTTTAATAATTTCTTTAACGTGTCCTTGGGTCCAGCAGATCTCAAAGCTGTTCTCAATTGATCCACTTGCACTTTTTCAAAATCGTTCAAGACAGATTTGATATTGTAAGTTTCTCCAACCGCTACCTTGTAAGTGTCGGAGGGTTGAACTGCACGTAATACGGCTAAAATTCGATATTCGTGATCTGTCAAAATGACGTTACCCTTAAAATAAGATAAAAAAAAAAATTAGTTTAGAGTGCTACTAGTTTGTCTGCTTAACTTACAGATGAATAGAATTCACAAATAATATGGTAACCAATGCCCATCTCTCCACCAGCAAACTCAAAATCGACAATACGGTCAACACCCAATTGACGAACGTTGGTGACACGACGAGTACGAAGATGTTTACGAAGCTATAAAGATTGACATGAGTGGGTCATTTCAGCAACTGGATGAATGAAGAAAATAAAAACCTTTGCACAGAATGGGGAAGGAGTAATAGACTTGTCTCTACTGAACTGGGTTGTATGGATACGAACACCCGATTCGACTAATACAAGTTCCTTATCATCAGGCTGCAAAAGAAAAAAAAAAGAAAATTTAGTTACTGTTAGAATAATGGTAAGCGTCTTATTTTACCTTTGCAAACTTGAAGAGAAAAGTCTTTGCGTTTACGTCATAAATGTTTTGCAAACGAATACCAATCAATCTAAAGTTAAAGACGTTCAATTAAAAGCTTCCTGAATAAAATGTATATGTGTAGCGTACCTTTCTCGAAGATTGATAACTGTGGCTCGGACGTCTAAAGCGTTGAAACGTTGCTTCATATGAATAATAGAGTAGAAACGCGAAAAAGGATGATGTAAAAATGCACTTTTTTTTTTTTTCCCTTCTTTTAGGCGGGGCATCTATTTTAAGAGAGAGCTAGTGTGACGGTGATTCTGTCCTACTGCTGCGGTTTGCCACTGCACTGCGGCGCATTTATAAAAAGCTTTTTTTTTTGGGTGCATGATGTCAAGTTAGTTTGAATTCTAAATTTTGGTAATACAGATAAAGTGAGGGGGCGGGGTGTGTGCATAATATAAAATCTGTCATTTTGTCGGGATATCAACTTGCTTGCTCATCAGAAGCGTGATGTAGTTATCATGGCAGAAAGTTTAGTCAGTGCTTGCTACAAAAATTGGGAGGAAGTGGGGGGGGGGAGGTGAAATGCTCCCCCACAAGTGTTCGGAATCAGAAAAATCCACACGACTGAAAGTATCCTGGGGTTCTTCTGATGTATTGAGTTCAGAGATTCCTTATTGATATGAATATGGTCGGCGCAAATATTAATTGTAGTCGTCGGGTACTGGCCCTTCACAATTACCCCAAAACTGGATTGGAAACTCAGACGCGTCTAGGAAAGAATGTTGAGATATTCCATTTCGGCTATGACAGATAGTTGGTAATAGATGTCATAAAGTAGGCAAAATAATCAAAAAGTTAAATGAAAAGGTTTGTTATAAACAACAGAAACCTAAAACGAAGAAAATGGTATACAATGCCCGGTATATCTTTTCCCCATTTTATATCCAACAAAAAAATACACACGCTATGGATGGACGTAACTTTCAAATTACTTTATTTTCCCCAGAGAGATCTTTCTGGCCAATCAACATACTTTATTAGTAACTTCATTTCCCACTTTTGCAAGAAAATAAAATCGTATACTTATGTGTATATATATATGTATCTGTGCCCCATCTATTTTTATCCGTTGTTTATTATTATCACCTCTTCTTTTACTTATTTTCAATATGACTATTTTCACATCACCCAAGCAGCCTGTCGCAATCCCAGATACTGATATCTACTCATTTGTGTTTAGCCCCAACGTATTTAATACGACACGCCCTCAAGATAGACCTTTGTTAATTGATGGTTTGACAGGTGACTCATTATCTTTTACAGAATCTAAAGATTTAACTGCTCGTATCGCGAATGGCTGGAAAGAAAATGTCGGATTAAAAAAGGGAGACGTTGTTGCAGTCTTTGCTCCCAACCAGTATGACCATGCAATTTTGTATTTTTCATTATTAGCTGCTCAATGTACTGTCAGTCCTGGGTATGAAATAGTGTACAAAAAAAAAAAAAAAAAAAAAAAAACGCAGTAATTGATGAATATATTTTTGGTTGTGTATAGTAACCCCAGTTATACTGAAGATGAATTCAATCACCAAGTCCAAAAGTCAGGGGCAAAGGCTATTGTTACTGTGCCCTCTTTACTCCCAGTCTTAAAAAGAATTGCTAAAAAGAACAAGATTCCCCAAGATATGATCTTTTTATTCGGTAACGAATCTTTTGACGGTATTCGAACATTCAAATCAATTGCCTCAAATCACAGTGATATCAGATTACCAATCCAAGAAATCCAAGCGGCGGATGATCTTGCCTTTATTTGTTTCTCAAGCGGTACAACGGGTGTGGCAAAGGGGGTCATGTTAACACATCGAAACTTTGTTGCTCAAATGGTCATGGTGACGGATTTCGAAGGAACCGATTCCAATCAAAAGGAAGATATCATCATTGGATTTCTGCCGTTTTTCCATATCTTTGGCCTGACTACGTTGGTCTTTCGGGCATTCTACTCCAATACCCCCGTTGTTGTTATACCTAAATATGATTTGGAATTGGTTTGCCAACTGATCGAAAAGTATAAAATCACAATTGGTCCGATTGTTCCACCAGTTGCTGTTCATTTTGCAAAAAATGATATTGTCTTGAAATATGACCTATCCTCTCTTCGCATCATCAGTAGTGGTGCTGCTCCTCTTGGTGTTGAGCATATTGATGCGCTTCAACTACGTATCCAAGCTCCCGTAAGACAAGGTTATGGCATGACAGAAACAACAGCAGGCTGCATTTATCAAAAAGTTGGTGTTAGTCCCCCAGGCTCCACCGGAGTTCTAATTTCCAACATGAAATGTAAAATTGTAAACGAACAGGGAGAGGGTACGTATTTTGACGTATTGATATAATGTATGGCTCATGTAACTTAATTTTATTTTATTGTGTCTAGAACTTGGAGCAGATCAGGCCGGCGAAGTTCTGTTGAAAGGTCCTGTTATCATGAAGGGATATTTGAATGACGAGAAAGCAAACAAAGAAACATTCACAAGAGACGGTTGGATGCGTACAGGCGATGTTGCAAAATATGACTCCAAAACAGGCGAGTTTTTTATAGTGGATCGTTTAAAAGAGCTTATTAAGTACAAAGGATACCAAGTAGCACCCGCAGGTAATTTGTTATTACTGTCAAAGCAGTTATTGTAGATAAAATGGTAGCTAACTTATTGCCTATAACCTATTTAGAGCTAGAAGCATTACTTATGAGTCACACAAGTATTGCAGACTGCTGTGTTGTGGGTGTATATGATTCATCTCAAGCAACAGAAATTCCCAGAGCCTATGTTGTGCTTCAACCCAACATAAAGAACAATAAAATAACAACAGACATGATTTCTAAATTTGTAGAGGATAATGTGACCAATTACAAGAAACTTCGAGGTGGTGTTCGTGTCATTGATAAAGTGCCTAAAAGTGCCAGTGGTAAAATTTTAAGAAGAGAAGTGAAGGAATGGATACGACAAGAGCAAATTTCAGAAACTTCCAGAGCTCGTCTCTAATGTGCGTCTTACGTAGACTTGGAACCCCTTTCACACCCTTTCTGCCATTGTATAAATAAAATATAAGACCGGACAAATATGACATCTAGACTCATATTTAAAAATTATTGTTCAGAATTATGTCACTTATGTGTAGTATCAACCCGCAACCTGTAGCCTGTGATATTTATGGTAGCGAAAAATAACAAGTAAGCATTGATGTCATGTACGTCACTTTTCCTGATTTCTTTTTCCATAAAGATTATTCTTTTTCTCTTATATTAATAACGAACCAGCTAATGGCAAGGCCTCCTTCATTATATACAATTAGGTTTCATGAAGTAATTCTTTCATGTTCCTGGCTGATTCTTTACTTTAATATAAAATAAACGCCGTTTAAAAAAACCAATAACAATTCATAATTAGTCAGTAATGCGTAACCCTAATGGTAACGCGTAGCAGCTTCCTGCTGTTATTTCGAATTTTTATGTTTAACAAAATTTACTCGAAATAAATAGAAGATATACAGCTAAGTCGTTTCATAAACAAGCAACCGTTTTTTTCTTAAGAAATTGGCTCACATAGCCCACACTGAAAAATTTCGCTTAAGAAGTTTAAAAAGGAACTAATAAAGGATATATTTAATAGGTCCTCTCAAGTTGAATGATTCATTTAACAGTCAATGCAAACTATCGCGGGAAGACACTCCGCATATTCTTGTCCAACGCAGGTCCCAAATTCCTTTTCAAGGGAGACTCCTACACCAACAATACGACCAAAGACATCTAAACTTTTTCTTAGTCGTATTGAGATTTCCTCTCCGTCGTCTAAGGCTGTCGTAAGCAGAATACGCAAATTAACTTGAAATAACCTTCCGTGTTCCGTAGCATGCTTTCGTTTTTTCAAAAGTTGAACTTCAATATTCTTACGATTACCTTCCGAGTGAAAAGCAACACCCCCATTGAAAAAAAAATCTCGTTGGGTTTTAGCGCGAGATGTAACGTGGGGCATAATGGTACCCTCGGTACGACGGACCCGAAAGACGATTTGAAGGTAGTGAGACCATCTTCATTGACGGTATTACTGTCTTCATTGTAGATTATCGAAGTTTTGGTTGTTGCGGCAATACGGGACCACAGTGGGCGTGAAGGACTGAAGCCCAAATTTGGGTTCTTTGATTATTTATCAGAAAGAAGGTGCTCTCAAGATCGGACACCGAAGAAAAGCTGTTCACTCCTAAAAAAAGGGTCGATCAGCTTTTCGAATTTTACCTTGAGAGTACTCAAAGTTATGATACAGTGCTTTCTCTGACCGGCCGGCCTCTGCTTACTATAGTGCGTTAATTTAATTGGTGAATTTGCTCTCAGCATCATCACAATAATTTTATGACTAAAAAAAAAAAAAGAAAAAGAAAGAAGGCCTGAACAGTTTACCCTTATTCTTTTGTTGTCAGCAGAAATAAAAAAAGTAGGGAAAATCGTATTTCCGCCACGTTGCCTCGGTCAATATTTATGCACACTTTGAGCTGGTGTCAAAAAAAAAAAGTACTCTTTCTCTTTTTTCTTTTTTTATATATATTTTGGTGATTTATATTTAAAATGGCCAAAGACAGCACAGAAATGGATGATATGGATATATCTATAAACCAAAGAAACACCGATAGAGTCTCATGGAATTCATTTACATCTGAGGATTCCAACGCACAAACAACTTTGTATAGTCCTACTCAATTTAATCACACCATCAATAATAGTGCAGATCCTAAAAACCAGCTTTTACAAAATAATACGTATTCTAATTCAAGAGCACCTTCAATAACATCCCGTAAACATACATTATTACCTTTATCTTCTGATCAACCAAATGAAGAAGTATTGGAAGAATTGCCTACTTCATCCTCATCCAGCGCTCCACCACCACCAGCAACACCTCAAACCCCTTTTGAGACACCAGCAGTAGCAAGGCCAAGTATTTTCTCTAGATTTATGGCATCATTACCCGTGTTTGCACAAATGCGAAAGACTATCAAGGCCGCAGTCGCATTGTTGATTGGCACAGTATTTATATTCGAGTCTAAAACAAGAGCTGCTTCTGGTAGTTCGATGTTACTTGTTCCGATCGTAGTGATCTTCTATTTCCCTGTTAGAACAATAGGTATATGATTATAAATCAACTATTTTTATAAGTATATATCCTAATCTGGTTATTTATGATCTAGGTATTCAAACGGAGGTTCGAAATATAAATATGCTATATCAGCGATTAAAATGCTAAACCTTTTTTTTTTTCAGGCTGTACTTCTTGGTACATTAGGTGGTTTTTTGGCTGCTTTATGGAGTCTACTAGGTACATACCTTGCGAGTTTAGCAAGAGATCATACCAACCCAAACCCCATACAGATTAGGGCCTCTGTGGTTTTAGCTGTGTTTCTATTTCTTGGTACTTTTGTTCTCAATCTTATCCGAATGAAGATACATAAAGGTAAATATCAACTATCGTTTTCATCTTGAATCGATACTAACCTTTTTACTAGCTAATTTTGCGGCTGTTATTGCCTGTATTGTTTTATCCGTAAGTCAAAACTTGCAATTTAGTCGATCTTATATTTAACTAACCATTGTATTAGTTCACCATGACGTACGGTGCCGCGTCTGCGCCATTTGTCCCGGAGATCACGGTAAGACCCCATATTTTTTTTTTCATGAAGCGCATGTCTTAATATAGTATATTTTCTCTTTGGGAATTATTTAGTGGTTATTTTTACGACCCATTGCTCTTGCAGGTGCGATATCACTGCTTGTAGATTACTTACTTTGGCCAGATGATAGTGTAAACAATTTTCTGGGTATCCTTCGAAAGACATTGGGGGGATATAATTTGTTTTTTAAGGAGCATTCCGATGCATTTCTTTCACTTTCAGCTGATAATAACGGTGCAAGTTTGCCCAACTTAAATGCCCGTCTTCAAAATGGTGTACTTTTAATGATTGATTGTAAACGAGCTGTGAAACGAGAGATTATCTATTCGAGAATTTCGGATAAGGATTGTAGTGCCTTATCAAGCGTTGTTAAGAATATGCGTATCTCACTTCATGGGGTTGGACTCAGTTTAATCATCAAGAACAATTACCTGAATTCGGATACCAAAAACATGTATTTCAAGAATTTCAAAATCCCTAGTATTCTTGAGGCCTTTTCATCCACTGTAGAGAGCATTCAGCCCATTTGTAGCGAGCTGACCGACATTTGCTTCAAAGCAACAAACCAAGGATCCGGTAGAATTGGAAACCTCCATTATCATGCTCGTACAACCTTAAACAGTATTTTATGGCCATTCCCTCGACTCTGGGTATCAAAAACCGGGGCGGAAACTCAGCCCGCTTTACATGAAAGAATTACATCGCAGCAGATCCAACAAGTGCTAGATCGCTTTGAGATCATTTCGAAGAGTGATAAAGCGTTTTTCAAATTTTTGGAATTGAATCCTGCAGATATTCCTCGCAATGGCCCTCTTTACCTGATATTTTTATACATTCACAACCTTAAGGAACATGCAAGTAATACAGTAAAGCTTTTGGAATTGATCGAAAGCCTGGAAACAAAGCGTACCCACAGTAGATTTTGGTTTCCTCACCAAACGCTCAAGAAATGGCTATTCTCTCAAGCCGAGGTCGGAGCAGCTGTAGGTGCGGATATCGAAGATTACTCAAATGGTGGTGGAAATGATCTGGCTCGTATCTCAACTCGACAGGATGGCAGAGGAGATAATGCTGATAATGAAGGGGATATATTTCAATTGAAAACCTCTGATGGAAAGCCGAGTCGAAATCAAGCCGATCCCGATGTGTCTGCTCCGGTTACAAGATTGCAAAAATTCTTCAATTACCTCTATATTTTCGGTGCATGGTTAACTGATACTGATACATTTTTTGCTTTCAAAACATCAGTAGGTGTTGTTTTATTAGCTATTCCTGCTTGGAGATCTCAAGATGCACTATGGTACATGAACTGGAGAGGTCAGTGGACGATGATCACATTAGTACTTTGGATGTTTCCCATGACAGGTGCTTTTCTATTTGGGTAAGTCTTTCTTTTTTCTAAAAAAGTAAAAGAATTAACTTTTTTTTTTTAGATTAATTGATAGAGTTGCAGGATCTATCGTGGGATGTATCGCGGGTATTGTTATCTGGGAAATCTGCCAAGGAAATCCATACGGCATGACATTTGTATTTTTTATTTTTTTCCTGCCAATGTACCATGTGTTTTTCTTTGTACCAAAGTACAGAGTGGGTGCGTTGATGACCAAAATTACGGCTCTCCTTGTTGTTTCCTACGAGTATACATATACTGTGGATGGATCCACCTCCTATGATAAAGTATGGACTGTAGCTGGAAAGCGTTTAGTCATGGTCCTGGTGGGTATCATCGCTTCTGGTATTTTAATTGCTATTCCTTTCCCTCCTACCAGCCGAGTTGAGCTTCGAAAGAATGTTGCACATACAATTCGTGATATTGGAAAGGCATTTGGCATTCTTTGCGCAAGTGCAATTGCACCTCTCGGACAAAGGGCACACCCGGTTGTAGTGAAAGCGTTTGGGAAATTAGCGTTGGAGCTTCGACGTCAAGTTGCAGAAGAACGTATTTTATTGCATCATGCTAGTTATGAGCCACCACTTCGCGGATACTTTCCTGCTGCAAGTTACGCGGTACTCGTAGAGAAAATGGATAATATGTCTGATTTGGTGATTAATATGGTAAATATATATAAGTACTTGTTGATTTTAGCTGTTTTTAATTTCTTTAAAAAAAAATCAGGGTTCATCATTACATCAAGTCCGTCCTGAATGGAGAAGAAATATTGGTTCTATTCTTATGAAAGAAAGAAAAGAATATGTAAGTAGTGAATTCTACCCGGGAAATTAAAATCGACAGATGCTAATATTAGAATAGCTTTCATCGATTTTGACAATTTTAAAACTCTTATCATCAACACTGTCCGCCAAAACATCATTGCCTCCTTACATGATGTCGCCTATCGAATCCAGACAGCGTTTTGTGAATCTTTTGGAAAAAAAAATCATGATCGAACCCAAAGATTTAGCTGACCCTTCGTTCCCAAGTTACAGTGCTTATCTTATGAACAGTCTTGTGTTTGTAGACGAACTCCAAGTATTGTTAAATTCGATCGAGGAGCTTGTCGGCGTTGAGAACCCTGAAGAATGGCTTATGGCCCAAGCGTAGTGTCACCCTTATTCATTAATTTATTTATAATATATCATCATCTAATATCTTGTTTTATAAAATAAAATCTTCATCAAACTGTTATTGTAATCGCAGTAATTTTTTTTTTAGAATGGCTTGGTTTTTAGTCAAGCATACAGTTAAAAAAACGGATCTTTAGGCGTTCTTCAGATTGCCAATCCGGACCTACGGCCTCTAGCCTCACTTGATTTATGTAACGTCACTTTTCCCATCTATTGCATTGTGTTAACTCAGCTCTCAGAAGCTTGTGTTTCAGGATGTGATTTCTATAAAGCACACTCCTTTTTTTATCGTAGATCTTATTAAAGAATTAATTTAATACAAAGGTAAAAAAAAAAAAGCAGGTTTTTCGGTAAGTTTTCTTATCTTGTTCTTTTCAAAAGAAGCTGTCACTCGGGTTATTTGATATTGGCTGATATCGCTCGTCATTGCTTATTGTGCAGTAATTGGCATCTATGACAGCCCTCAAGCAACCGATTTACCTCGTGCCTACATGAGTTTACAAGGAAAAATTCAACTGTCAAAAGAGGTGGGCAAACAGATTATGCAATCTGTTACAGATCAAGTGGTGCCATATGAACAAATTCATAGTATTCGATTTATTGATGCTATCCTAAAAAGTCCTGCCGATAAAATTCTTCGAAGGGTACTTCGTGATACAGCTCTTTCCCAAGACTATTGTTTTTTTAATACGCTTTTTTTATTTTATTTTTTATATGTGTGTATATAATTCTACCAAGCTATGCAATGTTTTTGTTTTGAATAAATGTACAAATTCCAGAGGATTCGGAAAAACAGTTCTTTTACTCTTCCTCTTCATCATCGTCCTCCTCTAATAAGGCCTTCTCATCCTCATCACCCGAATCTTCAGCCATAGCCTTCATTTCCATTTCATGAGCGGCAAGGGCTTCCTTGGCCTTAGTCCTTAAGACCTTGGTAGAACCTTCTTTGGCCAACACGGTGAAAGGTCTGCTGAGTTCTTCCATAGGTACATCCAAATCATCTTCATCTTCCAATCTGGCACGAACATCATCCAAAACCTTTTCTAATTCCTCAAAATATAATTCAATGATATGGTATCTAATGGCATCAGGATTCTTTCTATCTGTAGGACTATGAAAACAAAGGGAGAGGGTTAGCATATATGCATATTGTGATTTGCTGCTTTTAATTTTCTACCTCAAAGGACCTTCAAGTAACATATCAGTATAGGCTTCAAGGTAGACAGTATCCCATGATTCTCTAGCCAAGAATTGGAAAGAAAAGTAAATGACACGACGTAAAAGCAAATAATATTTATCGAGTCTTAATCAAATAAGGTTAGTTACAGACTGTCACTTTTTTATACATGTGTATATGTGTACCTAATTCTATCCAAACCGTGCCATTCTTGACAATGAACCTTCCAGAATGTCTTTAAAAAGGGAATGGCGTTAGCGGCAGGCATTTCCATGACAAGGGCACCGAGATCGTTGGCTAAAGTTTGTTGGATCAATGGTTTATCTGACATCCAGAAACCTATTTTTTTTTTTTTTTTTTTTTTTTTTGGTAAATGGTTAATGGTTGTGTCTTAGTGCTTTTGTCATTTACGTTATCATATTTACAATAGAAGAGACCCTTCCAAAGCTTATAAAGGTCCATTTCGGACATGCTGGAACCAGCAGACAAAAACTTGCGAAGAGAACGGATAGCTTTATCACGAGTCTTTTTTTCTATGTGTAGAGTCAGTAAACCAAAATATAAGGTCTATTATAAGCTTGTGTTCGAATTACCATTGGCAGCTAATTGCTTTCCAAGAGGGAGATAGGTTTGTTCAATACTAGCTTCAACCATGGTGTGTGTATGTGTGTTAAGAATAAAGCAAATATTCTAAATTTTTTTGAGGGATAGAATTATTATCTCTCCCTCACACTCAGAGCCATAAGCCACCTTTCGTATCCAAGTATTTGCAGTCAACTCATGTGCAGTGCAGAATAACTGACCAATAGAAAGAAAGGGGACCTGCTTGCCCCGGTTACTTCAAAAGATGGGTGGAGGGGTTGAGAGATATTTCTTTTTTTTGTTATAACCGTATTGTAGAATGTTTGGTGCTTTCAGACCCTCTGCCATTGCCCAAGGTGGCTTACTTTGGTACAGATGCATATACACGCACATGCACACACAAAAAGAGAGAGAAAGATCTGATTATTAATTAAAAAACTATAGGAAAAATCCTTTCCGCATGTCAAACACCAGAAAAGCCAATGTGCGTAAGAGACTTAGAGCCGTTGATAGTGTTATTGCAGCAGTTGCCGAATCCGGCGTAAAGTGTAAAGCCTTGGATGAAGCTCTTGCTCTTCCCAAGGAATCCGAAATGCTTGCCAGAGAGAAATACACAGTTTTCAGTCGTGCTGCAGCAGGTTATCGTAAATCAATTCACAAGGTGCCAAAGTTCACCAAATTAACCAACAGAACTAGTCCTCCTGGTTTCTAAGGAAGATAGAAAAAAAAAAGAAAGAAATGTTTGTAAATACTTGTGGAAAATAAAAAAAAGGAGATTTTTTTATTTTTACTTTCTATGATTATTATTCTTTTTATGCTGTTGCTTATTTTTTACATGTTTATCATTGATATAACCACATTCATCTAGTGCTTTACGTGCAACATTGTTAATATCCTTGAATCTATCCGGACCTAAATGAATACCACCAAACCATCTCGTCACAACCACAACCACATTTTCTACCTCTAATATCTGCATCAAATGGGACAAACGACCGCCAGCAGCCGATTCACCATCATCATCGTTATCTTGAAGTACTTTCCCATCTGGCATGGTAATACGATAAGCCAATATATTGTGAGTTGCTTTTGCAATCTTTTTGTTTTGCAACAGGTGGGCAACCACAACCTTGACTTCGTGTACGTTATGTACCTGAGCTATATGAGCAATAAAGGACGATTTGCGATCTAGCAGAGGTTCACTTGAGAATATCTTGGGTGGGCTTTCGTGATGATATGCATTAGGGCCCATCAGAGAGCGCACAGTGGGCCTATCATGCGCTTCATCTTCCTCATTATCATCCACCTATAATTATTATTTCTTTAGCTTTTTTTTTTTTTTTTGCATTCTATGTTTCATATATAGTAATCATAATAATAACCTCGGGTATAAGGTCTGATTGTGGAGGATCATAATCGTGGTCTTGCAAGTCCAAATTCTCTATGGGTGGTATCGTGAGCTTATCATTATTGTTGACAGGTTCCTCGTCGCTGACAGGCTTCACGTGCTCTTCCAGATAATCGGTCAGCCAACTGATCCATTCGTACAGCACTACTTCGGTGGGTTGAAAGAGAGACTGAAATCCAGCATCGATAGCGTCCATCATGTCATTGTCTATCTTTTTGGTGCCACAGTAAATGGACGAAATTTCGTAAATGGGCATATCCTGGTTAGGGTAGGTAGGGGGTAGAAAGAACCGCAGTACCAGCTTTCGAGGCGAACGGAGATCAACTTGGCCTTCATCGAGATTCAGGGTATACATGAAGGCGTCTGGTGAACTCGCATCCCTTTTGAACGAGTCTGGAAAGATGCATTCCAACGCTGTTATTTCGTCCTCTTGTAGCTGTCTATTTTCTTCTTCTTGTTCCTTGTTCATTTTAGTAAAATAAAAAAGTAAACAAAAAAGAAACAGTAAACGGAAAAAAAAGTGACTTTTTATTTTTTTATTGTTTTAAAAAACTGTACAAAATGATTTATATTGAAAAGGTGTGTGTGTTAATTTACAAAAGGGTGTGTGTGTGTGTGTGTGTGTGTGTGTGTGTGTGTGTGTAAATGTGATATTTAGTTTTCACTTTTGATTTTTTTTGGAGTATCAGGATAATCTGCAGCAGCAATGGACTGGTGAATTGACCTTTTTCTAAAAGAGCTATGCGATGAGACAAAATGGTTAGGAGATAATTTGGTAAATAGGATGGAATTGATTCCGTACCTTTCGCTTGTTCTGATTCCGCTTTCTCTGAAGGGTGAAGTCGGCATCATAAAAGCGTTTGCAGAGTTGGGACCAGCGTGATGGATCGGGCTCATGATGAAATTTGATTGGTAAAACTCGGGGTAGAATGTAGAGGGGGAAGGCAGATTCTGTACAAATTGAGAAGGTAAAGCAGAGGGCGGAGGCAAACTAGAATAAGGATACTATTTGATATAATTGCTTTTAGTGTCTTTTCTACCACACAAACCCCTTATTATAAACTTACATTATTATGACTAGTTGGGTCTTGCTTTTCTGCTGGCACCTCCCTCTCCTTCTCCTCCTTCTGTGTGGGTATAGTCACCCTTAATTTCGGCCTTTTATCGGGTGTTCCAGGCTCTGACCTTGGCGACTGGTCTGGTGAAATCTCGTGTTCAATGGTTACAGGGGAAGAATTTGGAGAATGGTAGAGTGCAGGTGTGTGTTGGTAATAGTGTTCCCGCATCATGGCATACTGCCTTTGCTGAATATGTTGTTGTTGCTGATGATGAATTTGTTGTTGTTGCTGTTGCTGCTGCTGCTGCTGTTGTTGTTGTTGTTGATGGATATGTTGCTGAATATGATGATGTTGTTGTTGTTGTTGCTGTAGCATGTACATATGTTGATTATGTTGATATAAATCATATGATGGTTGGCCACTGACATTGTGCATCATCAATGGTTGGTTCACTGTGTAACCTCCATTGGGAGTATATGAAAATGACATGCCGGTCTGAGTCGGGACCATTTGCGTAGCAGTGGTAGTAGTAGTTGTTGTATTGGATGTAGGCATGACGATATGTTGTCCCTCTTCCGTATCAGAATAGAGTACATCATCATCTGCCTTTTCTCCATGCTCAACAAAGTCTCCGTTGGTTTTGATTTCTCTTGGTAAGTCATTCTAAATAAATTCAATATTAATCGAATGATGTTTTAAACAGCAAGAAAGAGTTACCTCTTTAAACCTGGTCAGTAGAGTGTTCATATCAGAGCTAGAATACTGAATTAACTTGTTGTTGGAAGGCATAATGACCAATGCCACTTCACAGTTACATAGCACACTGAGTTCATACGCCTTCTTCATTAACCCGTGCTTTCTCTTTAAAAATGTAACCTGTCGGTTACGATCATCTTTAATATGCTCTATTTGGATCTTTTTACGCCCCATAACTGTGATAAGGAGTGTAAGTTTTTTTCGATGCTTTTTATAAAAAATTTATATAAAAATAATTATTTACCTTCTATATTTAACAAAAGGTAGAAGGAGAGAGAGAAAAAAAAAAAAAAAAAAAAAAAAAAAAAGAAGAAAAAAAAACCTGAGTTAATTATAAAAAGACTCTTCTATTATATATGAAAAAAGAAAGCGGACCTATTAATAGATTATTAAATCAACGCCCATAATCCTTTTTTCCAGGTTCCTTTTTTTTTATGTATATTATTTGCATGTTGTTATTAAATTGTGACCACAACCGATCATTAGATTTGTTGCCCGATCTATTAAGATACATCATAACATAGCCCCCAAATTGTTGTCAATTCACTACACACACAAAAACAATAAAAAACAAAGACAACTCCGAAGACAGGGTCGTTTCAAAGCCACTGTCAGTTACTTGAAACATAACCATTAAAAAATTTTGTGTTTATCTAGAGACAGGCACATTTACCCGTGGACCACCTAGTTCATGCTGCGTTTTACCATCTACATAGCGTTGTGTCAAAAATACATCGGAATGGCCTGTGCACTCCATCGTAATTTCTTGATATGGATAATTAAATTTAATTGCCCAAGTCACACTCGCATCATCCTGTTTAATCTCTTGTTGAATCCAATCCAGTACCTCATTAGCGAAATTCAAACAAACCGATGGATTCTACAATTTATGCAATGAGTATATACAAAAGAAGTTAAGGTACACCTACTTACCCAGGTGTTGGGTTTCTCGCGCACTTGACGCGGTATTTCCAACGTCTTGTACTGTACGACGTCTACTATCTGTCCATCATCATCTCTAAAGCCACAGATGACTCTAGGCACTCCCACAAGAAAGGACTGGGCCCAAAACTTTAACAACTTATATCGGTCAAACGAATACTGGTTTCGGTCGGTTTGGATAACCCTTGAAGTTTTCAGCTCAATGTAATTACTTGGTTGTGCCAACGGGTCCGTTGGTTTCACGTCTCGACAACAATCCACTTCTGCTCCCATCAGAATCGAATTCTTGCCCAATCTTGTTTTAACCACGATACAGTATTGAATATTTGTATTCGCACTATCGACAAGCCGCTGCTGTAATTCCGGATCGCCTTTCGTGACTTGATGAGGTGCTTTGGATAGCGTCGAAAGCGTCTCGAATCGATATCCCCAATAGCTCATTAACCGTTGTCGATCGGACGCTTTGTCTTCTTCCTGTCTTTTCTCCGCTGTGGTTTGCTCTTCAATATAAATCGATCCCTAAAGTTATATAATAAGACTCTGAAGAAAATACACTTGTACACAAATATATAAATTTACATTGTATCTTGTAGCGCGAAGTTCCCATCCTTCCTTTCTAGAATAAGGTGTACACAGAAGCTTGGTCATAATACCACGCCAAGTAATCTACCATAATAATAATAAAAATCAATTTAAACTGGAAGGGGGGTGCAATATGGTTTAGACTTTACAAAATCGGCAGTGGTTTTTTCCTTGTCTTCGGTTTGGTTTCGAACATGGGTAAGTGCATCCAATAACGTATCTAAATGTTCTGAAATGGTGTCATTGCGTTGCACCATGTCTTTGTAGCCATGGTTCAAATCCTTGCCGGTAGGTGGGTAGTAGTATTTCTAAACGAACTGTTAATCATAAACAAAATGAGTTGTCAGAACAAAAAAAAAAGAGGAGGGCTACCATTTCTCGATTATCAAACCACACACGACGTTCACCATCTATGCTGTACGATGTCACTTCCTCAGGTTGTTTATATACCGGAAACGAGCCTTCATAATCTTGGGTTCTCTTCAATCGAAACGCTTTGCTGGCCATACTTTTGACTTTTTTATCCACATCCAGTCTTTTATATCCTTCTTCCAAAGCTCTTTTCGACATGTTCTACAGAAAGAAAAACACGCGAAACAACCATTATTTTTAACATCAAGCGGACATTAAATTAATTTTATTTTTGTTTTGTTTTTTTTTAGGCGGTGGTCGGACAGAGACGATATTTCAAATGTTCACTAATGACAGAAGAGGAAATGGGCATTTTAAAGGCTGAATCAGACGAATTTGTCAAGGAAGAGTAATTTGGATATTTCATCATATATTCATCCAATCCGGGTAAATCGGGCTCAAATGATTGGACAATGCGAATGATGACCACACCAGGTTCTAATATAACATAAAAAAGTTACAAAAAAGAAAAGCTTTAAACAGCTCAGTTGGGTTACATACCTGTCCAGGGAGACAATACAAGTTCAATATCAGTCGATAATTTATAACAGTAAGGTGTAGTTTGTTTATAACTTCCGGGTGCGGGCCAAAATATATATGAGGATTGGTCCGGTAAAATGAACTAAGCAAAAAAAAACATAGTTTAGTGCATGAATTGTTTTTAAAGAGGGGGGCAGAAAATCTTACTTCAACTGCTAATGCATTGGTATCGCACGAATTAAAAATATCCACTTCGATATGAATCTTGACTGGGAATTGAAACGTAAATTTGTAAGGCTTATCAGGATTAGGTAAAGGCTGAGTAATCGCTGCAGTAGTGCGTTTGACGGGGTTATTTAAGCAAATATCCAATGGCAAAAAGCTCTATGAATTTTTTTTGTGAGCGAATAATATAAACTTCCCACACCCGATATCTTACCGTGATGAACGAATGAAGTAGCGACATTTTACTCGTGGTGGGTGATTCGCTAGCTGATGCTAAATTTTTTTTCAAATTAATCAAGACCTCGTTGGCATTATCATCTTGACCGAAATCTTTTTGAATCAAAACTACTCTCTGATGGAATGCAAGCAGCATATTCTTGATGCTGAATGAAGTGTTGTTAGATCTACACATTAAAAAAAAAGGTGAGTTATTATCATATAATCCCTCCACACTTTAGTTATTTTACATTGGCATTTGCTTCAATACGCCAAACATCCAGATCATATTGGCCATAATTCGAATATACATGGCAGCATGCAACGTTTCTTTAGATAATCCTAAAAAGGTATGTTGCATAGTATATGAATTTCGTAACAATGAAGAGGCTGTCATCTGTGCAGTAGATGCATACGTTGGTGATGAATGACTTTGTTTGATCTTGATGACGGATTCGTAGCACTTTAAATAAAGCTGAGCTAATTCGGATTTACCCGCTAGCACGGGTTTCAGACTGGTAATGTACTTGAAATTACGTACGGCTACATCCAGTGTTAATAAGGCTGTGTTTAATTCGTTATGTTCTACTTGGGTTCGGATCACTTGCAGCATGTCTGTCGTTGCTGCCATGTAGCTGTCTGCATCTGCTGCAACTAATTTTTTGGCTGATGCTAATATACATGTAAGTTCTTTATGCTCTTTTTACTGTCATTTTTTTGTGCTTCACTTTACAGCTAAATGTCATGGGTAAACAATCAACATCGCCTTCTAGTTTAATATCTGCATATTTGTAAAGTTTCTATTTTATAAAAGCTACGCGTGAGAATTACTGTGGGTTTGGAATAGTATCAAATTCTTACTCGTAAATCCGGTATGCAATCTGGATATTTGCTCTTGAAATAAGCAAAATGTCGAAAAATGTATTTTGGTAAACTGTTAAGCATCTTAGGATTTGTCACGCATGCATTTACAATCAGAATAACATAGGCAGTATCTAACCAAAGAAAAAAAAAGGAAAAAAATTTAGGGGAGGATCAACAAACATAAGCAATTAGATAAATTTACATAGTTGGTCTTCGACATTGGCTTCTTTAGGTAGATACCGTTTATCAAGTTTCAATAAAGTAGGTACCAAATCTTCGATATAATCCTCGTGTCTTTTTCCGATGTGACGAATGCATGAATAAATCGACAAAATGTCCATGGGATATCGCTTCATGTTTGCATCCAATGCATTTAACAAGGTGTTCAACGAAACAGGATTTGTTAATCGTACAACACTAAATGTGAAATATTAAAAAAAGTGGCGGGGTAATGGCCATGGTAATGCTTACGTAAACAAATCATGCGTAGCCTGTCTTGCTAAAGGGTCACTATCTTCTAAAGCACCCACAGCAATTTCGAGTTGTTCTTCGTCGAATTCAAGTGTACATCGAGTACCAATTTTACGTAAACTTTGAATGGCATTCAATCGAATCTTATCAATGTCATCATTAAACATATCTTTTTTTTTTCTTTTTCAGTAAGCCTTTTTATAATGGATGATGTTGGAGCACTTACCCACAAGAAATTCGACTGCTTTTTTTGTAAGTTCTTCATTGTACATACTCAACTCACAAATTGAATCTTGAAAGGGATGGGGTTAGTAGAAACACAAGACAAAAAAAACAAAAAGTTTACCAATGGAAGCATTTCTAACTTCTTGGAACTCATCTTCCAAACCATGAATAAACGAACCACAAGCACCCGAATCCAGCAAGTGAAATTCGTTAGACTGCACATCGATATCGCCTTCGGCAATAGGCAAAGCAGATTTTGCATATTTCTTTTGCTGCATTTTGTATTTGGGGATCTTTCGTTTAAGATGCGACATGATTTGTTTACTAAATGTTTGGTTCAAAGTATCTGATCCAACGTTCTGGTAGGAAGCCATCATGACACAGGCCTTGGTGCGAACGGTAATGGCGGAATCGTTGACAAGATCACATACCTTGTTGAACGCATCATCGATTAATCGTGTGGTTTCGTCGACTTCCTCATGTGCGAGTTTCATGCGATGCTCGGGATACAGAGAGCTAAGAACGCCCATTAAATTCAGTCCGCCCATACGTACTTCCTCATAATCATCGCGTAAAGAAGATACGGACAGATTGTAAATCGCTAAATCTAAAGGGCAACCTCGAAGATGCATCTGTACCAATGCATCCAGTGCACTCTATATAACAAGTATTTTAGTGAGGGGATAGCTAACGTTATAAGACAAAAGGCCACTCTACTTTGCGAACTCGGGGATCACTGTCTCTTGCATAATTGCTGATAATCTTTTGGATTTCCATTTGTGTCATGGTGGCAGTTTTGTTGATACCGTATTGATCGAATACGAATGGTAAGAGAGATAATAGCGAGATACTCATGGCTCTTACTTTATGATGAGAATTGGAAAGATCCACAGTTAAATGGTCAAATAATAATACCAATACATCATGTCCCTGAGTCATTTGTCGATTCTGTGTGTGTGTATGTGATTATTATTTGATCGGTGCGCGTGTTCAAAGCATTTATTACCTTTAATAGACTGCCTATACAACTATAGACGTGCCATTTGACTTTGGTTGACTCTGATTGTAACTACAAAGTAAAGAAATGGTGATCAACAAGTCAACCTCTTCTTATTTTGAAAACTAGATGTATTTTACTTGTTTCAGCAGATATTTTAAAATTGTAAACGCATTCAGGTTTGGAAAGCGAGAACATTTTTCAATCAGTAAAATGAGCATGGACTTTTTGATGAAATTAAAGAATTAGTTTGTTGGAGTTATTGTATACGTGTTTGTTTTTCTTTACTTTGGTGTCATTGTCGGATTCTGTTTCGAGCTGAGATATCAGGATTTCTATAATTGCTTTTTGTTGTTCAATGTTGAAAAGGGGTATATGTCGAGCAATAACAAGTAAGCACTAGAATGAGAGAGATAAATTAAAAGTCATCGTAGCCTAGTTTTTTAATTGATATTTTACCTGAACACGATCGTCAATATTTTCAGATTCGAGAGCTTGTAAATTCAACTGTCATTTAAAAAAAAATATAAAGCGAACGAAAAAAAAGGGGCGAAAGAAAAAGAAGTGCAACGATAGAAAAAGAGAAAGATAAACTTAGTATAAGAAGGATCAAATTAAGTATGTTCAAACAAATAAAAAAAAACGGTTTTATTGTTAATTACATTCATCCATAACACGCCATTACCAGCTGCATGGTTGTGCATAGGTTCATCGGTTGCAATAATGGTGTCTTCACTACTTTTTTTTTTTGGCGAGAATAAAATTAATAAAAAACGTCAGTCGATAATCAACCTCAAGAAAAAATAATTGTCGAAATCTAATGTCTTTTACTTTTTTTCAGAAAGAGCTGACAATGACCGTTTCATTCTTTTTAAAAAAATAGTGTTCGAAGAGAAAAGAGACACCTTTTTTTTCGCACGTCCCCTCCATTTAAATGATGACGTTGGTTGCTGAGTTTGTATTTAGCCAAAGAAAGACGGAAAGAGATTCGCTTGTTTTGTTTTTTTCACGTTCACTTGACCCTTTCAATCATGTATCATAGCATTTCACCTAATACCCAAGGATTCTTTTCATCCTATGCAGCACGTATAAAGCAATCACAGGAGAATGCATTACTATTACCACCGAGCTATGTCACGGGTAAAAGACAACATTTAGGCGATGACTCCGATCAGGATTTTGAAGAATTGTTAGAAGCCAGTGATAATGAAGGCGACACAGAACCTGTCGCTGGACAACAGCGAAATACACGATCCACTGTAGCAGCAGCAGCAGCCATTGTAGATGCCGAAGCTAAGTCATTGGCTGCCATTAATGAGCAGAACAAGAATCTGCCAAAGAATCCTCACAATAAAAACCACATGATTCCCAATGTGCTGGAATTGGAGCGCATGTCGGAAATAGCCGAAGTATTGGTACCCATTCGTCTTGATATTGACCTCGATGAAGTCAAATTAAGAGACGTGTTTGTTTGGAATATGAATGGTATTTTTACGCAGAAGATAGAAAAGAGAGAGGTAGAATCTAACAGACTATACCTTTTAGAACAATTTTTGACACCTGAAATGTTTGCCGAGTTATTATGTGAAGATTTATACCTGGAACCTAGTAAATTTGTTAAACCTATTTCAGAATCGATTCGAACACAGGTCGTTGACTTTGAAGCCATACATGAATATGAATTACCACCCAATGGAAGTCACCGTGTTGAAATAAATGTATGCATACAAAAGACACCGTTACCCGGCCGCGCGCGTCACTTTTAACTTTTTTTTTCTATCCACTGTAGTTAGATCTCCAGATTGGAAAAGTCAATTTGCGAGATAAATTTGAATGGGATTTAAATAATGCAAACACAAATGCGCCCGAAATATTCAGTCGACAATTATCTGCCGAGCTTGGATTGGGAGGAGAATATGTGGGTATCATCGCACATGGCATTCGAGATCAATTATTCAGACATCGAAAGCAAATTGTGGACGAAGTAACTATATTTAAACGGGTATGCTTGAAGATATTTGCTAACGTTTTGCTTTTCTAGTATGAAGGTTTGGATAGTAAAAAGGACGATTATCTGGATTCTGGATTTAGAAAAGTAACAGAGGCGAGCAAATGGGCGCCGCAACTCGAGGTCTTATCCAATGACGAATTAGAAAAATTATTAATTGCCCAAGAAAGAAATATCAGAAGACTTCGAAGAGAAACTAGATTCAAAAGAAGTAGTAGACGGGCTCCTACCATCAGATCATAAAAATAATAAAATAAACCCCAAATTAGGATAATAGAAATCACAGTGACGTCTTGTAATTTCTTGTGTGCCAAGTCTTTTTTCTTTTTCTTTTTTTTTTTTGTTCTTTTTTTTATTATACACACACTTTTCATATACATATATACGCAATGCTTGGTTTAAGAGACTTATTCTCAATCAAAGGTATTGTCTCCATTTCGCTACTGACATTTCTAGTCTGGCTACTTGGAGATTACTCACAGTGGAAAGCAAAACGATCAAACACCGACTCTGTAACCATAACAACCGCAACCGCGACAGCAGCGACAGCAAGTGCAGAGTCAGAGACCACGACTGCTGAAGAAGAGAAACAAAAATCGATCGAAAAGCTGTCACTAGCACACTATATTTTAGTATCACCGTTTGCAGCCATCTATATTTTGGGTAGAGTGATTTTAGACGCAATCCGATATAGCCTCTATTATGCAATATGGTGGTGCGAGAAATCGATGCCATATATTGATGACTGGTTATACGACACGATGACTATTTGGGTACCACAGAAATACAATCAACTGGAAAGCTGGTGGGTGAGGAAAGGAAAGCCAGGATTTATTCTACGCAAGCAATACTTTTTAAATGAGACGTTACCAACCGTGGTTGAACATTGTGAAATAACGATGGTCAAGGCGTATCAAATTGGGTGTATTGTGGCATCCTCGGCACAAGACTTTATAGATGCTTGGAAACGATTCGTTCAGCGACATGACTGGCGTCAATTGGTTACAGATTTAAGCGATGTGGCATGTACAGTGATTTGGAATCCCTCCGTTTGGATTGTGACACGATCAATAAGACTTGCGAAATTAGTCTATCACGGATTACGTTCCGCCAGTATTTCCATTCGAGATGATATTCTATGGGTGTCCACAGTCATCCTACCCTCCATTTACAATTACATGGCAACCACAAGGCTTGCCAAATTACTCATCCGTGGCCTTCAAACACTGACAAGAGGCATACACTATGTGTGTCTGGGAGTCCATGGATACTTGTTAGTGCCTACTTTAGGTCGATTCTTGACTTGGTTAGTAAAATCAATTGATCTACTGATTTTATTGTTACAAGACCATACACTACAACAACGACTATGGCGGGTGTATCAGTGGACAGCGCCTAATTTAGTTTGGAGTTTAGTAGAAGTGGGCGAGATTGTGACAGATATTGCAAGATGGATGCAAGTTGCGTATGTTGAGCTATTACAGCCAGCGTATGTACTTTTTATGAAACGAGTAGTCCCACGGTTAGCAATTGCATATCAGGAGATAGTGGTTCGATGGGTATATGAATTGCATCTTTATCCTGCATGGGTAAACATCTATCCTTATTTGAACGGGCCACTGTTATGGGCTTATACTAATCTGACAGTACCCGTGCTGAATGGGGTGTATCGGTGTGTTGCTAGTGTTTCGGCTTATGTAACACAACACTCTCTAGTTAAATTACAGGCATTTCTCAGCATGGCGATTGAAATTTCCGTGCGCTATTCCCAAACCGTGTACACCATTGTCCAATCATGGCTGATTAGACAAGCACCCGTACTATCCAGTCTGATTCAGAAATCATACACACTAATGATCAATGCTTGCGATTGGAATGGCCTAAGACAGGACACTCTGATCATTATCTCTCAATTGTATACATGGACAAGTCATCAATCGGACATGATTTATCTCTCACTGGAAAGATCATTAAGCAACTGGGCAAAAGAACAAGGCGTGAAAGAGAAAGAATTATGAATTGAAGGGTAGAATTTTTGTTAATTTAAAAATCGAAATTATATATTAAATATTAGTTCCGAAAATTCTGTTTTATTTTATTTTTTGGTAACAGACTAAAAAAGGGGGGTGATTGGAAAAGCTAGAAGATTAGAACTGCTAATGCATGATATAAATGTCGAAGAGATTTAATTTTATTACACAGGGGTAGGCGGTGGTTGGGGGGAGGAGAAGAAATATAAAAAATATTAGATAATGGTGATACAAGTAGTAATTAAATTTTCTAACCCAAACGTCCTTCCAATGGCTTTTTTAGGGTATGAAGCATTAACAAATGCCGAATTGGGCTCAAACCGTTCCCTTCTCATTTGCCTATTTGTAAACAATACGCCGATGTATCAGTCGTTTTTTAGTTTGATATTTTTTAGTCAAAAAACGAAGAGGGGCATCATTAATAAAAAAAAAGTTCCGATGGCCGCGTGCACACACATACGCACGCACACACGCACGCACGCTAGCTTAATAGCATTCCCAGTTGTTCAAGGTGATGAAGTTTGTATCTATTGTGGGTTATATACTATTCTATTTTTACTTGCTCCATCTTGAATGGTAGACCAGGAACTTGGTATTACACGAATAGTGTATGCATCACTTGTTTAAGAATCCTCCATTATAAGGCAAAGGCCAAAATTAATTTTGCTGGTCCCTTGTTTGGTAATACACTACGAAAGAAGTATATAAACACATGTTGAAATTTGGCATCAACGGGTGATACGGCTAGTGCTATGTTTCATTTTCTTTTTTCTTTTTGGGACATGAAAGCTCAATAGGTGTGTAACCATAGTATTTTTTTTATCACCCTGCATACGCTGTCATCAACTCACAACAGGACCCTCTCAAAGAGAAAGGAGATCAATACAAATCTCTGTTCGATTTCACTCAAGATTTTGTTCTCTTTGATTTTGTGTCCACATTTTAGCTTTTCTTGTGGCCCGCTAAATAAAGCTAAAGCATTACTTGGAGTTTGCAGTTGCATTTACAAAAAAAAAATAGAGAAATAAGGATTGCTGCCATTCAATCCTCTAATTCAAGGAGAGCGAAAAAAAAAACTGTGATCATCCAATCAAAAGCTATGGCAAAACATTTTGTCATATACCCCAGAGTGAATTATACGCGAAAGCTTAGATGTTGTTTTGATAAAAAGGTACGCTAAGAAACTAGAATGTTTGGGGGGTAGGATGTGCGCTAAAACTAGTTTCCTATTTATGAAACTAGAGCAAGAATAGCTTGCAGATGCGGGAATGATTAAAGCTAATTTTTGCTAGCAAGTTTTTTTTTTAAGGCAAATGATGGGGAATTGCAGTTCAGTCTGATTTTGGTGATTGCTTTATTCAAAGCGTTTGGGTTCTGTTTATTTATAGTTGTTGTAAGGGAGTCCAAACAAGAGATGACCAACAACCCTTAAAAGACCTTACCCGATGAAGCATACTATTAAGGAAATTTTCTGATTTTCACAATGAAAATAAAGGGCGACAAACAAAATGAGGCGATTTGATTGGAACAATTCTTATGTTAGGAGCATTGATACAAAACCTATTTGAGAACAAAAGTCGCTTGGTCAAATTCCAATAGCCCAAGTCTTACCATAAAAGGTGTCTGAAATTCTAGACCCTAGGGCCTAAAATTTTATTTTATTAACCCCTTTTTTATTTTTTCTATTCTTTTAATTCTTTTTTTTTTTTTTTCCTTTTTCTTTTTTTTTCTTACTTCTTTTTTATGTACCCTTTCTTTCTCGCTTCTATCTTATAACTCCAACAGTATTAAAAAAATGACAGGTCATACAAATTGGCTTGGTCATTCTACAAGATTATTATCACTGCCCAAAGAATTACTACTCGAAATTATAACTTCCGTCGCACTAGAATCAACCAATCCTCTTCAGATTTTTCCAACTTCCTTAATAGAATTATCACAGTGTTGCAAATATTTGTACCATCTCGTACATAAAGACCGCTGGAGATTACAAACCTTATGGCCCGTTGCATTTCACCATACATTCGACACTGCAGCAATTTATAGACGTAGACTCAATACCGACTTGAATTGGCAAGCCGTATTAGAACGACGCTGTAAAGCACTCTACCAATGTCGCTCCTTTGCTGCAAACCCAAACGAAATAGAACGACTCAATACCATTGACTGGGAGGTTATTTGGGACATGATAACTGAGCATGGTAAATAGCTATTTACTCCGCATCATTTGTTCATTTTATACTCATCTTTCTCTTTTTGCTCATTAACAGATCAGTACAACATTCCCCATCTGTTGAACTATCAAGTTCAGTTTGCCGCTGGTGTTGCCTTTCAATTGGGTCCTTATCGGGATAGAGAAGTCTATCCTGTTGTGTTACCAATTTTATCACTGCTTGTCAACTATGGTACGTCTTTTTCGTTACCTAAAAAAAAATTAAATTAACGAATGATTTTTATTATTAGATTTTTCAATTACACGATTCTTTTATCAAAAGGACAATTCATCTATTGTCTCCAACGAGTTAAGTCAGTTTGCCTACAACTTTGAAGCGGATGCACTCATTACCCAACACACCCCTCTCCGATATTTCCACTCTTGGTCTTCCCCGCCTGACCAACAGACCACAACAACAATAACAACATTCTATCCTGCTCAGGACCCCCTCGCTTCCGCCTTTCATTTATTTTTTGCCACCATCTTTGCATCTCACCCTAATATATATCAAGCTATACCTGGATGTATTCCTATTCCCCTCTTCACCTTGACTTCCGAATCCTTTGATGTCGAATTCCTAAGACGTTATGAACGCAACCTTTTCTTTGCTAGTCTCCAAGAATCCCGTCAAGGCTGGAAAGAAAAACAAACGAATATCGTCTCAACAACAACTCCTTCAAATAATATTTATGCTAAATCGGGTTTTGCTTCCGCCAGTCATTTTGTCAGTGAAGCGCATCTGATCGAAGGTGAATGGATGGGCTATTATACCTTTCAAGATACCGATGATGAGGATACCGAACCACATTTTTCAAACACCGAATTTCCGCTGCAAAATAACGCCACAGCGTCAACAACAACAGCAGCACCAGCAGCAGGAGCAGGAGCAGCCACAATGGAAGACTGGTTTGACGGCCCCATGCGTCTAACCATCAAGATTGTTCCTTTGGAAGACCCCTCGGGTGAACCTATCAATCAGTCTTCTTGGTTATCTCGCTGGTTAGATGAAGACTCTGAAAGAGGCGAGTCAATGATGATGATGGAACCACGAAAGAGGCGCAAAATTGCAACCTCTGTCAATCATGACAAATCATCGGCCAATATGAGCTCAAATCAACAATTCCCTGCCAAGCATTTACGCGCCTGTCCTTTAACCCGATTTGAAGGCACCGGTGTGGACAATCTCGGTGCATTTTCCGTTTCTGGTCTTGTGGATGATACAGAAGAAGGCCAAGTGACTTGGGAGAAAAATTACATTGATTCTGGTGAAACCTGGGAGTACTCTGGTCGATTTGCTTGGCCCATGGGTCTTTGCGGTCGATGGGGAGATGAAGAATATGGAGGTCCTTGGTGGATGTGGAAAGTTCCCGATAAAGATGCCGTCTTACCTTCCACAGCAATATCCACACTCACCAAGTAAAAATCACATACACAAACAAAATTACACATATATACCCTTTTTTTTTTTCCTGTAATCTTTTTAATCTTCTTCTGGTCAAGAAAAAAAAATTCCTACCAACCTCCTTACATATAAGCAACTCTGTATTTCCTCTCTTTTCTCCCACCACAAATTCCTCATACCTCTTTTTTTTTGATAATAACACTAGTAATATTCGTAATAGTAAATAAAGATAATATGCATTTAATTCCCTATCATTGTCAGTACTACTACTACTATTATTATTATTTCAAATTCACCAAAAGCCTGTAGACTTCGGAACTATCTCTATAGAACACGGTGTTTTTCATAAGCTGTCAAAGATGCCTTCATAGGCACAAAAGGCACACTTTTTTTTTCCAGGCACAAAGTGTATCTCCGGGCCGGACACAATTTTTTGAATTTCCCAATTTAGGGTTGCCTCTGGACCCTTTGTGGTGGTGGGGGACAAAATACTAGCAAGAAGATGTAAACGGTAATAAGCCCTCCTCTTAGCATCCATTTGTAAAAGGTAGAGAGAATTATCCATCATAGGCCATCAATCATAGACCATCACCATCAAATTTATCTCGATTCGCAACCTTTCGAAAAAAAAAAAAGCCCAATAAACTGGAAATTGGATGGATCGAAAAAAAAAAGGAAGGGGGAAGGGGTGCGCGACATGAGCTAATTTGAAAAAATAGCTCATGGATTCACTCATGAACCCTTTTGGAGGTGGAATCTGATAGTTATGGCTGAGATCTGATGTGCACTATGATGGACTAAAATTACAGGGTTACGCGGAACCAATTTCTAATATATTTTACACAAATGTAGTCAACATGGTTACTCCTGCCGTGAAGCACACCATCGTGAAGAAGCGTACCGCTACCTTCAAGCGTCATCAATCTAACCGTTTCATGCGTGTTGGTGTAAGTAACTGGACGACTTTTTCTCTTGGAAATAATATATTAACATTATGAGAAATGCAGGAATCATGGAGAAAGCCCAAGGGTATTGATTGTAACATGCGTAGACGTTTCAAGGGTCAAGCTCCCATGCCCAAGATCGGTTACGGTTCCGCCAAGAAGACCCGTAACATCTTGCCCAACGGTTTCCGTAAGTTCGTTGTCTCCAACGTCCGTGAACTCAACCTCTTGTTGATGCACAACCGTTCTTATGCCGCTGAAATCGCCCACAACGTTTCTTCCAAGAAGCGTGTTTCTATTCTTGAACGTGCTGCTCAACTTAACGTCAAGGTTACCAACGCCGGTGCTCGTCTCAGATCTCAAGAGTAAATCTAAGGGGAAAAAAATCTTCTTTTTTTTTTCTTGGCTTGGGCAGAGGGGAATTATTTATGTTAATTATTAAATATCTTCTTTTTCACGAACAAATGTATATCGCGTATAGTCTTTTAAATTAATCATCTTAAATTGAGAAGGGATGCACCTTATCCTTATAGCGTTGAATAGTATATGAAGCACTAATGAATGTTTCGAAAAAAAAAAGGACACTTGTTTGGGGTACAAACGAATTTAAAGTTTGATATTTTGCATAAATCCAGTGACAGAATGAAGCATTTCATGCAAGACTTATTTTAAAAATCAGATTTACCAGCCCATATGGCATCTGATAAGACTTATTCGTTTTGTTTTATCGCTAAAGCCGAATTAAAAGAAAATACCTTGTATATATATTATTGTATCGCCTTTGGGTTACAACGATATATAACAAATCATGGATCTTCGGCGCAACAAATTTCTCCTTCGGCAAAGCGTGTGAGAGTTAAGAGAAGTCAACGTAAAAAGCCGATACGGCTAATGCTGATCCTTGGTTTCTTCTTTTTACACGGACTAGTCAAAAACGCTATATGCCACGACTGCATTATCGACGGGTTCAAAACTTTATTTATTAAAGTGGAACAATCATTACAATCGCGATGTGTCACTTACCGCACAAATTTTAAACTACTCGATCATGATACACTCACGTCTGCATGAACTTTAAATATTCGGGTGTCTTGGAAAAGATGATATAAAGAGCATTTTGCCTCCCCCACCCCCACCCTAGCCATACAGTACTCTAACAGATTTGGATCATAAACTTTTAGAGTACGGTACAGGTAAAATCTACGCATGTACATCATTTTATGTCTACTTGCACAATATTTCTGTTACATGTACATGAAAGGCATAATTCATTTTTATAAACCATGGTCTTCTGTTACGGCTCCTATATAGTGTAAGCAATCCGCAAGTGTAACATTACATAATAATGTTTTATCGAGATGATCTAAGCCAATCAATATTTACAAAGGATTAACTATAATCTCATCCTGACATAATCCAATTCTTGTTTATAAATAAAATACGCCCACTTTTTTTTTTGTTCTTTTTTTCTCTTCCTTTTTAACAGTATCTAAAAAAAAACGGCAAGTTCCTTGAAAAGGTTGGTTGCTAATAATTCTACTCTTCTTAAACTAACGCCAAGACGTGATATTTAGAGTAATAAAAGTATATCTTTTCATACACGAAGAGTCATGTATTGATTTCCGCAGAACGTGGTTGATATTGTGTTTGCGGCTAGTCGCTACTAAATGGTCACAGCCGCGCACGGTTTTGTGAAAATACACACTCAGCTGATATTTTACACATACAAATGTAAAATTACTCAATTGACTGTAAAAACACACAATCAAAAAAAAAAAAAAAAAATATTAAATCCTTTTTTTTCCTCAATTTGGATACAAGAATATTTACAAGTCATCGTTTATTACCCCCTCTTCAGAAAAAAAAAAAAAAAAAAAAAAAACGTAAAGGTAGCAACCGACTACAGTTCACGAAGAGAGAAAGCTGGAGGCCAAACAACCTTAAAGATATTCAGTGAATTCGAGTACTGGACAAGACCAACAGCTTAAAGAATGTCGCTTACTGTTATCAGGGCTTACTTTCTGTATTTTACACCTACAGAGCTTTAAGTCAAAGTTACAACATTATAACTGTGAAACTTCTGCTTCATACCCCCCAAAACTGCTAAGAAATGTTTAGTGCCGCTACAAATATAGGAGTAGATCGCCCTGTGGCTGTTGTGGGCTTTGCAATAAAGAAGACGAGAAGAATAATTCGCTCTTTAAAATAATGTGATAATGAGATTCATAAACCCGTTTTTTTTTTCTGTCTCTGTTCCTCTCTTTCTTTCACTTTCACTTTTTTTCACTTTCGATAAAATAATTCTTAGATTTTAATTCATGTAATACACTACAAGAACATAAGTTATAGGTGGTAAACTTGAATAAATTTACAATGCTAGTGAGTGTACCCATCTTATCTTATTAAGAATTGTTAGGTATATTCACCAAGAAATGTTTAAAACATGATGTATCTAAGGTAATTGTGGTTGCCTATGAAGTTTAATACGTCTTTCTGATTTGTATGTTGTATAGATGCTGAGCACTTCACTGTCAATAACTAGGTATTTTAAAAAAATATAAGGCTAATTGTTTTTAGGCTGTTTTTTTTTATTTTAGGCTATTTTTTTTTTGTTTTAGGCTCTTTTTTTTTATTTTAGGCCGTATTTTATCATAGGCTGTTTATTCTAGGTTACTTCTAAGAACTATATGGCTCTTTACCTGTATACATGTAAGTCTGTCAGGCGATTCTGTTGCTTCCTTAGCAGGTTATTAGTATGTGAGTACTGTAAATATCTACACGCGAATAATTCCCTATAGCTTTTAGAGATGACGTATAGTATACTTAAAATTGCTTCCAGTTTAAAATCTCAAAATAAATCATTTTTAAACAAAATTTAAACGTCTTTTTAAACCATATTTCCTATGTAAGCACCATATCCATGTGAACAATTAATAAACTAGTGTTGAATATCAAGTGTGTATTTGTAAAAGGGATGCATCTGTGCGAATAATAATGCAATGTACGATTGGTAAAAGGTCCATATACATGCATAAATAAACAGCGTATAACGGTAAAAAACCACCATTGGATGAGATAACGCACAACCATTCAATGTGAGTTTTAACAATCATTCATTGTGAATTTACACAAAATGCACCATCATTGATTGCTTAAATCGGCCATTTAAGCAATCAATGATGGTGTGTTTTTGGTGTGTTTTAGCAACATTTTACCATTTGGTGCGCCGCTGTGGGTAGGGAGCTCTGGATATTTTTGGGCGCTTATCTTGAATTGGGGTAGATTATTTGGTAGTTGATATACATTTTGTTCATTTATCTTATCTAAAACACGTATGAGTAAACATCTCATAAGACTCGGAAAACGCGAAAGAGTCTGTGCGACAAAGACGTAGACTTTATGGACGTACATAAAGTAGACGTCGTCAAAGCACGAGTGGGTAGCTCCACAAAGACGGCTAGGGAGTAGCCTCTCTAGCAGAATACTCTCTAGAGAGGACTAAAAAAATAGTGCAGTGGTCTAGACTGAGTCAGGTCAGGTTGCACGTCAATGCTGGCTAAAAGAATTTTGGACGTGCTATATGTTCCTCCATGCTCAAAACCTTCGCAGGATATTGTTCCTATTAATGTTGAGATTCAACGAATTGTTGACATCAACTTTATCAAGAGAATCAATAAATACAGTCTGAATGTCTATGACACGAAAGTAGTTGTTTTCGTTATCAAAGGATATTCCAGCAAGGCATTACAGAAGGACTACATATCAAACAATGCACGTTGTTTCTTAGCCCTTGAGAATCAGTACTGGGCACAGTCCATCCATTTTTACGATTTGAACTCAATTTATCCATCCCTCATTCACTTCATTCTGATCCTTTTCTTATAAAGAACCTCAGTATTATTAGTAAAATCATTAGTTTCTTCTTCAACTAAATCCGAATACGTTTCAACAACTTAATTAAGTCTTTATGAGTTTGTATTCATTAAATATAATTGCTTGTAATTTCCCTTTTGTGAATCGCCATTGTTAGCTACTTCATTAGTGTATTTAACTATATTCCTACCAATCTAATCGTATAACTTACCTTCTCATATAAATATTTTATCGTTTCAGTTGACAACTATAAAGTCTGGTACTCACTCATTAAGAAGAAATGTTTTGCATCTGTTTTTTTTATTATAAGAATAAATGAATCGTTTTTTCTTAATTAATTATAAAAGTTTCATGGTAAATTATCGTACAGATTGTTGAGGATATCATAGATATAATAATAAAGGTAATTGTCACATCACATTAAGGATGGATAATAATATAAAAGCTGATCATGAATTACACATTACCCCGCTTGTTCTCATCCTACCGTTGAAGTCTGTACTCAGGGCATAACCCTGTGGCGAGTAAATATTTATTCTGCAAAAAGCAATACAATCGAATGGGCCTGGACTATGGAATATTAATAGATCCTGAGCACAAATATTACTCTTGTCATTTGATGTTATAACTGTTGATCCCTCTGACTAATATTTATCTACTCAGTATGGAAGGGCTAAATTTAAAGACATGTTGATTATTTACTATCACCAGATTATTACATCATGATCCAATAAGGCGCTTAATATTCTCCCTAGAACTATCCCAGTTCTTTTTATAAATCTCCATAGTTTTTTCTCATGAACCATGAATACGTTTTAATTAATTTATTTTTTCGTCCATAATAAAGTGGTATCCAAGTTCTAACAGTATCATATTTGGCTTATTTTACTTTTGTTCTCCATGCAAAACACAGGCAACTCGATATTTTACATAGGCATAATATAAAATAGATCAGACAATAATAGTTTTTTTTTATATAAGAGCGGTCATAGTAACAAAATTTTAAGGACATTGAAGCCACTTGGTTATTATTTCTGATAAAGTATAGCCTCGCTTGCCTCAAATGGCACGAAACATTTTCGATTTGAACTTTGAGCTGGGCAGTACACAAAAACCCCTAATTTACCAATCTTCCCTTTCCACAAGTTTGTGAATTCATTAGTGTGGCTAGAAGAGTGATCTAGATTAACACATCTATGAATAAGAACTAAAGAAGGGACTGGTCAGCATATACGTAAGTCCTCTGCTTGTATAGGATAAAAAACTATGAACGATGTTCAATAACTTAAGCTGTACAATTGAGCCAAAATAAAACACATTTTTATAATCTACACACACCACAAATCAAAATAAACTTAAAAAAATGTCGTCACCAGCAGGGTTTGAACCTGCGCACGTAAACGTATGTGATTTCAAGTCACACTCCTTAACCACTCGGACATAGTGACAATTCTTGTAGACTTTTGGTTTTTTGCATATATTTATACCTGTAAAAATATATAAAACACGTGATATTCACGTGACGGTCCGATCCGGATTGTATCTGTTTACCGGAACTGCAATCTCTGTTGACCGGAATTCATGCAAAAACTTATAATTTGCATGAGTGATGACAGAATTCAAAATGTCTAGACACAACAGTGATGTTTTGTCTAATGGAAAGCGGTTCGATGAAGAAACAAACGTAAAATGTTAAATAAAGACCAGTAATCATCCTATAAATATTGCTTGTTTACCTAGATTTAAAAAAACTTCTTACATCAAAATCCGTACCTTTTTTTTCTATTTTTCTTACAAGATAGACCAAAGTAGGTTGACACTATTTGTATCGCTTCTCATTTTAAGTGGAAACAAACCTATGTTCAAACCGTTTTATTTCTATCATAGTCAAATTTAAATCGACTGAGGTTTTTTTTTCAAAAAGTGTTTTGTACCATTTATCTTTTTAAAAAAAACTCAGCCATAGGATTGCACTGTTTTTCAATGTTCAAGATAACCCGAACATTGTGGGTGGGAAAGAAAACAAAAACTTTAAATATGATAGTAGTCTGAGCGGACAAAGATTCTTTTATTCCATGACATGTTCTTTTAAAATCTGTCATGTTACTTGGAATAGAGTTACAAAACCTGGGTTCCCAAGTGATCTGTTAGACATGTCTCTATCTTTGTACTGTTAAACATTTATTGTCCTATTTTGATATTTTACCTCACAATAAAATATGCTGTAAGATATAGTAGATACAATTAAATGGTAAACTGTAATGCACTGACCACAGATACTTTAAAGTTGAAAGTGATTTTAAAGCAACGAATAATTCCCATGTTTAGAAGTGCCTCACCGCGCATGAAGTTTCCAGATAACATCGTATCATTCTAATTACTTGTTTTAGATGTTGCTCTATGCCAATTAAAATACATATATTAAAAGGCACCACCAGAATTGTACAAAATAAGGAGAATTTTTTTAGTGGAACTTAAACACAAAATCAGGATGCTAAATTCTGTAAAACTTGTTTCTGTGCTCAACATCAAGGTCAGATTTATTCCAGGGAGATTACTTTTCATGCTCTAGTGAAAGGGGATGGTGTAAAAAAGAGACGTCAATTTACTATATGTGTGCATTAATTTGAAAACATCAGACCACCTCGTGCTTATTCCTTTGACAAGGGGTGTTTAAACAAAAGTTATAGGAAACATGGTAGCTAACTTCGAATGAATAAGATTTTTATACCAAAACGTGATAGTGCGCAAAGCTTGGCACAAGCTTATTTTTCAATTAGTACCACTCTTTTGTTTCATCTGCATGGATTCTGCGAAAAGATTGCCTTCCGCTTAAATACAGTTTAGCAGATTCCCTCCGATCCTGAAAGTTGTAATAATCGGACCATACAGTACAGGATATGCAATTAATTGCTGTTATTATCCGTTGCACCAGGCAAGTGCGACGATTCTTTTATTTCCAGTAAATCCGCGAACATATGCTTCATAAAGCGGGATCGAATCAGCATACCCACAGAAAGTTATTTATAATACGCTTAAAATAAGGCACTCATCTCAACGAGTAGATCTAATAGATCTTTGCAGGATGAGTTTGCTTGCATTGTAAATTTAGATCGAGTTCAACTTTTTATAAGTAGGCACACAATAGTAAAAAAAAACCTATAAAAGTGTATTCACGATATTTTATACCATATTTAGAACGGCCTAGAAGTGTAAGTGGGTAAATGTAAAGTCAGGCATTGAAAACGACCACGTTCTGACAAGTTTTATGTTATGCAGCCGATTATACATGTACAAATTAATGGTGTAAAAAAAAAATATAGTAGGAGTTCAATGATAAAATTAATATTTACTTTTAAACAATGAATAAATGTTATTTATAAACTGTAAAGATTATATCGTGAGTGTCCAATGGATGAATAAGGAAAGGGAGTAGTGATAATAAATTATTAATGTGTGACAAAATAGCATAACTGGGTTTTGTCCTTGTTGTATAACTGGCGGTTGTCCAAAGTACAACCTAAGTCTTAATTGTGTGTGTAACCTTGTCTCTTCCCCTATAAAAAGAGCTAATTTATTTTCGTTTGATTTTTTTTATTATCTTTCCTCATAACCAACCCTTCCTTTACCAACAAACCAAACCCATTCCTTTCACTCGAAAAATGAAGTTCACTTTAGCCGCCTCCGCTTTCGCTCTTGTTTCCAGCGTTTACGCCGCTGTCCCCGCTGATTTATCCGTCTCCCCTAACTGTGTTGAGACCTATGTTGGTAAGAAATAATTACCCAGCATATATTTTGCGAGCATTCGTACTCATTATTCGATTTTTTTTATTATAGCCAAGGAAGGTGATAACTGTCACACTATTGCTGAAGAGAAGAAGCTTTCTCTCCAACAAATGTACAGATGGAACTTCGTCTACGGTGCCAAGGGTGATTGTGCCGCCTTCGTTCCTGGTGCCAGTTACTGTGTTAAGGTCGATAACAGACTCCGCAGAAGAAACTGGTTCTATAAGACTCAAGGTCTTACTGGCCAAAAGTTAGCCGTTGCTAAGGCAAAGGTTGCTGCTGCCAAGAAGACTACCAAGAAGACTACCAAGAAGACTACCAAGAAGACCACCAAGAAGACCACCAAGAAGACCACCAAGAAGACCACCAAGAAGACCACCAAGAAGACTACCAAGAAGACTTCCGGTGCTGCCTCTCAATCCAAGCCCGGTATGGACTGGAGTTCTACCCCCAAGAACGCTCCTTCCAACGCTGTTAGACATATTATTTCCACCTGTACCAAGTACTCTACTGTCACCTCTAAGGACAGCTGGTGTGGTGATTTCTCTAAGAGAAACGGTATTAACCTCACTCAACTCTACAAGTGGAACGCTTTCCTTCACGGTCCCGGTAAGCACGAATGTGATAACCTCGATGATGGTAAGGCCTACTGTGTCAAGGCTTAAGCATTCATTTAAAGCCTATTGTACCACTATAAATTATTGTAATTTTAAATCAATAAAATCATCAAATTCCCAATGTCATAAATTTCTTTATTCATCATTACTTTCCATTGATTCTTTTTCTAATAATTGATCTATATCTACTAAACGCCAGTTCCAATCGTTAATAGGTTCACCAGTTTCAGGTACTCTTCCAGAAACCATTTTACTTGCAGGAGAAAAATATGGGGTTGCAAATCTCATTCTTAAAGTGCGTCTGCCTTCATCATATAGAATAACATCTTGACTATCGCCCTTCTTATTGGCCTTAAAAGTGATGTCGGCATCAATTAATACGTCTACACCGATTTGTACACCTTCCATAATACTTTTTGAGATACGCTGTCTATAATCTTGGAATGGTTCCTCATATTCGTTTACGGCTGCTTTGTGTAAGCCGATCTGAACAGTCATCCATCTTAACACCTCGTATTTTCTATCATCTGAAAATGCATTGGGATGTCCTAATGTAACCCAGATATCGCCAAGATTAACGTCATAAATCTGAGGAATATCAATTGTGATTTCTGTATCTGGAGGTGTCGCTTTCGTGAATTTATCCAAAAGGTCCGGGCCTAATATTTGTGATAATTCATCTTTTTTTTCTGCATCCTCTGGATGATTTAAATATTCAGACAATAAAGTAACTGCTTTACGTGTAGCTAAGCTGGCTATTATAAAGAATGTCAAAAATTAAAAACCTAATTTACAATAATGATTTTTTTTTTTGTTTACCTCCAACTAAAAATTGGTCTGGAAAATTGTCATGGCCTGTATTCAATTGCAGAATACGTGTACCTAACCACTGCCCTAAATAATGCTGAGCGCCAACAGGCAAAATATTTAAAAAGCTCCAGTCGCGAGGTGCCTCTTCATATGGATATTTTGGTATGCGGGGCTCGTCCTTACTCAATAGCCAAGCTATATCGTGTTCAATAAAATTACGAGGACAAGAAAATAAAAAAGGGTCTAAAAAACAACTTACGGAAATCGTGAATTTTAGCCTCTGGTTTTTGTTCGTTTGAGCGAGGTGTTGACAAGGAAAATAATCGGGTCTGCTTCAGGTTTAAGACTGAACGTGTTGTCTTCAAGGCATTTCGCGCGCTGAGCGCATGTCTAAGAGGCAGCATGTTTTGTAACGTAAATAGAGAAAGAAAAAAAAAGGCTTGAAAAGATTCAATCTCGCCCCCAGTTCGTGCGAGCAGCCAATAAAAATCATTTGTGAGTGTAAATAGGGGAAGCGCATTTCTGCCTGACACTTTTTACAGGAAACCAAAAAAAAAAAAAAATGGATAATACGCCCACACAAACAACGAGACGAACAAAACCTCGCGAAAGAAACAGTCTGCTGAAAAAATATTATGGACTTAAAGAAACCGATGCAAACATTGCAAAGACAGTCGAAGAAGACAGCAAACCTTTTGACTTGGATGGAAACACCTTTAACTCGAGCAAGTACTTTGCTTCGCTTTTGAAAGTAAAGCCACTTCAAGGTTTAATTGAACGAGACAATGAGCTTGTTGGAGGTAAAAAAAAGCATTGACAAAGGGATTGGCTATTTGCTGGAACTAAAGCAACTTCTGTAGAGATTAGAGAAATTGATGGAGAGATGAAAACGTTGGTATACGAGAACTATAGTAAATTTATTAGTGCAACCGACACCATCAGAAAGATGAAGTCAAATGTCGAGAACATGGAATCCGAAATGAGTCGCTTAAATGAAAACATGTCCGCCATAACTAAACAGTCGAAACTTATCAACGACGAGCTGGGACCAAACAGACAAAAAATCCAGCAGTTATCAAACGTCCATAATTCTTTGAAGAGGCTTCAATTTATTTTCGAATTACCTAATCGACTTCAGCATTGTTTAAACAAAGGGAAATACGGCCAGGCAGTAAAATACTATTCTAAAGCCAGTAAACTTTTAAATCACTACAAGCATATGGCTGCATTTAAAGGTATCGAGAGAGATTGCAACCAAATAATGGATAAAGTAAAGCAAGAGATTTGGAGTGGGTTGACTGACACTAATGTTAGCCTCCAAAAAATTGCCGAAGAAACAAAGCTGTTGGTATTACTTGGTGAAGATGCTCATAGATTATGGAAAAAATATATTGAAATGTAAAGATATTCTCTAATTGATACATGTCAATTATACTTACTTTATATTAGACAGATTTCAATGTTGGAAAAGAAACAAGAATCTTCCAATCCAAATACTATAGATGATTTGGTTCTTTCTTACATAAAGCCATTAGAAGATATCGTGAAACATTTCCAAAGCTTATTTTTGGCTAATGTAATTGAAGAAAATGCCGAAAGCGATGTGGCCTCTGTGGCAAATTTGGACATATCCGAAAAAGACGAGGCGAAAACCGACTTGTTAAATGCGATTAATCCATATATTGAAAAGTTCTTTATGCTGGCTTCAAAGTTTATTGAATTACCTGTAAGTTATCATTGTTTAAAAATTACTGTCGGCACTAATACTATGCTATCTTTTATCAGCAAAACGTATCACTCAAAGAACAACCTTTAAAACAAGTGGCATGCCTTTCTGAATTGAAATTGGCTTTATCGCAGCAGACGCATGCATTGACAACTGTTGCAAAAATCGACGAACGTATGGTTGATTTAAACGCCAATTGGGAAGACGATCTTATAAATGGGGTACTGGACTCTGCAATCACAGGATTAAGAGGTAATTGGATCATTTAACTGTAAAACTATATCGGCTAACATGTGTTTTAGATCATGTGAACAAATTCATTACTTCTTTACAAGAAATAGCAGGGAAAGGAGATTCAACGGAGTTCAATACAGATGAAATCGCAGGATTTATTCAAGATACCCAGGCATGGCTTGTAGACCACATAATAAATTCGTGCTTATTACCACTCAAGGAGTGTCTCGATGTCAATAACCGAGAAACCTTAAGCCGAATCCAAAATGGCATAAAGACAATATGGCAAAAAATAAGAAATCGTTTTGAAGTAAGCGGTTATGGCACATATAACAAATCCAAATTAAAGCTAATATGATCTACATAGAATGTTCACAAGACAAGTGAGTTGGATAAAGCGTCCTTACAAATTCTTATGCTGGTTGGATCCAGGTTATGTTATGATCTTGCAGATAATGGCATATTCCAAGTTTACTCCATATTTTCATCAAGATTTTGCAAACAGAGAACGAAAGCACCAAAGACATCATCCAATAGTCCTTATCGTTCACCTGATTTAGATGCTAAAATTGAGCCTCGAGTCATTCCAGACATGAACAATATGATTGAAGGTTATCTACAAACCGGACAGACCTTATTAAACAAACAAATGATGCAAGAAGGATATCGCTTATCCACTAAAATCCAGGAAGCTTATCTACTATCAACTTTAACAAATGTCAGTCAAGTCTCTGAAATATGGTATCTCGTATTCAATAGACTAAAATATACGGAAAGATTGGTTGAAGCAGTCTATCCACAACAACAACATAATACACCACAGGGAACTTCCATCGACAATTCAGAATCCGAATACGATTATGGACCTTACTCGACTAAAAATGTTATTCAATCTACTCACAGTCTTACAACAGTATCCTCAGTATCCGAGGTTCAACCTTTACCATCATCAACCAAATTTGGAAGCAATGACATGACATTGAACATGATGAACAATATCGATAAATTGTTTGCTGAACGTGTAGACGTTTACGGAAAAGTAGAGCCCACTCCCTCAGGTGTCTGTAAAGGGTTAATCCTTATTCTATTGAAGGCATTTTTGGAAGTAACAAGGGAAATGCAAATGAGTACAGTTCACTATCAACAAATCCAAGTAGATATAGAATACATCAAACGAATCGTGTGGCCTTACACTGGTGACGAAAAGTAAGTGCTTTTCTTTTATGATCTGTTTTAGTACTAATCTTTTTTTTCCTTATAAAAGATGGGCTAGTATAGTGCTACAAGAAGTGTTGTCTGGTGTATATGCAAGATGTCTCTCACCTATATCTATAAGCCAAGATGAACTGGCTTTGATATTGACCCCTTGAATATTTCTAATAAAAATAGTGTTTGTCACGACTTTACATTGTGTTACCGAATATGACTTCTTAGTCCAGGACTCAAATGACATGTGACCCCATGTTTCTTTGTTTATGAAAGCTTATAATTAACCAGTATTAAACATTTTGTAATTCAAGGGAAGTAGTATTCCCAAAGTCAAGCTCATCCATGTATTTTACGTCATCATAAAATTAGCGCAATATATATTATTTTTTTAACTTACTTTTTATGATTCCACTTTATCATACACGTATGTACTTTTTTCTAAAAGAGTTATTGAAAAAGAATAATAAATTAACTTCGATTAGGCAGACATGCTTATTCAATATATTGATTGTAAACGTTTCATGGACGTCCGGTCCCCTTCTTTCGCAATTTTACCCGTTTTAGATCTACAAACGGTACAATCTCCGAAATATTTTTATAAAGCTGAATTTCTTTTTGGTTCTTTTTTTCTTCTTATTTCTTGAGCGTTTTTTTCTCTCTCTTTCTCTTCAAAATGACCAAAACACCAAGAAAACATATCCTAGAAAGGCTTGAGTACTACTATCAAGTGATAGATAAAACAATTATTTCAAAACAAAATGCCTCGAGTGGTTTGATGCCAGCTTCTACTGCTATTACAGTAAGCTGATGAACTTGTCATATTTGGAATTCATGATAATAACTTTTTTTTTTTTTACTTAAATAGAGTCATGGTGATTATACCGATGCCTGGGTCAGGTAAATGAAAATTTTGTTTTTTTTTTGTTTTTGTTTTCTTTATATCTTTGCTAAACCAATTAAAACACAGAGATAACGTATACTCCATTTATGCTGTTTACGGACTTGCTTTGGCTTATAGAAGATTAGATGATAATACCGGAAGAGCATGTAAGGAAGAGATAAACAAACAAGATATATGTGCTGTTTATTGATCTATCAAAAAAATAATTTTTTTTATCCATAGTTGAGCTCCAATATTCGGTTATCAAGCTTATGCGGGGTCTTTTATTTTCCATGATGCGTCAATCACACAAAGTCGAACAATTCAAACAAACTCAATCTTTAGAGCATTCACTTCATGCAAAATATAACACAAATACAGGTGAAACGGTTGTAGGAGATTTTGAGTGGGGACATTTACAAGTAAGTGCAATCTGGGATCCCATACATGGATAAAGGGATGATTAACGTTGCCTTAGATTGATGCAACTAGCTTCTTTTTATTGGCTTTGGCAGATATGACTGCAGGTGGATTTAATATTGTATATACCCAAGATGAAGTAGATTTTGTCCAAAATCTCGTATTTTATATCGAACGTAAGTCCTATCTGCTGTTTACATTTCAAATGTCGTGACCTTACTTACTCTGATATATCATCAGGTGCCTACCGTACTCCTGACTACGGTATTTGGGAGAGAGGTAACAAAATCAATCACGGACAACCGGAATTGAACTCTTCGTCTATTGGTATGGCTGTTGCTGCACTCCGTGCTATTAATGGTATCAATTTGTTTGGTGCCCGCGGTGGTCCATCTTCAGTAACGTTTTTTTTTCTAAAATCAAGAACAATGATTGCAGTTACACAAACTAATCTTATTTTTTTTATTCCAGGTTATCCATGTTTTACCAGATGAATTAACGCGTAACTCGACTACATTACATAGCTTTTTACCCCGTGAATCCAACTCAAAAGAAATTGATGCATCTGTATTATCTATAATTGGATTTCCAGCATTTGCGGTAGATGACCCCGAATTAATCCAACGCACAAGAGAAGAGGCGGTTAAAAAATTGGAGGGAAAATATGGTATGAAACGGTTTTTAAGAGACGGCCATCAAACGGTGGTTGAAGACACATCCCGCTTATACTATGATGCACAAGAACTGAAAGTATTTGAAGACATTGAATCGGAATGGCCCTTATTTTTCACTTATATGGTATTGGAGGGCCTGTTTACAGGCGATCTCCAACAAGCCGAAAACTACCAAAAGAAATTGGAACCTCTTATCATTGATTCAGTTACCATGGCACAGCAACAACAGACTCCGGCATCTCCTTTTTTGACTAGTACTACCAGCAATGATTCTTCGTATCATGTCAATACCATCTATGAAGATGATCACGATGAAGAAGAAGAGGAGCTTCATGTGCCCCTTTTGCCAGAACTGTATTATGTTCCCGCCGAAAATATCTCGGCCGAAAAAGAGAATCCACATTCCCAAAAGCGTGTACCGAATGACAACTTACCGTTAGTTTGGGCTCTTTCTCTCTACTTTTTGGGAGGCTTGATCACCGAAGATTTACTTTCACCCTCAGAAGTCGATCCACTTGGTCGCCGCTTTAATAGCTCAAGGTTGCCCAAGGATAATATTATCCAGATTGTGCTCTTGTCAGAGGATAGTGAACTTCAGGCTGCTCTATCAACTTATGGCCTCGAAACACAAACTTTAGAGCAAATTTCTTCCACCACGACCGTATTACCTCCACAAGCCCTTGTCGACGTTTACGCTGGGTTAGGGCTTAATAGTAAGATGAATATGAGTGGCAGACCCAAAAGGTAAGATCAAAATAGGGTTAATAAATTAAAATAGATATTAATGACGCTACAAAATAGACCTATTGGTGTTCTGGGTACATCCCGTTTATACAAAATCCAAGGCCAAACTTATGCATTTACACCTCATTTTATGGATAACAACGAGTTTTATATCAACTCAGACCCGGATTATTTAGTATCCGAATTTGAAAGTGAGTTGAGCTTTACAAAGAAAAACTGGTACTATCCCGGTCGACCCACCATGGTGGTTTTGCTTTCGCATGCCCTACTTGGTACTACTCATGCCAAGACAAAGAGCGCCAATAACAACAAGACAAACAATGTACTCCATAACTCGGATGCCTCCAAAAAGAATTTGTTAAACTTCTTTACAAATTTACGTGGTGGATTTTCTTGTGAAGGCAGTGTCCGTGTCAAATTATGTCGATTGGCAGAGACAATCAATACCAGTAATATTGAATCCTTGGATTTCTTGATCAATAAGCCCGAAGTCAACTGGAAACGTATTTTACGGGTCGCTCATGCTTCCCGCGTATCCAAGAAAAAATTGGGTTACAATGCATCAAAAACTCAGGCAAGTACACCCGGACATCGTACACCCGGTCATCGTACTCCTGGTAGCGGCCTCGGTGGTGCGAGCTATGGCGGAAGAACGCCTAAACGCAAAAACACTACCTTCTATGGTAAATCTTTGGCTTCGCCTCTTGACAAAATTCACGACGAAAACTATTTCGATGAGCTGGCAAACGCTTTGCACAAATTGAAGGCAAATGCCGAGCCCGAATTTAAACTAAAGGCGCATGAGGATAAGCAACAGCAAAATATAGTCGAGTCACCATTGGAATCTTTATCCCCTGTCGTGGGACAACAACTTCAAAAAACAGGCAGTGTTCCGTCTGCTAATGCAAAGGAAGATCAATCCAGCTCACCCAATGAAATGCTTTCTTTAACTCTCGGCGATTCCTCCCAATTTGATCAAGCCGTGGAAAGTTTAGCAGCCTCTGTTAATTTATATGATCAAATTGGTCAGTAAAAAAAAAAATGATATGGTTATAGTCAACGAACTAAACATTTTATTTTTTTGCGGTCTAAAATATAGATTTATTGCAGTATTTAATTTCTTGTAGACCTGCCAGCTATTATATCCAAACACTTGAAACAACTATTTTGGAATTAGTCGAAGAAGTTTATCTCAAATCCATGAAGTCACAGTATTGGTCTATTGCAAGACAGGCAGCCGGTCTTTTACATAAGAATGTGCCTTCTTTAACCATCAATATCACCGATCTTGTCATCCGCCAAAAGCAAGTTAGTATTGGCTCAGGACCCCAAGAGTATCTTATTTCTATGCCCGTCGCCCCAGATACTTTGAATAAGATGATTAGTGAACACTGGTAAATGCAAAAAAAAAAAAGCAGAAATAAGTTTATCTCACAAATTTTTTTTTTGTCAGTAACGACGATGTGCGTGAAGGACCGGTTGTACAAGAAATCATCATCTACTTGGGCAATTTGATTCGTACCCAGCCTCATATGTTTGAAGGTATTTTGCGTTTACGTACTCATTACATTATCATTGCATTGCGTGAAGAAATTAGTCGCGTAAACCATAGCGACGAGGAAGAAGCCGTGGAACATTTAATGCAATTATCCCCCTTCGAGCTTAAATCTTTGTTAAACACCGTTCTCTCTGGCCCTAGTCTTTGCCACACCAATAACAACAACATCATTGTACGCGATCGTCCCGGAGGGTTCCTGATGCTTTCAACTGCTGAGCAAAATCGCGAAGAAGCCGAAAGCAATAACAGCTATATTCCTCTTTTAAGTGAGGATAAGGTGATTCAAATTAAAGCTCAATCAGGTGGTTATTTCTCTGGAAATTTTGCAAAGGTGGAGATTAACGGGACTATCATGGAAGCCAACTCTCGTGGTATTCACGTCTGGGCTATTGATCGTAACGAAAATATTATTTTGGAGCGCGCGTCATTTGATACTCATATCTCAGAAGAAGAAAGTCAAGACTTTACAAAGTTCTTAAACTGGTTAAGTAGTGACATGATTGTCATTATTGCCTCTAAAGACGACTTTATTGAACACTTGACTGAGGATGCCATATTCACCTTGGAGCAAATGGGAAGTACCAAAATTAGACAGGTTCAATATCGGGATTCATATGTGTTTATTGGAGAAAAACGCGATCGCGAAAACATACTCGAAGCGCATCAATTATCAACGGATGGACCGACAGAAAAAATCGAAAAGACTATCCAGCTTGAAACACATCAACCTGGCACTAACACAGAAAATGAGGAAGTAACTAAAGAAAATATTCGAAACTATTTCCCTAATGCCAACGGAAGATGGCTTCGTCGTCGTAAGAATGATGGTGCATTGAACCGTGTACCCTCTTCCAATTTCTTTCCTCAAGTATGGACCATCTTGAATCAAACAGAAGGACTTGTGATCAAAAATCATGTATTGCCTCGCGATCCCATCGTTTTGGAGAAGACACCCGAAGAGTTCAACTTTGCTATTGCAGTGGAGTCTTTCTTGGGCTGGTTCACAGACCCTGCTGAACGTCAAGTGGCCGTTGAAGCTCTAACCATTATTTATCAAGAGAATGTGAAATACAAGAAGATGTTGGACCTGACCGTAATTATTAACCAGGCCGTTCAAAACTTTTGGAAGAAGTGGGTCGATTTAAACAAATTGACAAAGTTGTTTGGAAAATCCAATGCCTTTGAGGAGCATATCGATCTTGCTCGTCAATTGTTCTTTGACTTACCCTTGAATGGCACCGAAAGTACTGGCTCTTATATTAAAGCAAGTCTGGCTCACACTTTGACATCACCTTAGATTCTATCTCCCTTACAAAAATAATCTTTTATTTATCTAAAACCCAAAAGCTGTTCGATTTACCCCTTTTATAACCTAATGGTTCTTTTTGCTCTATAAACTAAAAATATTTGAACTAAAAATAAAACTCGATTACAGTTAATCTTGGAATTAAATCCTAAGAGCTCCCGTCTTAATTGAAATTGACCGTTCGTCAATGGATTTGGATACGAATCGCTATTTCAAAGCTCATCTAGTGCTTAAGGTATATTGAACATGAAAAGCTTGCACATAGCACCAAAGTGCGAATCCAGCATATCAACACATAGATTTTAAGTGAGACAAACATACACATTACCAGCTAAATCAAATGAGCATAGTCACTATATACTATATAATAGTGACCTTGTATTCAATACAAATATGTAAGCGTAAAACGGGATTCACCTTGAAATACAACAATCCATTTAATGTAATCTAAAGTCATGTCTAGTGAATCTTCTCACAAAGGCGTCGTTATTGGTACTCGTATTGCCGAAATAATTAAGAGTCAGGTCAAATTGTGTGGCGTATTATTCAATTCAGATTTTTGCAATACGCCCTGAAATTTTTTAATGCCTTTGTATAGATACCCTATGACCATAATGTAATCAATAAACATTCACAGCAATTTTAATTTTTTTGGTTAATCCGGATAGCGATCTATAAATCTTTTTTCCCTCCCAAAAGCAAAAAGTATTCAAGTCAGCACCCTTGCGCTGGAAGAACTCTTCATTACGTTGCATATATCTGGGCAGAGTACAGGGACTTGTCTTCGTCACTGGATGTGTATAGTATATAGTCAATTAAAAAAAAAGGAACATATTTTTAAGTTCATTATCATACACGAACTTTCGAAGTAATACACCATTCAAGAATGGAATGAATCTTTTGTAAACGAAGTCAATTCAGAAATATTGTATTTCGACCGTATCATAGATAAATTTATCTTATTACAAAAATAATTAGTTATAAATAGAATTAGGATAGAAATGTCCATAAAAATACACAAACAAATATAAACCTATCAAAGATTTCATATATGAAGTGCTAAACTTGGTTATTTTTTTTATCAGCGACTCAGCAGTAAAATGTACCCTTACTGAAGCGCACGTTATGAGGATCATTCAGCTTCAACAAAAAAAATTATAGGCATAGACACGGATCACACTTGAAAAAATCTAATCATGTGAGTAGAAGTACACTTTAGATAATATGTGTAGGTTTTACTGACATCACATCTACCAGACTCGGGTTCTACCCCGTCTCGATTCAGATTTTTTAGTTTAATGAGTAGGTATAACACTACCTAATGCTCATCTTTTGATTATAATTCAATATTTAGTGAAAAGATTTGAACAGTGTAAGAGTAAGGTGCTTATGTAGTTTTTTCCATGATAATGCTATAATTTCAAGCTTTGAAAGTGACCCAAAAGTAAAAAAAAAAAAGAGACCAAAAGAAATGACCAATTGGAAATCTAAGAAAGAGCAACCAATCATATTTTAAAATCCGACCAATATTTCCACAAAAGTGTCCAACTGACGGTGGAAACAGTGCGTCTATTTCGTGTTTCCTCTTTTTTTTTTTATATTTTATATTTTTTTATTTTCTAAAAAGGCAAATCATCAAGGATCAAATGAAACTTTTATTGTCAGTTTGTATCTTATTATCGGGGCATTTGATTTTTGCACAACAAGCATGCCAAGGTGAACATTATAGTTTTAATTATAGGACATAAACAAGAAATTAACCATCTTTAATAGGTATTGAAATATTATATCCAAAAACAGATTCTGTTATCGACCGAACAGAGGATCAGACATCCACTTATTTAATACTTGGTAAGACCAAAAAAAAAAGGGAAGGGGGGGGTTTATTACATGCACAATAGAGAGAAAAAAAAAAGAAAAAAAGAAAGGGGGACGCGGGCTAAAACGAATGATATAGGTAATACGTACAAAAATAGCGTCTTGAAAAAGGTTTTGCTTTTACATGAAAAAGATGGAAGTGAAGTTACAAAGGAAGTCTGGACCGGAGAAGACGATCTTTTAAAAGTATCGGCTATCCAGCAAAATTTGGGTGACCTTGATTTACCAAATACATATTGGTTCAGGTAATGATGGCCCAGGGTATTTATATATGGCTAATTACTAACATGTATAAATATAGTGCTCTGATTGAGCAGGAAGGTCATGAATGTTTATTCGATTCTGGTAGATTCAAAATCAATAACAACCAGTAGTTTGAGTGGAAAAATAAAAAATAATAATCTATAAATATTTTAATTTACATTTCTTTATTCGTCAAGGCGTGTCACATTAATTATGAACTCCTTCTAAACAACTTCTAAGTTGGATATAAAAACGGATTTATAAAAATCATTTTCTTTTTTTTTTTCCTTCCTTTTTCTCTCTTTTTTTTTTCTCTTTCTTTGTTAGACAATAAAATAAACCCATCCCCTCCCAATCACAACCTATTCACAATGAAATTCTCTATTGCAGCTGCTTCCGTTTTTGCTCTTACCTTTTTATCAGCTGCTGTCAAAGCAGATAGTTATACCGATATTATTGCTGAATTCTGTGACGGTAAATAGCCTAGACAACAAATATGTATAACCACATACTAACTTTCTAGAATTCAGGGCTTGAAGTAACTACCCCACTCGATACCGATGTCCTCGTGTCTGGAAGCAATGCCACCGTTACAGTCAGTAAGTGCATTTGCGGAGAAAGGGGATTTCTGCACTATTGACTCATTAATTTTTTTTATTTTTTTTTTTTTTTTATTTATAGCTCGTGTAGCTAATAGTCATGAAAAGACAATTACCGGTCTTGATGTATGTAAAATACAATTAAGGATGCATGTAGCTTTTTACTAACCTACACCGCTTTTTTTAATAGTTGTATTCAGTTGATAGTGAAGGTACACCTAAATATATTAAGAATACTTGGGCTGGTCAATACAACTTGCAAACATCCGCTTCCATCTCTGATCAAATCCCTCAAGACACTGCTGCCGGTCTCTACTATTATCGGTAAGTGAAAAGAAGGAAAGAAGGAAAACCATGGTTACATAACTAATTATGCATAATAATAGTGTCTGGGTTACCAACATGATTGATGGCCAACATGGTCCTGACTGTATCAAAACTTCCCGTACATTCAAGGTCGCCACTGACTCTCACACCAACGAAGCTGGTTTCACATCTTATGCTCAATCATTAGACGACGTTACTTATTACAAGCCTGAGTTTGCCAAGGGTTGTTTCGGTTTAACCGTGAAGAGTCCTGCTGAAGGTGAGACTCAAAAGCAAAACTCTCATGTCGCCATCGTCTTGCAACGTGACAGTGCTTCTCAAACCGATGCTTTAACCAAGGTTGAGGTCTACAGAGCTCTCGAAGGTCCCGATAAGATGGTCGATACTATCTGGGTTGGTAAAGAGGCTTTAGCCAATGCTTTCACTATCAAGGATCAACTTCGTATCCCCAGTGACAACTTTGAAGCCGATGCTGTCTACTACTACAAGATTGATGTTACCAGTCAAGTCAAGGGAGAAACATGTAGTTTCCAATCAGGTGCTTTCAAGATCACCGCCTAAAAAAAAAAAATGTAACAATGAAATTATTTAACTCTACCATAAAAAAAAAAAAAAGATTCATTCCCCCCACCCCCCTTCCCATTATATAACATATTTTCATCTCTATTTCATATATAAACTTCCACGACTTTTTTTTTTGTTATTTGCCACTTTGAATAAAAAGGCCTTTTTTTTTTTTGCTTGTTTTGTGAAAGAAATGACGGGTACCCGATGTTGACCCCCCCTTTGAAAATTTATTTATAGTTTGTGCATGCTGATTGTTAGGGTCAAGACAGGATATAAATTACGCACTTTTGCTTCTAGTATAAATTAGGACAATAATAATAGCCCCCACATTGTTTTTGTTTATTAGTAAAACAATCGATCCCGAAATTTAAATATCTATTTGTGTATTTGCAATTAAAAAAAAAAAACAAGCTGTATTTCTTCAACTATATAACAAAAATAAAAAATCAAGTTTCTTCTGCACTCAAACGTGTATTGTATTTGTAGCCGGCGGCTTTAGAAATCAATAATAAAAAAAAAAGCTATAACAAACAAAAGGGATCTAATGGGTGGTCCCACATAAATACAGTCTTCATACATAAAGTTATTGTCACACCATTAAAATTAGATATTTGCCGCCATTCTCTTCTCGGTATCTAATCCGTAATTGCAGACCTCCTCCGCTCGCCCGTCAAGCAAAGTAGATAGTTTGTTGTTCAGATTTTACGCGTCCTCTAAAAGAATGTTGCTACACTCTAAAAGTCCAAAAAAAAAAAAAACGCTAATCATACTCACTAAGACTCTCCGAAACTTTCCCTGTTTAATTTTTATACAGGCTATATTAGACTTTTTAAAGCATCCCGCAGCTTATTAAAAAAAAAAAAAATTACTCTAGGCAATTATTTGCTGTACAAGAAGGTGATGGGGTTGCCACAATTGTCTTTTCCCTTTTAGAAAGTATAATAAAATTACAGACAGGGCTAGTTATCACTAAATTAAACTTTAGTTGACATCAATATAACCATCTATCCGTTCTGTCCTTTTTTTTTTCAGACGTTGTCTATAGAGTGTACTTTTTCTGTTGAGTATGCTTATATTGAATGATTTAAGTACCAAGATCAATAAGCCCTTAATTATTCTGACCTTTTTAGCAGTGGCGGGTTTGACTCTTGCATAACCTTTTTTTTTTAATTAATTCTTTTAATTACTGCCTCATAATCAGGACTTTGAACTTTTATAGCCAAAATAATTATTGGTTTCAGGATTTTAAATGTAGCCTGATAAAAAAAAAAAAAAAAGATTGGTAGCATCTATTCTTCAAATTTTCCCTGTATATATATAAAAAAAAAATGGGAATTCTACTCTCATTATTCTGTTGTGGATGTTGTTCTTCTGGAAAAGAAAAAAAAAAGGTGTTCGTTACAGATGAAACAGGCATTCGAAATTTAGTTTTGCGTGAGATCGGCATCCAAAAGCAATAGTCATACGTGTGCCGATTTAAAAATTACTACCTGGTCCGTGGTCCCCTTTTTTTTTCTCTATACCTGCAGTATTTATTGTTTATATGCGGGCAAGCATTTTTAAACCCCCGAAGGCTATATACGACAGTGGCGCCTAACGAGGTTTATATTTTTACCTAGAATATTGCTATGTATTTTACATCACACCCGGTTGTATCTATTAGAAACAAATCTAGTTAAGATGCATTGTTATCAACAGCCTTTCAAAATTGAAACGCACGCACCGTAAAAAAAGATTCTATTGGGCATCTACTTGATATTTCTGCCATATGAAGTCACGGGGACGTGCCTATTGTGTACAAGACAGCCAGATGATTGACATTATGTAGATCTAATGAAATTTTTTTTTTAAAGTTACTATACCATTCAAGTACGATGTCTGAAATCAATTAGATGTGTTTTCATGATATAATAACTCTGCTTAAATACCAACAGTCCAGCTTTTTAGTAAAAGGTCTGATGATAGAACCATGGCTCTATTCTCAATCGTATTACAGACTCTAGTGCACATAACTTTATCTCAGCAGTTATGAAATGAATATGAATCATATAGGACTGATTATATCAACAACCTCCCAAGGTAGTTTTTTTTTTCTTAGGTGTGGGGGAGAGATGACTGTTACATTTGTTTATATTAAAGAGTTACCTAAAAAGTCCACCCCCCCTTTTTTTAGCAACCGTTTACATTTGTTTTACCTCATAAACTCTTCTTATCGATGATTCCATCGCAGATTGTCTACCAGAGATTATTTCATCTAGTACTCTATGTTCTCTTTACTACCAGACATATAATTCTTGTCATAAACAAACTAAAATAGGGAAAACAAGATCGATTTGATTATCGCAGCATAAACAAATAAACAAATAATAAAAAAAAAAAAAAAAAAAAAAAGGGTTTCTGGATGTTTAAATCTATTTCAAAAAAAGTGCTACTAGTCACAAAGAAAGATATTTACCTACTTTATAACAAGTGTGCTATTCTTCAAAGCTTTTTACTTTTACTTATTCAAAAAAAAAACTAACATATTTTTCTTTGATAGAAATCTTATGTCATCAAGATACCTTTTTTTTTCAAATGGTGTTCACATGTACCAATGAATTTTTCTTGGCTGAAACAAATAAACAAAAAAAAAAAAAAAAAAAAAAAAAAGGTATAAAAGACAGACAGATTTTAACTTTTAGAAAAAGTTCGAGACGATCATCACTTAACAACGGCGCTTATATTTAGTGATGTGCTGGCGAGTAATCTTTTAGAGAACTCTTTGGGACCTGGAGACGTCTAGTATCTTTGGGGGACCTTCTGGTGAGCTTTTCAGTGTTGCATGGTATGTCTTGATGTGAACGGGGTAAGTGTCTAAAACCGGAGGGAGTATGTGGGTTGTTGGATCTTGTGGCTGTGAGGAAAATTCTCCCGTGGGTGTGGCGTCCCCTTTACCGGCATCATAAATCCTGTAGTGATCGTTGGGGTGTATCATGTCCGTTTCCGCTATTGATTTTCTATACATCTTCTATACCGCCATAGAAATGCTGTATACTTTTTGTATAATGGGGCAAGTTTCTCAAAATTAAGGTAATCTACTGCTTATCAGTATGGTTTTTTTTTTAGGTTTTCTGCTCTTTACGCTCTCGTCTTTTCTTATAAATAAAAGATTCGAGAAGGGAATGCATAGATACAAGCCTCCGCGCGGCCATTCCTGGGCAACACTCTTTTGTAGAGTGGCTAGTGTGTATCTTTTTTTAATAAATAAAGTATTGCTTTTTTAAAATAACATCGTCTTTTTTTTTAAAAAAATGAGCTTCTCTTTGGTAATCCACGTACACACAAACTAAATAATTCCCCGTCTTCTCTTATATTTTCGCTTCGCGTAATTTTATTAGAACAGCTGCTTGGCAGTGCTTTTATATCTTTTTTCTCACGAAATGACTGATATACGTAAGTCTATAGACAACCTTTTACTTGTTTTCAACTAGAAAAGTTATGATACTGTTAAATAGAAGGAAATGTCTAGAACTCCGTATTTTTTTTCAAATAAACGTATTTTTTTAGAATCACGCGATGGTCTACACGTCGATTGACATGCCATATCATCTAAACTTCATGGGATGATCGATTTCTGTTTTCCATAAAAATCTGCTTCAATGTCATTACAAGTTACTACTGAAACACATATAGACAATTTACCAAGCTCTGACTTGCTTGGGAGTTGTTTGCAAGTGTTTCTTATTTTAAAATTTCATGGGCTTATTTTTTAAAAATATTTAGCAGGACGTTTTTTGCAACCTCTTAAAATTAAAATCTTATTGGACCTATCTTTTTTATTTTCATGATTGAATACCCCCTTTCAACAACAGACTAGTTTATTGGCTTAAAAAAATTTGTATTAAATCATACCCTTAATAGAGTGAGAAATGGGCATCCTAATTTCCACTTCCTACATTATGCATAAAAGATATCTGAGTCTAAATTTGCTCTCGTTGTTGCCAACTAGGATGTGTCGAAATAGAAAAACATATCGTTATTTTTTTGTGACCAGAGTCAATTGCTAGTTAAATTTAAGTTACTGTTTGTGTCTGATATCATGTTAAATGACAGCCTAAAAAAAAAGACTTCATTTTTATTATTATGAGCATAAATTAAGTTAGTTGAAGGCTCCCCCTTTTTATGAAATTCAGGTGGTTGATTGAGTAGGAAAGGTTAATTCCCAAAATCCAGGTGGTGTCTTTTCTCTTGGCCGATGTCGAGAATGATTGGACTGTCGATCTGCAGGTGTTATCATATTGTTTCGATTACGAGGATCAGGCATCGCATCCGTACCATAAAACTAACAAGAGAACAAAAAATTAGCATACCCCTCACAAAATACAATCTTTTACCTCTTTACCTTTTCACAAGCATTACAGGTTCCCTTACCACCATCATGGTTATGTTTTACCTCCACCTGTACTTTGCTAGCCAAGTTCTTAATGTTGGTAGGCACTACTTTTAAAGCCTGTCGTTGATTCGTCAAGGGTGGGCTTTCCTCTTCTTGTTTCATAGCAGCAGTATTTTTTTCTTTTTGCAACAAGGGTACATTCTCCTCTTCTTGTTGCAACAACGATACCTCTTCTTCCTGTGGTAATAAAGGTGGCTCGTCTTCGTGTAAGGATGTTTCATGTTTTATACTGTTAGGTTCCACCTCATGAGAATCCAAAGACCATGAATCGATATAAACCAAAGTAGGTTCTGACTTTTTCGCTACTGCTGCTGCTGCTGCTGCTGCTGTGGTGGTGGTTGGTACTCGTGTAGGTAAAAGTGGAGGAGATACATCTGCTTTACGTTTTTGTGAGGATCGTCCAAAAGAGACGGGTGTATCTAACTGAAATTGCTCTTGGTTATCGCGTGCCTTTCCTTTTCTTCGACTATGTTCAATGGTGGTACGTGGATCCATAACAAAATCATCATCGTCATAATCATTATACGGGTGTTTATCTTCATCGTTTTTCGATAGCATAGAACTGATGGATTGTTGGACCAAGTGTGTATTTTTCGGTGCGAATAGTTTTTGAGAGGATGCATTTCGTTTGCTATTGGAATTCCATCTAAAGTGTGTGTATATGTGTCAGTCCCCTTTTTGTTTAAAAAAAAACAAAAATGTTTAGATTTGTATTAAAAAAAAAAAAAAACATACAATCGGTTTAGTTGCTTATTTTCTTGAAACTGTTGGGTATGTTGATTGTTGAGGTCTAGAAAGAATAGTCAGTTCCCCCAAAATGTATATAGATACATGTCTGTGTGTGCTACCTTTGATTTGATTGGATTGTATATCGATCAATCTGTTCAAGTTTGTGATTGTGCTGCACCTGTCATTCAATTGATACTTGAGTTCCTCTGATTCTTCCACTAAGCCTAACACATCATTTATTAAAATATAAAAAAAAAAAGGGGGAGGGGTAGGCCTATCCATGCCTTAGAAAGACTTACCTTGATTAATATCACCTAACGATTTCACCATATCTCTTAATTCTTTATTTTCCAATGTAGTCGAATGAGCAATCTCCTGAAACCGTTTCAATTCACCTGTTTCTTCTACACATTATTTTTTTTTTTTAAAAAAAAGGCTATAAAGAGAGAGCCCCCCCCCCTTTTTCTTTTCATTTTTTTTTTTGTTACCTGGTGTGGCTCGCACCTCTTGTAGTTGCCTTTGTAGACTTTTTTTTTCATTTTCCGTATCAGCTAATTGTTGTCTCGTCCAGGATAATTCACCTTGCACTTGGCCTAAACGTGTGTTCAGGCTTTGCACCTGATCCTCCAGTTTCCCAATCGCACTTTGTTGTAACCGATTTGTCTTTCGTTCCTCGTCTAACCGCGTTCTTAACACATCTATTCAACATGAGTTCTCTCTCTTCCCCCTTCTTTTCTCTTTTCTTTTACCAATGTCCATGGTTGTTTTGTTGTAGGAAAACGAGACAAAAAAAAAAAAAGAAAAAAAAAAAGGGCGTTCCCTCTCGCGTGCTCTTGGGACTGTTTTAAGTCCCCACTAAAAAAAAAAAAAAATGTCACCATCCAGCACACTAAAACTTTCTTTTTCTTCTTTACACACACACACACACACAGATGAGCATACAATACAGTGAATACCAATCCGAACTCCAATTACCCGAGATTATTCACCTCATCGAAAACGACTTGTCAGAACCTTATTCGGTTTACACCTACCGTTACTTTATCCACAACTGGCCCAACCTCTGCTTCTTGGTAATATTTTTTTTTTTAACGACCTGCATAAACAATGTAAAGTTTCTAATGATGAGAAAGCGGGTTGGGGTAGGCTATGGATGGGGATACTTATGTAGGCGTCATTATATGTAAATTGGATAGACACAAGGATAGACTCAGAGGTTACATTGCCATGTTGGCCGTCTCCAAAACTCATCGCAAAAAATCCATTGGTTCCAACCTTGTCAAACAAGCCATTCGTGCCATGAAGGCCATGGATGCTGATGAGGTAAATAACAACAAAAACCCCCTTTATCTATAATCAAGGAAGAAAACTAACACATCAAAAAAAAAAGGTGGTGCTGGAGACAGAATTCACCAATTTGGGAGCATTAGGATTATATCAACGCTTAGGATTTATCAAGGACAAACGACTTTATCGTTACTATCTCAATGGCGTCGATGCATTTCGACTTAAACTCTTTTGCAAAACCATGGTCCAAGATTAAATTTAATTAAAAAAAAAATATATATATATATGTAAAAAAAAAAAAAAGGTGGATGGGTAGGGTGTGTGTGTGGGGGGATATACAAGATACTTTTCTTAAATGGCCATGTCAGTAGTTTTTGACATGAGGAATTCTTCTGCAACCACTGGATCCAACATTAATTGAGAAGCCAAGGTAAAGACGGTAAAGACACCTTCTCGCATGTCCCGGGAGACACGTTTCATGCGGGCCTCAAATTGCTCCAATTTCGTCAACAGCGGTATTTCGGGGTCGTTCAACCCTTCTTGTTCCTCTGGTACCTCCGTTTGGCCCATGGCATCCATCGCCAATTGAGACGAAGAGCTCTTGCGTGACTCGCGTGACAAAAACTTACGAAAACTACTATAATACGAATCAGGTTTATCCTTGGCTAATTTATCCGCATTCATGGCACGTTGCGATGTCACATCATGAATAAATATCTTGATAATCTGATCCGGGAACTCCTTGTAGATATCCCCAAATACTTCTGGATCAATCTCCCCTGAATCCCCTACCAGAATAAACTTGCGATGCGGGAAATCACGCAGGATCTTGGGAATCATCTCTCGTTTATGTTTACCCGCTTTACCAATAATCAAATCTTGGGTACTCACAGACCGTAAATGCATACTACCCCGTGGAAAATGTTTACTCGCAATAAATTCACTGAGGGCTGGGTACACTTGCCATGGTGAATTGGACACATAATGTACATGCGCTCCTTCACTCGCCCAACTCTGAAATACTTCACTCATATGAGGTACCTCTCGTGCCTGTCGAAAAAACGTGTTTTGTAAAATCGCATCTTTACCATCCAAGATATCCGTCACTTTAATCGTATCATCAATATCAGAGATCACAGAAATACCATATGGGTCAATAATATCAATGTATCCATTAAACGGTGGCTCACCTAAAATCATCTTTGGGTTAAAAAATACACATAACATCAAAACTTTTATATACATATATGTACCATCTTCCGCAAACGTCGCTTCCACTGTCAAATACTTATTTTCTTCTTTTAATTTCTTAACAGACGCTGTGTCCAAATAGATCTCCTCCTCAAATCGACCACTGGGACCCGTATTCACAGACGCTGCATAATCTCGAAACTCTCGAATCTTTTCTTGTTGATCCGGTCGTAACAGGTCTTCGTTTTGCTCAATAAATCGTTGTGCAAGAATCCCCGGTAACGTCAACTTGACATCCGTCATCTTCATCGTCTCACATCGAAATTGGTTTAAAAGGCTGGTAAAGTGTGTATCCTCTACCGTATCTCTTGCTAACCCACCATATGTTCTCCCCGCCGCTATTTATATATAAAAAAAGTAAGTACAAAAGACACTCCCCCCGAGCGTATCCATCTTCTTTTTTTTTTAAAAAAAAATTACCAAGCAACCACCGGTCCAGTCGTGAGGACCCAGGTTTGGCAAAAGCCCAACCCGCTAAATGTATTTTCCACTGAATGTCTTGTTGATGATGATCCACTTGACATGCATAGGTAGGGAATATCAAACACTGAGGTTGAACCACCTCCGGTAAGGCATCTTCTAGCATATCCTCCAACTCATCTGTATCTGTACGTTTCATTTCGTTATGAATGGGTTCATTGGAGGTAGTGGACATGACACTACGAGCTCGAGAAGGGGGTGTCACTGAAGGCTCATAATACTTGTTGATTTCTTTCTTGATGGTCAACGTGGTTGCTTGGGCTAACGATCGAAGACGGTCTCGACGTCTTACTCGAGGTTCTCCTTGTGTATTGAAACTAGTAAAGCTCATTGGGATATAAAAGAATTTAAAATAATAATAATAAAAAATAAAAAAATGTGTGTGTGCAGTCTGCAAAAAAAAAAAGATCACATGAAAAAAAAAAAAGATGCCTATTTGCCACATTGTCTCTATTACCATGTGTTACGTAATTGTTTTTTTTTAGTGGCTTTCAGAAAGGATAAAAAAAAAAAAAGCTTAAATTAAGAAAGCATGTGATGCGAAATATGTCACACGGACCCGTTTTTTTTTTTTTAGATATGGAATTTTGAATAATTATGTATGTATATATATTTTTTGTTTTGAGAAAAAAAAAAAAAAAAAAAAAAAAGAAAAATGTGTGATTGTGTGTGAGTATTTTTTTTTTTGTTTTTTTTTTTTGCATAATGTAAAAAAGTTTCTATCAAATTTTTTTGTTGTTGTTTGTTGTAGGTAAGCATGTTTTTTTTTTATATATATGTATATGGGAAGGATCTCTCTTAAGCGGGCACAGGTGTAGCACCAGTCATACTATTTCTTGATTTCTACAGATACAAAAAAAAAAAAAAAAAAAAAAAGAGTCAATGGACAGCAACAACAAAAACAAGACTACTACTTACACCGTGGTGAGGCACCTTGTATGTGGTCTCTTCTTCTGTAACAGGCGCTTCCGCATTTCTGAAATCTTCCACAGACTTATACTTTTGTAATAACTCGTTCAAAGCATCCGTAATCTTCAATTCTCTCTTCTTCTTATCTTTACGGTAATAAGTATAAGCCCAGAACTTTTCAAGTCCATACAAATGTCCTCGTTCATAATCTGCTAAAGTCAACTCTTGGAAATCTTCAAATAACTCCTTACGATAACGCTTCTCCAAACCATACGAGTAGAAACGGAAGAGGCACTCCAAGCCATATCTTTGTCAAAAAAAAAAAAAAAAAAATTGTTAGTAAACACACACACTGGTTATTCCTTTTTTTTCTTCTTCTTCTTACCTGTAGTTTTGGTTGGCATCTTCAACTGCTAAACGCTTAAACTCGTTATACATACGCTTGTTGAAATGATCACGCAAGAAATGAGACCAGAAACGGAACAAGGTGTTCATTTCTTGAGAATGACCCACACCCAATTGCTTACGCTCTCTTAAAGCCTTAGCATGATACTTGTAATACTTGTGTTGAACAAATCCCTTATCACGCAATAAATCATGACTGGGGTGTTGGAAACTACCAAATGAATGTGCCATAGTATCCACGGAGGAGGAAAGCATCCCTTCCCCTGTCGTATGAGGACTCTTACCGTAACTTGTAGATAATAAATCATTGGGGTTGTAATGATAGGCTTGATCACTCAAGACCCAACCCACATGACCTTGATCGTTGGTCTTGCGTGTAGGAGTCGTACCAAAGAAGGCAGAACTGGGTAAAGATTCAGGACGAACTGCATAGAAACGAGGGGTGGATTTATCGTTCTTGATGGGTTTAGCATGGATCGTGGTACTCGAAAGTTGTGTACCCACTTGCTCACCATTGTGATGACCTTGATGTTGTGCCTCACGCGACTTTAATTGGTCAAATTGATCTTTACCAACAGATCCCACTTTAGGTGTCACACCACTCGAACTACGCAGACCAGATTCATATTGATAGAGTCCCTCATTGATCATTTCTGAAATATCTTCATTGATCTTGGCTCGGTTAAAATTCGTGTGAGAGCGATCTTGTTTACGTTGGGTGACAATCATAATACGTGCAACTGTATCATCATCCATCTCAAGATCATCCTCATCCTCATCTTCTTCATCTGAAAGGTAGTATTTTTTGACTGTATCACTACGGCTACCATCAGTCCAATCATCATCAAAATCAAACAAGTCATCTTCTTCTTTAGGTTTGGGTTTGGGTTGACTCGTATTGTTCTTTAACTTGGGAACAACAGCAGGGAGTAAAGTAGTACCTGCTAAAGAAGCTAACGTGGGTTGAGGGTTAGGGGGTGCGTTTTGTTTAGCTACTTGGGCTGCCGTTGTCGTGGTTTTGGGAACAACAGGTGTCACAGGTGTAGGACCAGGAATGACAGCAGGCATCAACCATGTCTCCCATCCTTCTCTCTTTCGTAACTTGTCACCTTTTACCTCCAAGATCTGGCTATTGTCTAACGCTTCACGAATTAACTTGATGTCAGTTGTTAAACCCTTGACTCGGTTGAAATTGGCAATAAACGATAAATCAACAAATCCATTAGCATCCATTTGCTGACGCAAAAAGATATCCTTGCACAAATTATCGATACTAAAGTAGTACTCACTATTATAAAGGCGAGGGAGAGGGGAGAAGAGAGACGAGGTTACTACTACTACAATTTTTTTTTTGACATGATGATGATGATGAAAAAAAAAACTTACATTTGTTGCATAATGTACATCTTTAAAGTGTCTTCATCAATATTGATAAAGGCAGGTGTCTTGCGTGCACCAGAACGGTAGTTAGATTTGGGACGAACAGAGCGAGCTTTAGGTTTCTTGTCTTCTTCTTTTGTATCTGACTTGACAGGTGTCTCAGCCGTGGCAGTAGCAGCAGCAGCAGAAGTAGTAGCAGCAGCATTAGCAGCAGCAGGAGCAGCTGTGGTGTCTTTGGACTTGGAGACACGACGAGCACCGTTTACAGTGGCAGGTTTCTTCATCTCTTTACGTTCAGAAGTACGACGAATGTTCTTGCGAGCATTAGCAGCGGGAACACGAGGACTACCGGTAGAGGCATGAACAAGTGTAGGTGTGAAGGGTTTCCATTGACCTTTATTCTTTACTTTAGTTTCTACAAATTTATCCTTTTCGTTTGTGTCTTCTGTCTCCACTGCAGCTTCCTTGGGTGCAGGCCAGTCTTACAAAAAAAAAAAAAATTATTAGTCACTTGCTTTGAACCTCCCCCCCCACGTCAAAAAAAAAAAAAAACTTACCAGCAACTACTTCGGATATTTTCTCGGTTACTTCGACAGTGACGTTCCAAGCACTCTTTTCTGGAATAGGTGCTGGTACAATCGTTGTTTGTTTCTCTTCAATCACGAGATCCTTTGTCTGAATTACTTTTTCGGTAACGTTAATATCCATTTTAATTTCTTAACAGCTGAAAAAAAAAAAAAAAGTGCTAGCTAAAAAAATTAAAAAAAAAAAAGATTTTATTGTTTAAAATTTTTTTTTTTGAAATGGAGTTTGGAATTCAAAAAAAAGTATGACAACAATCTCTTTCAGCAACCCCCACGTCAAAAAAAAAAAAAAAATGTTTCGTAAGTAAAATAAGCCACACTTCAAACATTGTCAAACAAAGAAAAAAAAAAGGTTTCATATACTCTCTTTTTTTTTTTACCCTTGCCCTCTCTCTCTCTCTCTCTCTTTCTCTCTTTCCACATTTTTTGACGTGGCATCATTTATCAGCGGGGAATGTAAAATACCTTTCAATGACGCAAGGATGACACGGGTTTGTCCATTTAAAGTAATTCTTCTTTTACTATCCCGTCATCTACCAATGGTTGATTCAGGAGACTTTCCATCGTATTCCACGCGTCTTTTTTTAATCATCCCAGCATATCTTTTTTTTTATTGACTGCCGTTAAAAAAAAGTACAAGAAATAAATTCAGGACACCCCAAAAAAGAAAAAAAAAAAAAATCCTGCATCATGCAATATGCAGAACACACCATTTGGATCGTCCGATAAGAAAAAACCCGTATAAATAAAAAAAAAAAAAAAAAAAAGGGTTTTTCCTTCCCCCCCCCCCCCGTGGGAAAATTTTAATACTAATTATGCTTTATGTTTACCTGAAGCATCAGGACCAAGGTTCTTGGAATACATTTTTTTACCAGCCATTTCCATAAATTCCATATCTTGAGCGTGGCTCAGTACCCCGCCACCTTCCATTGCTTCTTCATTTTCGTCTCTCTTTAACGGTTTCACCAACCACACTTTTAATTTACGGTTAGTTTTTGTTTTTATTAAAAGTTTTCCCTTGCACCTTACCTTCCACTTCATCCACAAGAAAGTTCTCCTCACGTGACAATCGAGGACTATCAAATGTAGTACACAATGGTCCACCTCTTGAATGTCCATGCATAAAATCCGTTTCCATCCATAACCCAGCATACTCAAATTGTCCACCCAATCCCATCCCATTCGGTAATGTCTTTTTACCCCAACACAAGTACTGATAATGTCCATTGGCTGTTGTCCCAGGCCATCCACCATATCCTTCCGTCAACCGAAACAAGAAATTACTACTATTACCATACCATTCTGTACCGCATTCCCATCGTTCATCCGCATAACCACCAAACACCGATCCATCCTTTGCCTTGATCACAATCACCGTCGATCCCTTTCCAATCATTCCCCCTACAAAGTTCTGCCAACTCATACCATCACGTCTGGATGAAAATAATAATTTGTGTTGAACGTCTCCTTTCACCCGTCTTTCTTGACGTTCATATTCTGTCCATGAGAGAGCATCACGCGGTAAATACTGGGTGATCAAGAAATAATCATACACCGTCAATAGGTCAGAGAATCGATCTTTACCAAACATCGCTAGCGTCTCTTCTCCATGAGGTGCCATCTCGGGTGACGCTGTGTGTTGTACACGTTCTTTATGAATGTCCACGACAGCACCCGTAAACGTATGCGCCATGACACGTGCGAACAATAATGTCAATGTAGGTGTACGTCTAATCCAATCTTCAAATTCACGTTGACTAATGGCACTGGGTGCAACCTCCGTTTTCTCTTTCCACGTCGAACCATTCGCACTCTCTCTTTCGCCCTCTTTCTTTTCAGGTTCTAACCACGCCATGGATTCATTCCTTTGTTGATCAACCTGGTTGGCATCATGTAAGAAATACTCAATGAGACGTGTGGGATCGGGATGGTCGGAGGGCCATGGGTACCCACTACTTGAAAACCAGAGTGGAAGTGCCGTGATGGTTAACCACGAGACAAACGTGTAGAGGGACACGTGTTGTGTTTGCACTGCATGGTGAAAGAGAGAGTAGAGACCACCCGAACCATGCACGACTTCAACCATGAATTGGAGATAGTCTGACTTTGAGGTGTCCTTTAAAAAGGAAAGGATACATGTTTTTAAGGCTGGAGAAAAGTAACTGGGTGCGTCGGATAAAGGAGATTGAAAGTTGGTTTCTAAATGGTCGGATTCTTTGCTAGTCCAAGTGGATGGTGTCTGTTTGTCTTTACTTTGTTGTGTCCCCATTGCTGCCCACACAGTTGAAAAAAAGAAAAAAAGAAAAAAAGAAAAAATTACTTTTTTTATTTTAGGTGACTTTCGTCATCATTTACCCAAAAAAGAATGGGACTTGCATTATAAGTTTTTGACATATTATTTATATGTCGTACGTTTTATATCTAAAGGGAAAGCCGCCGTGCCCTGAATTGCCCATTAAGAAACACTATTTTCTAATCTTGTACAACACGAATAAATTGCAAAAAAAAAAAAAGAAAATAGTGCCATGAAAAAATATTTCTCTCTCTCTCTCTTTTCTTTCTTTTTCTCTCTCTCTTGATTCACCCATGCCGCAGAGATTAACTACATCGGCCACATCGCCAAGAACAAAGAGTGAACCCACAGTTCGCACTGTCTCTGACTTTGAACCCGAGACAACAACGTAAAATAATAATAAATGGTTTATTTTGTAGATAAATTCAAACCCCCCCTTTTTTTATGTAGCAAATCCTTTGAAAGACCTGAATCACCTACTTTACCTCCAGAAGTGGCTGCTGGAAGTCGTATCGCTATTGCAGAAACAAGTTCCATGTATTCCACTGACACTTCTTCAGCCATCGTCTCTCCTAAATCCACCACCCATCCATATAACAGTATGCGATCACCCGATTCTTCTACCGTGTCCGCCACATCCAGTAAGGGGGAAACAAAAAAAAAAAAAAAAAAATCTCTCTTTTATATGATTAATTTAAAACTCCGCCCTTCCCAACATTTTAGACTAACCAACCCATTCTTACAAAAATATTTTTAGCCGTTGACTATAGCCCAGCAGAGGAACCTACGCATCGTGTACACCACCGTCCATCCCGGTCTAAATTAAAGGTAAGACCCACTGCCTCCATTTCCTCCTCTTCTTCGACCTCCAAAACACACCACCACCACCACCATACCAAACATCACGCCAAACACAGTAATAAGACCCCCGATCATTTGGCTGCTGCCATCGAATTAAGTACGACCAACGCTATAGCAGCTCCTGCTCCCGCTGCTGGCATGTACTGGTCACGTACACTCACTTACGGTCGTGGACCTTCTCGTCCTTTACGTGCACATACTGCTAATCTTATTGGAGAACGTCTTTATGTCTTTGGAGGTTGTGATACCTCGCTTTGTTTCAACACGCTTTATATTCTTGATATGGGCAGGTATTTCTTCTTTTTTTTTTTTTTTTTTTTTGAGCAAGCATCCTTTATGTTTGACTAACACACTTTTTTTTCTCTCTTGTAGACACAATGACTTGGTCTAAACCACGTACAGCCAATGGAAATGGTCCTCCACCTTGTCGAGCCCATTCATGCACCGTCGTCGAACGTGATTTAGGCTCCGGTAAACGTTCACATCAATTATACATCTTTGGGGGTGGTAACGGTCCCGATTATTTTCAAGACGTTTATGTCCTGGATGTAGAAACTCTCATTTGGTCTAAACCCGAGATCGAACCTAGTTCACGTCCGTCCAAACGTAGAGCGCATACGACCTGTCTTTGGGAAGATAAAATTATTGTGATTGGTGGAGGAGATGGTGCGCGTGCCCTGGATGATGTTCACATGCTGGATGTCACCCCTCACCACAGTGAACCGTTAAAATGGACTAAATTACAAACGACCGGTATACCTCCACCCGCTCGAGGTTATCATACGAGTAACCTCGTCAAGGATAAATTGGTCGTCTTTGGTGGTAGTGATGGTCATGATTGCTTTGAAGACGTTCATGTCTTGGACCTCAGTACGTAATCACAGTATAAATAATTGGAAAAAAAGTTTCATATAACTGACATTTTCTTTTTTTTATAGAAAAGGGACGTTGGAGTCAGATCGAATTGGACCGTAAAATCCCTCGTTTAGCTCATACCTCAACACAGGTAGGATCTTATGTGTTTGTGATTGGCGGACATGATGGTAGACGCTATTCTCAAGACGTGCTATTATTTAACCTCGGTAAAAGATTATTTTTAGGGTTTAAAAAAAAAAAAAACTGGTATGAAAATACTAAAACCTTTTTTCTGTGTAGTGACAATGGGCTGGGAAGTACGTAAGGTATATGGAGCAGCACCTAACCCTAGAGGATATCATACCACTGTCCTTTATGATTCTCGATTGTATGTCTTGGGTGGCTATGACGGAAAGAATGTCTTTGATGATGTTCACATGCTTGAATTAAGCGCTTGTGCTTATCTTCCCCAAATCACCAATTTTGAAATAGACGTTTAAAAAATAAATAAAATAATATATATATCACAGCGAAAAGGAAAAAAAGTGACGTAAATTACTTGTCACCCTCTCTCAAAAAAATAAGCCGACTAAATGCCAAGACCCATATTTATTCTAGACGGTCCCTTTAAGAGAGAGAGAGTTTGTTGTACAAGTGGCCTTTTTTTTTTTTTTTGAAAAAAAAAAGAAGGGCTTTGTAATTTCTTACGTAATATGTGCATCAACAACATCAAAAAAAAAAAGCAGCCTAATATATATACCTCTCTTTAAAAAAAAGTAAGGGCCAGATCCATCTTTTTCGGGGGGGGGGGTTGAGATATATATTTGCAGTCTGTGAGACTCTTTATTATTGCTTCTTTGTTATTCTATTCCAGTTGTTCCTTTTTCTGTAGAGATGAAATTAGCCAGTGAAAAGACAGTAAGGTTTAGATTGTGCACGTTTATATAGAATGACATGAGCCCGCAGCCCCCCCAACAACAATATATATATATAAATTTTAAAGCGAGCCACTCCATGGAATTGTGTACAACCCACAATCTATATATTTCTTTTTTTTCTGCTCTTTTTGCTCCCGTGATTTTTTCATGAAAAAAAGAGAGAGGATTCACACACACACACATGTATAATTGGGGGGAGGGGGGCTGCGGGTTAATATCATTGTGTTCAATGACACCATCCCACACACGCCCTTCTTTTTTATTATCATGAGACTTTTTTTTTTTTTTTTTGGGTGTGTGTTGGGATAGACGGATGATACAAACTAGATCGAGACAACGGCTGACATTTACAAAGAAAAAAAAAAAGAAAAAAGAAAAAAAAAGAGCCAAGTAAAATAGACTGCCTTTGCATTAAAAAAAAAAAAAAAAAAAAAAAAAAAAACTATAGAGTAGAAATTACATCTAATCTCCGATTCTATAGTTTTTTTTTTTGTTAAATTAGTCTGTACACATCAAAAAAAAAAAAAAATGCTATGACGAAATCAAAGCCCTCTCTATCTCACACACACACACACATTCTTTAGTCAATCCGGGAATATCTACTGTGTGGATTCATGTGAAAAGAGACACCCTGAACAGTTTCATTCCATGCACTGCTGTTTTATGAATAAAAAAAAAAAAGTTCTGAAATCACATTGTTGTGATACCCTTATTATAATTTTTATAGAACACATAAACGAGCCTGCCTTTTCATTTTTTTCTATAATAGAAACACACACATAAATAACTGCTAGACTTTATTTAGTCTACCAATCTAACAGAGTGTTTTTAAATAATAAAATGTTACACCTTGCTAATGTCATCAGCATTTTGTTTTGTTTGGGTCCCTTGAAAATAGTCTCTTTTGTCATGATAGCTCTCTTTTATACAAAGGTTAAGGCGTTAAGAAGAATATCACTCGAATGCATCAAGGTACGTCGTACAAATGACTCTTTCTCTCTTTAAAGGATAATCACTGACGCCTGTCTTTTTTATTACTGCATGAAATCATTTCATGTTCACATGCGTTTTTATCATCATTGGCTGAGAAAAAAAGAGGGAGGAGGGGGGACTATAATCTATACCCAGATTAGAAAGTCGTATGTAACCCTCCACACACACTCTCTCCCCCCCCCCCTTCAAATTAAACCCCACATTTTAGAATGACGATTTTTTTTTTTTTTTTTTTTTTTTACTTTTTACTTTTGGGAGTCGCTTGATATAGTAAATGATTTGGCTAGTCTAATTTTGTATAAGATGTGGGTCCCCTTCCCTTATCAAATCGTTATCTCTTTTGATCAGACATGTAACTGATCTTTTTTTTTTTGCCTCTGTAAGCATGCACAGCTTTAGAACTCGCTTTGAACCCTGATAGGACCTGCTCAAAAAAAAAATAAAAAAAATAAAGAGAGGGCATGAGCAAGTCTTCTTTTATTGCTTATACAGTTCCCACAAAATTACATGTACACACACAAACACACAGTTTAATTGAATAAAAGTAAAAAAAAAAAGTTAAAATAGATTTAACTCTATTTGGAACATATTTCAAAAAAAAAAAAAGATATGTTGTGGGCGTGTGCACACACAGCAGGGCCTTTTTTTTTTCTTAGCTGGCAAAAAAAACTCCGAATTGACTCTTTCTGTTTTGGGAATAAAAAAAAGGGGACGCATATATAAACAAGCGAATCTAAATGCGACACTTTCCCTTTTTCTCTCTTGTAACTAATACAATAAAATAAAATAAAAATATATATAAAATAAACGTAATCTATCATGGTCGTCTACAGAAATATTCAAAATACACATCGCCCTACCAAGGCTTCCTTGACTCTGGTTATCAAGGTGGGCACTTCTTCTATCTGTGATGAAGTCACACATTATCCTTTGCTTGGTAACTTGTCTCGTATTGTCGAAACCATCATTCAACTCAAGCGTATGGGCCATCGCGTTGTTCTCGTCACAAGCGCTGCGGTCGGTACAGGCTTAAGAAGACTCAATATGACTGAAAAGCCTTCTAAACTTGCCGCAATTCAGGTAAAGCATGTGAGCATCTCTAATATATCTCTCTCTCCTTTTTGAAAAAGTAGCATTCACTCACACACTTATCCTTTTTCTAGGCTATTGCTGCTGTAGGTCAAGGTCGTTTAATGAGCATGTATGATGATCTCTTTGGTCAGTTCAATCAACCCGTGGCTCAAATCTTGTTGACTCGTAACGATTTAGCTGATGTAAGTTCTTTTTACTCTGTCTTTTTCTATTTATTTTTCATTTTATTAATCTCTCCATGATAGCGCTCACAATACTTAAACGCAGTCAGTTGCCTTGAAGAACTTTTGGATATGGGTGTTGTCCCCATTATTAATGAAAATGACTCCATCTCCGTCAAAGAAATCAAATTTGGTGACAATGACACTCTTTCTGCCATTGCCTCAGGTATGGTCAAGGCTGACTATCTCTTCTTGATGACGGATGTAGATTGTCTCTATACGGACAACCCACGCAGTAATCCCGATGCAAGACCTGTACTTGTCTGTGATGATATTGAACTTTTACGTAAACAAATCACTGTCAGTGCACCCGGTAGTTCTCTCGGTACGGGCGGTATGATTACCAAATTAGTCGCAGCCGATCTCGCCACCGCCGCTGGAGTCACTACCGTCATCGCACGTGGCGCCACACCTGAAAATATTATTCCCATCATTGATTCCTCCTCCAGTGATCCCAAAAAATTACCTTTACATACACGTTTTGTCGCTAAACCTAAACCTCTCATGGACCGCAAATGGTGGATCTTACATGGATTACATACCGCTGGTACCGTCTACGTTGAAGGTGAAGAGATCAAAAATGCTATTCATGACGGTCAAGTGGATAGCTCACTTTTCGCTCATTCCATCTCTAAAGTGGAGGGCTCCTTTGTTGAACATCAGGCAGTACGTTTGGTCTTACAACATAAGAATGCTCATGGTATCATTGATAATATTACCGTTGCCAAAGGAATCGTGAATTACTCTTCACAGGAAATTATGCGTATCATGCTTGCTAAAGAAAGCACCATTATTGATTCTCTTGGTTATAAGGATGCCGATTGTATCATTCATCGTGATAACATGGCTATCACCGTGTAAAAGTCTCTTTCATCATTACTATTTCTTTTTTCTATATTTTTTTGCATATATGTTACCCCCTCCCACCCCCCCCCCTTTTTTTTTCTTTCTTTTTTAATCGCATTTCTTTATATTCTTTCTCTTTCTCTCATTCTTTTTTTTCCCCCACCGAGAAATAAACTTTACCTCTCTATTTTTTTTTAAAAAAACTGATAAACTAATTGAATCAGTCCAAGTGTGAAATGTCTATCATGTTCTATTAAGTTCTCTCTACGCTATCACATGTTCTAATTACGTTGTATATATCACTTTATATTTCTATCAAAACGTAAAATCATGATTTCAAATGTACATCCATAAAAAAGAAAATAGATGACAGCACGCTAACGGATTCCCACCAGGCAAAAAAAAAAAAAAAAAAAATCTTTATTACTGCATTAGGAAATAGCCCGATCGTGAACTTCACAGACACCTGAAATCAAAAACTTTTCCTCTCCCCTCCCCGTGACATTTCTTGTAAGACGCTTTTTTACTCCCCTTCCTCAGATGACAATGTTTTTATTTTTATTTTATTTTTTGCCATCGGATAAGTCTTCTCTTTTCGGTTTTCACAAAAAAATTACTTATTTCACTCAATGAACCAATCGCTTTTTTTTTTTTTTTAGGTGGCATCATCCGATACCCCTTTGTTGTTGTTCCCATACCAATTTTTCCTTTTAAAATCCAATCTCGATCGATTTTTACTTGTATCAGGGACAAGACCTGACTCACTCTGAATGTGAAAAATGAATAATGCCACACAACGCTTTTTTGTAATCATTTTTAAAGAAAAACGAATACATGTAACAAAAGGTCCCTCATGGTTCCTACACCAAAAAAAAAAAAAAAAGTATCGTGTAAATCAAAAAAAAGTGACACACACACACACATATTTTAATAATAAAGAAATATCCCTCACTTGTCGTCCCCCAACCGTCCCCTCCGGAACCCAACTTCCGGGAAATCTAGACAAAAAGACAGAAGAAGGAGGCTGTACGTGATAGATTGTGCTGCAAAGAAAGATATTATTCCCATTCAAATAGTAAAAACATGATCCTATTAAGAAAAAAGACAATCGCATCAAAGTATTCAATAATATAAAATACGGGTTGGATTTATCCCCACCCTCAGTAGTCTATAATAAATCATCTAAACTATTTTATATACATGTTTAAAAGTGAATTAAATAAATGGGTCATATCTATTTTTTTTTTTTTTTTTTTTTTTTTGTGATGTGAGTAGCTTGCAATTAAAATAGAAAGAATATAGCGTCATTTTTTTATAACAAAAAAATAGGAGTCCGGTATCACTTTCATCATCACACTGTTTTACCTTTTTTTTTTTTATATATATATAAGCAATCAAAATCGATTTCTCTAGATTCACACCACCGTATTAACACAACGTGCAGTTTGTGTAAATCATAAACTCAAGCATTCGAGCGACCCCAAACAAACGATTGGAAATTCGAGAGTTTCCCAACTCGTAACTGAGACGACATCACATGGCCTGATCTTTGAACAACAAGGAGTTGGTTATTTTCTTCTATTAACAAAATGAAAGCTTAGTGTGCATGTTAACAGAGAGGTCTACACACCCCTTTAAAAAAGGAGGATTGGTTAGATATAGGAATATGATTTTCTAGGTCACTTAACAATTACCACCGAGTTTCCCTGTAAGTTATTATACAACTTTTTTGTAATTACCCTCAGAAGAAGACTTGGAAGGTGTTTCGAACTTGATTAATCCAATAAAATCTAAAATGAATGAGGGGGGGAGGGGTGAAGTAGGAAATAGTTTACCCATCAAATAATGAATGTTTCTTTTAAGGAGGGCTTACAACAGTTGCAGTAACAGACGGAATATATCCTCCATGGCTAATGACAAAATAAATTATATTCAGGTATTAGACAGAGACTACTGGTACTTTTGTCGACTATGTTTGCTCTCTCTCTCTCTTTACCATACGAAAAAAAAAAGTACATTCTGACGGTCTTTGTCATTACCACATTGAACGTCATAAGACGAAAGTACTTTACTACATTCTGACATGATTTTATTTCTTGAAAAAAAAAAGTATTAAAAATCATAAAAATTCCATTTCAGTATCTCATTAATATACTTTAAGCTTTTGAGCATGTATCATAAGCAAAAAGGGACTATACCGGTTCTCAAAGTCATAGCTCACCTTCTATGATTTCTACTGCTCAAGATTAGCTCATGGGGGGGGGGCCAACTATTTATCATGATTGCGATTACAATTTGTACTTGTATTAAAGTACAATTTATCTGTTTACTCACGTTGCGAAAGTAATGCCAAATACAAAAAAAAAAAAAAAATCTGATCAAGCCTTTTGTTTCGTCCAATAATTTATTGTAATATTTCAAGATGTGATCCTATTATAATTTATTCGTTTTTCTTAAGGGACAGCTAATTTCTCCTTAGAGACAACCAAAGTGCACGTAGTAGCAACGTAAGATCTGTGATTTGGATGTTCTGTAGACCTGAGAACAATATACAATCAAAAAACAATATAACAATTACGAATAAATGTATATTAAACGTTTTATACTTATTTCGACAATTTTATCATCACTCTTTCACCTCTCTGAGCTCGTTTGATCTTAATCTTACGCAAAAATATTAAGGTAAAGTCCGAACGAGAAGCTGAAAGTAAACTGTAAAACACATACACTGGTTCACACTATGTTGGTTGTAATAAAGGTGTATATATTTCAAGTTATTAAGTTATACTCCATGTCTATTAAAAGTATCATAATCCCAAACATTACGACTACGCGCACCCTGGCTGTCCCTAAGAAACCCGTAATTTATTTGTGAAAATAATAAAACAAATATTTTTGCCAATGTTTATATTAGATAAAAAAAAACAAACTTGAAACTTGTGACCCGTGTCGATCACATGAACCGCAACCCCCCCCCCTTTATTTAAAACTCAAAATTTAGTTTTCCAATACATTTATCAATTACACATTTTATCACAGCAGAGTTCTTTTAATCCATTTTTTTATCTGGAATAAAGATATACTTTCATCTCGTTATTTCTCAGCATTACTGGAATCTGAAAAAACAAGATATTATCTTCTGTAGTCAATCTTGTTCCGATGTAGGTAATATTAAAACGACCATGATTTAAAAAAAAAATGCCTAAATTTTAACATGTTTTGTATTATTACAAAGTTAAAATGTACGAAAAAAAAAAAAAAAAAAAAAAAAAAACTCTACCGGTATCAGTAATGCTGCCATAGTCAGGTTTAGATGGTGGCATCATCGGTATGGTTCCAGTGATGCCAAGGTTAGCTGGAGAGATCTTCTTCACGCAAACAAGTCAAAGACATCGAGAAGGAGCAGGAGAGTGTCCTTGATGATTTCAAGGCAAAACATACCTAATTTCGTCTTTCCCCACCCCCCTACAACTATACAGACTTGTCTGCTAAAACTGTTCAGCTCTCAGTACAGGCCGGGAACTGACATCATCAGCAAGCTGGTTTTGACTGATTGACATGTGATGAACATGTTGTCTAACGCTCGTATCTGAACATTACAACAAGCTTCCCATCATTGTGGTATTTGGCATCGCAACTGTAACTTAGTTATTCCAAAACAAACAAACAAAAACTGTCAAAAGTAAATTCCCCTTTTTTTGCCGGACAGGTGCCAAACCTTGGACAGTGTTTACTGTAAAACGAAATCCCAGCATTATCAAATGGATAAAGAAGAGGATACATTGCACTCTTTGCGAGCGGTTGGTCACTTCTTCTGTTCTTAGTCTCTGTCACTGATTACCTTGGGACTATGGAAGGAATGGTTCATTCATTATAAGCTACTTATTACTCCATTGCTCATGCCCATATCGACAATTTTACTTGGGGAATAGGAAGCTAAAAGTTTTGGATAATTCTTCCCGGGACGCAGAGGCTAAATAAATAGAAATTGTAGTATATTAGTAAAATTCAATGTCTACACCTTTGTATTTTTTTTTTTTTTTTTTGATTTTATAAAATATGCTTCATTATCAGTACATGCTACTGCGGCTACACTGTAAATGTGTCATAAAAAAAAGAGCAATGCGAAATTTCTTTTCATATTCAAAACAACCCAAAGGTACCCTTATATTGGGCACTCTCCATTGACCACCGCGTACCCATTAAGCAATTTCCCAAGTACAATCTTTAGGCTTGGGAAGATTCGCTTTTTCTTCGTTTTATAAAAAAAAAAAAATAATGTTCGACTATTTCAACACGAACGAAGGGTAAGTAAATATGTTATAAAAACGAATATTCTCTTACGTAAAATTGTTTTAGATGACCATTTACAAATTCTATTCACATCCTCCAAACTTTTTATCTTCTTCCTCCCCAATTATCATTACTGATACTCAAATAATCAAGGCAAAACAATGCCTTGAAAAAAGGAGATGAAGCGTCAACTAAAAAAAAAAATTATTAGGATTAAAAGTATACACTCGATACACTCATTTCTCTCCTTAGAAAATCAATTTATGCACTTTATTACTGTATAAAGGCTGTTAACTCATACAATGGATGACTTCCAAAATGCAAAATAGAATTAAATAGAATAGACTTAATTTTATGGGTTGTGTAACGTGGAATTAACCTTAAATTTCACCGCTTAAATTTTTGAAGTTAATTCGACCCCCCTACCCCCCCCCCCCGAATTAAAAAAAATTAACAAAAAAATCATCTTTCTATTAAATAATTCATTTCTGATAAACGCTAATAACATTCAGATAATAAATATAAGATCTATGAATAATATTTATCAAAACAGTTTATTTATTTGGCTCTTTTACGCTTCTGAGAACCGTCTTTTTTGCCCTTTCAGGAGAAGTAACAGTGAGTTGCTACTGTGCATATAAAACTGATGGGTTTTAGTGCGAACGGAAGGAGCATCATTGATAATAGTTAAACTATCTTGGTTACCGGTGTCTGGATGTATTCAAACATCATTGTCATCTGATAATATAGCTGTTTAGGTAGAGTTTTGCATATATGGTACGGGTCAAAAAAGTTAATTCTATTTTCAGTGTTTTGGAACAGAAGTAAAATTAACTCGGAAAATCAAATTTCCGAAGTTAATTCTATTCTATTTAATTCTATTTTGTATTTTGGAAGTCATCCAATATCTAAGTAAAAAAAAAAACGCTTTAAGCTTGCTGAAACACATTTTCGTCTACCTAGAATTATACGTATAATAAATAGTCATTTCTTTATTTAGCAAATAGAAAATGAAAAGCAAATGTACGGGGACGTGTGTGTCTGTGAGTATGAGAGGGAATTAAAAAAAAAAAAAAAAACTAATGTCAACTATCCAAAGAAATCATGACAAGTTCTTTTACGGCTTTTGTGGGGATCCACAAACTCATAAAGAAGACTTATATTGACTGATCTTGATGACCTTTCTTTTATGATCGATGGGGATAGACTAGGTTTGCAATGGCTCCAGAAAGCATTTGTAACCTGAAGTAGAAATTGCAGATTTTGCGGACAGCAGAAAGCGGATATGTCTTTTAATGATTTCGGAAACGATACTTTACCGAGTTCAGTCATCGTGTATAGTTTATGACATGGTAATTGAGTCATATAAAATGAAACAGAAAAGCCTGTAATACGTCAATATAAAAAAAACTGTACACCTATCACAAGTAAGTGCACTTACCATGAATTTGGAAACTAAATGAGGCATCTAAAAGATGATTATCAAGGCATTCTTTGGTTAGATGGGTTAATCGTAAAAAGTCGTTGCAAAGTGCTGCTTTATCGCATGTCGGCTGACTAATCTTCACTTCACCAAATCCAAGGTTGAAACCAAACTGTAACTGGTCGATCGTTGTAACGGATGCGTCTGGTCTTAAAAGATCGTCCTCAGCTTGCTTATTTAACCATCTTAAGAGTGTGTTTCTTTCATTATCAGATATAATGGCAGATAAAAAAGGGTCGAAATAAATACTCCACAGTTCTGATTCAGAAATAGTAGTGATATCTACGATTGGATCTTTAGGGAGTTTTAAGACTCTATAGAAAGAAATTCCACATTAGCATTAATCAGCATATAAGAGTTATTGATAGTACTTACAGCATTGCAATGCCTATGATGACTCGGCGTTTTTCATAATCCAAGGGATTGGAAAATACCATAAGATTAGTAGCGATATTAAGTACACTTTGGGTTTGATTTGTTAAATGTTTTAATACGAGGTTTAACTGTGTTAATTCATCACTGGTAAAATCAAGCGAGGATTTCATTGACGTTTTTAGTTGTTCATTTGTGATATATTTAATATTCTCGTCAGTGAACACTTCTCTTATCATTTTGCTATGTTGCAATGGTTTTAAAACTAGTATGTGGTTTAAGGCTGATAACTCTTGAACATGAGTTTCAATTGGGATTAAACCTTCAGTCTTAACAAACTGTTCGACACGTTTATAATATTCAGTGAACAAGGTTGTAACATTGATACCATTCTCCATAATCCAAGGTTCTACTTCGACACTTTCAACTCCTTCAGTTTTATTAATTTTATTTTGCTCATCTTCATGATACTCAGTAGCTTCTTCATCAGTTTTGTCAGTTTGAGCGTCTTTTTCTTGATTCTGACTATTATCCATGGTTCTTATTTGGTCAATTTCAGACCTGACAACATCCTGAACGTATTGGGCGCCTTCAATATGTGTGTTTAAGACTGTTTCTTCTCTTATTTTCTCTAGCCAATAGTTACTATTCTTCTTTGACTTCATCCATATGTTATGCTCGTTTCTAATGTTCACAATGTTTTTGGCGCCTTTCAGTTCATTGTTGATAATATTCTTATATCTTCTTGAAATTTTTTGTACTGAATTATACTCATGGCCAAATGCATCATAGAACTTTCTTGTTGTCAAATTGCACAAGTTAGAGAGACACCATTGAGTGTCCTCTGGAAGGGATTTCTTATCACCTTTATGCTTTTTGATCTTGTGTTTTTTGAATTTGCCATCACAGTAAATGAATATACTTGAAATGAGAAGAATGGATAAGCCCGAATTTTTGAGCGGTTTTTAAAAGTAGAGGACTGCTTTGCTTTTTCATTTAAGGGTGTGCGTCATTTCTAGAGTGACGTAAACATTTTGTTGATTAAACGCAGAATAATTCTTTTTACATTTTGTGCTGATACAAGAGCTGGAAGAAAAGAGCCATTCAGAAGTTGAAATGAATATGTCATGTAGATTTAAGGAAAAGATTTTAAAAAAGTTAAGTATGATTGTGCATCTAGTTCAAATGGGCATAAAGATGCGCTTGCAACCACAGCTACCACCAGTCGCTATACTGAAACTGCTTACCCTGCTATCATAACTTATTTGTTGTGGCCTGCGTTAAACTTAAATGTTCGACCCCCAAAGCAAATAAGGTATATATTGATATGTAATTAGCTCAGTGTGCTTGGTTTTAGCACAGGTTCCCGATACTTTCTCCCTTGCGTTTTGCTTAGGTGCAGGACCTTTGACATTACCCGGAGAAAGGTTCTTTATGTTTCTAGAATGCGCTTGCAACCACAGCTACCACCAGTCGCTATACTGAAACTGCTTACCCTGCTATCATAACTTATTTGTTGCGGCCTGCGTTAAACTTAATTGTTCGACCCCCAAAGCAAATAAGGTATATATTGATATGTAAGTAGCTCAGTGTGCTTGGTTTTAGCACAGGTTCCCGATACTTTCTCCCTTGCGTTTTGCTTAGGTGCAGGACCTTTGACATTGCCCGGAGAAGGGTTTCTAGAGATTTGAACTAGGACTTTAATATTTGCGCTGTACATTCTAATTAAATATAACATTTAGGAACACTTCTTTATATTACCAACAAATGACCCTCTGTTATGGATCTTTTCAAGACACTTTGCATATGTTGAAAACAAATCGGTATATTCCCATCCTCTATGACTTATTGAATTGTGAAGAAGCAAGTTATATACAGACCAACAAATCAGATCATGCCATATGTGTTCTTTTATTATAAAAAGTTTTGGAATATAATGGATAATCCATTGTTGCCTCATTAATTCCCCTACATGCAGAACGGGAAGAAACATAACCGAAAACATGTCAAATACAATAAACTTGGATTAGGCGCTTAATCTTGAAGAATTTCGATGGCAACAAAAGCGAGTTTAGAAAAATAATGCAACTGCTACCACTAAAACAAACTATGGCCTAATGAAAAAATAAACATCGAGCTTGGCTAGGATCCAAAGTGTGCTTATGTAGTTTATTGAAAAGTGAGCTCAAATGATTTTTTTTTTTAAGGCGAAGCCATGACCTCCAACCGTATTATACGGATTCGCTAATCATTCAAAACGTTAAGTTATTAAATGTTTTAATAAAGTAGAGTTCTCAGTAGACCATCTTTTTAGATATAAAAGTGTTATACTTTGAATTATATAATATACAATCGAAGACATTAATTTGTTTATTTACAATTTTGAGTGGACATGCCACAATCAGAAGAAGAGGAGGGAAATGACCAAACAGTTTACCGTCTCCGTCATCGTTTCTTTCGCTCAAAATGATTAGTATCAAGTGAGCAAGAATATGCTAGAAAATGTGTGTCTGTTCATATCAAAATATATATTAATGAATTCTCAGCACATCTTTTCTTTTTCAAAATCTGCTTTAAAACGTGAGCATTTTGCATTTAATTATAAGCAACTTTTAGTGAAATCTAAAATACATATCATTTTCAGGTCAATTTTATTTGACTTATTGTGACATTTCTTTTATTTCAAAAGAACAAAGTTTTTAGACATAAAGGGACATTCATTTTCAACTTAGTGCCATTAATTTTTTGGAAAGTGACATTTATTTTTTGGTTACGGACATTTAATTTTCTCAAAGTGACAAAATTTACCGTTCTCACTGTAATTTAAAATACACCATTCCATCTTAATCATCATAATCTCTCTCTCTCTAGATAATAACACACAAGTTCTCGTATGTCATATCCCGATAAACGCTTTTTGTTCATGATTCAACTCTCTCTATTGCGGAACATGCATAATTGAAGATAGCAGTAACGATGAATAAACATAAAAAGTATAATTTGTGTGGTAAATAAAGAATGATTTTGTATTCAATTAAAATAGGGCATTAGGGATCCGCTCTATGAGCTTAAATGAGAGATCTAGGCATAAGTCTAAACAGGGCAATGATGACAATTTTTTTTTTAAAAATTGATAAGCATATTTAATCGTTCCCGCTCATTTTGTTTATATGATGAGCCTTTCCCCCCACCTGTTTCATCAGAAAACAAGACACTTATTCAAAAAGACCGAGCTCCCTTAAGTTATAAAGTCTCACTTTATGATCATCAAATGAATCATGCAACTCAAATGACGAAAGAAATCGTTGGATGAGTACACATGTACATCATGAACGGCTTAACCTCGGTTTGCTACTGCTTGGCGGTCCTCCAATAATACATTGGGGACGATCCATTTTCTTCTCTTTTTAGGGGCCCATTTAATATTTTGATAATAAATAAAAAAAAAATAGAGTGTGCAAAAATGATTTTAGCTTGGCATTCAAAATATCTTTTTTTTTTTACTGCAGCCATGGGTGAGCTTCCTTTTTTTTGGAAGAGAGCGAGGGGGGGGGGGGGGGACGATTTAATGGGTTGCTCAAATTGATAGTAAGATTGTTTACCCCCCCCCCCCTATTTCTCACTTGGGAGAGGGTTAATGTTTCGTTGTCATAGCAGCAGCAGAAAAAAAAAGACGTGTCAATAAAGACGATTGGCAACGGATAGATGGCGTCTCATCTAAAACACGTATCCATACAAGATGACATGAATTGATTGGACAGACAACACCTTCGCATTCTATCAGGTCCTATGACCCATTTAAAAAAAAAGAGAGAGAGAGAGAGAAATGCGCTGCTTTAAATAAATCTGCATGAATAAAATTCCAACCAGACTGTCAAAAAAAGAAGAAATTCATAGTGTTTTTGTGTGACTTGAGAGAATGATCAAACAATAAAAAAAACTCGAGATTTTATAATAAGTCGTGCTTGGGGGGGAGGTGGCTTTGGACACGTTTTTTTTTCTAAAAAAAAATAAAGGGAGGATGAAACGATAATTTTACTGAGTTGCCAGACACAAAAGATTTATAAAATGAAATTATATTCCCCTCCCCCCCCCCTTTTTTTTTTGACAGTTCGGACACTTTTTAATGAAACACTTCATTGTGTTTCTCTGTGGGGGGGGGGGGGGAAGAGGCACTTATGACGTAAAAAATGAGTTCTCCCAATTTACATTTATATAGAGCATTAAGAAAAATCCAATTTTAGAAACCCTCGGCCCATCCCCCCTTGTTTCTATTTTTAAGTCAATCATTTTAAACTCCCGCCAATTTAAAAAAAAAAAAAGGTCTCTCTCTCTCTCTCGTTTTTTTTTTTTTTTTTTCTTAAACATTTTTTTGTTTTTTACTTTTTTTTTATATACTTTCCCCCCTCAATGCCGTTTTTTAAAAAGAAGAAAAGTAAGGTGCCAACCACGGATGCCAGTAAACGTTTACCACCTGACATGGTCTATAGTCTTACGCCTCGTCATGGTCATGCCCAAGATGTCTTTGATGAGAATAATGTACGTCAAGTCGCTGGATGTTTACCTATTGATCCTATTCATAAACGTTTCCTGTTAGTCTCCTCCTCCAGTAATCCTGGTAGCTGGGTTATTGTAAGAATATTATTATTATTTTTTTTAGCCCCCCTTTTTTATAAAACTCATATTCACCTTTTTCTCTCCTTGTATATAATAGCCAAAGGGTGGATGGGAAAAGGATGAAACTCAACAACAAGCAGCAATGCGAGAAACCTGGGAAGAAGCAGGTATTAAGGGTATCATCACTAGACACATTGGCGTCTTTGCCGAAAAATCCAAGACAGGTGTGAAAGCACATCATTGGATCTATGAAATGGAAATTATCGAAGTGACAAAAAAGTTTCCCGAAATGAAGAAGCGAGAACGTCGTTGGGTAAGCTAAACCATTTTTTTTAAAAAAAAAATAAGAGACCAATGTATAGAAAAACGTGAGAGAAAGGGACTCACATTCAATTTTTTCTTTCTTTTTAGTTTACGTATGATGAAGCCATGTTGGTGGTAAAAGCATCGTATATCCATGACGCATTAAGCATGTCTAGCTTGAGTCCACTAGTCCATCCTAACCCAGAATCACTCCAGGACAATGAAAAGAAGAAGGAAAAGAAAAAGGAAAAGAAAAAGAAGCAACAGGAACTAGAGGAAGCTCTTCTTACAGAAATAGACTTGGAAGAACAACGTTTAAAGAAAGAACGAAAGAAGGAAAAGAAGCGTGAAAAGAAGGAGAGAAAATTAAGAGAGGCTGAAGAACAAGTCACCTCCGACGAAGATGAACAAGGTGTACCTCTCACAGACGATCAAAAGAAGCAACGCAGACTCACTCGTCTCGAAAACGCTGCTGCTGCTGCTATTTCTACCGATGAAGAAAATTCAGACAAGGAAGAGGAAAAGAAAAAAAAGAAAAAGAATAAGAATAAGGGTAAAAAAGGTGAAATATCCGAATTAACAGAGGAGGAAATGAATCCCATGTTTAGTTCATCGACCTTGAATACCGTCCGTAGTACAGAACAAAAAGCAATCGATGAAGACAAGTATAAACCCATCGTTCAACATTTACCTCTCAATCAACAGTTACGTCAAACCCATATTTCTTCACATCCTCCTCAACCACATCAATTCCCTATCCCCCAGCCTCAATTTGGCTCTCCTCAGCCATCTCGCTCCACACCACCACAACAAAGACCTTCTCCTCAACAACAACAACAACAGCCACAAAATAGACCTGCTCCCCAACAGATACAACACCAACAAAGACCTTCCCCTCAACAACAACAACAACAACAACAGCAGCCTATGCGCTCGCAACAATCCATGCACTCGCAACAATCCATGCACTCGCAACAATCCATGCACTCGCAGCAGTCAATGCACTCTCAACCATCCATTCATTCTCAGCACTCACCGCAGTCATCCCCTATGCACTCACCGCCGATGACCATGGGGTCAAGACAACACATGCCACCCCAAGGGAGACCACAATTATATTCTCCCAACGGTACTGCATCCGCCGCCGTTGCCATTGCAGGAGGAGGAGGGGGGGGTCCAGGACAGAGACCCCCAGCCATAGGGGGATATTCCCAACCACAAGGAGGAGGAGCACCACCACGTAATGCACATGGACAACCCTCTTTTGGGGGAGCTTCGTATCCAGGACAACCGTATCAAAGATCGCCACCACAACAACAGTATGGTGTACCCTCTGCTACAAGACCACGTAACCATCATGTTGTAGAAGATCATTTTTAAATAAAATAAGAAAAAGCTAAAAAAAAAAAAAAAAAAAAAAAAAGAAAACTGTCATATTTTACCCACACAGATACCGTGACACCCTCTTTTTTTTTTTTTTTCGTTCCATGTCATATGTTAATGCACGTGCACAAGGGTAGACCTGATTTGACGTTCGAATGACGAACGAACGTGATTTTTTGTGTGTGTGTGCGTGTGTGTGTGTTTTTTTATTACAAAAAAAAAAGAGGGGTCATGTGGCCACTTTAGGTAATCATCCACACGGTCTTACAATGGAGAGAGAAAAGATTATTTTTAGTAAATGGTTTTAAAAAGGGTTCAACAAAAAAAAAGTTAATAGTTTGGGTTGGGTAGGGCGTGTCAATATTTTTTTTTTTCTTTTTAGGGTGAGAAAGTGAATGTGATATTTTGTATGAGGATTTTTTGTTTGTGCGCCAGGCAAAAAAAAAGGGGGGGGGGTAAATTATACAGCAAAAAAAAAAGAAAGAAAGAAAGATAATAGGGGGATAAATAAATGATACAAAGAGAAATAAATGGAGTTTTTTTTTTGTTTTTTTTTTAAGGGAAGTTGTTATCTTCTTCTGTTATGTGTCATTCTCTTTTGAGGTGGGTATTTTGTAGGAGCCAATACTTCAGTAGCTGATCGCTTTCTCAGCCGTCGATCATGATAGACATCATCTGATTATTTTATATAAAATGAATAAAAAATAAAAACTTAAAGAGTTAAAAAGGAGAGCTTACCGAGATGGTGTCGATTGTCATAAGGCATGATGATATCCAGCTCATTTTTTTCTTCTTCTTCTTGTTCAAGCATAGGTTGTAAAATACGTCTTCTTGCATTAATAAACCAATTACTAATTTGGTTCAGGTTCAGGTTCGTCTCAGCTGCTAAAGACGCTTTCTCTTCTTCGGTTGGATACGGGTGTTTCTTGTGTCGAGAGAGCCAATCACGTAAGATGGCTGTCACGGCTTTTGGCAGATTCCCACGTCGGCGTTTATTACTGCTGCTGCTGCTGCTGTTGTTATTATTGCTGTTGTTGTTGTTGCTGTTACCATGGCTGTTGGTAACTACCTTCTTGACTTCGCCATGTTTGCCTCGGAATCGACCACTGTCGTCATACGGTACTTGTGGCCCTTGGCCTCCATAGGGATGGTAGTGAGGTGGACTGGGTGACGACACAAGTGATGGGACTGGTGAATGATCTAATGGTTCTGGATGATCTATTATGATTTTTTTTTTTAGTTTTTTTTTTTTTTTTTCGGTGCACAGACACACACACACACACACACATATTTATTTTTTTAAGTTTTTTGACAGTACCTCTTGTCCAGGTAATGATATCAAGCCAATATCGACCATTGGTCTGCAACATTTCATGGATTCGTTTCTTGTGTAAATCAAGATGACGTCCATAAGACGGGTCACCATAAGGGATATGAACGTGTTGTAGGTCACCTGAGCCTGCCTTTACATATTGGTGGTCATGAAAGAGGATGACAGGGCTGAAAGTGCGCAGCTTCTAAAATAAATTTTTATATTGACAGTTTTAGGTGAGTTATCTCTTTTAAAAAAAATATGTTCCAAACTCCTACCTGCTTTTCAATAGTTGTGGTCATTAGTTATATAGGGTAAGAAACAAGGGAAGTGTGTTTGTTTTTTGTAAAAAAAAAAAGATGATGATGATGATGATGAAGGATGATGGAGAAAAAAAAGTTATTATGAAAAATAGATATAAAGTATATAATAAAAAAAAAAAAAAAAAAAAAAAAAAAATGACAAGCGGGAGATAGATTTATTTAATGGGATTCAATTGGTTCCATATAATAAACTTTAAGCAGTTTATATATTAGATGAGAAGAAAAAAAAAGGAGAGAGAAGGAAAAGAAGAGAGAGAGATAGAAAGAGAGAGAGAGAAAGAGAAAAGGCAGATGATGGGTTTTATACATTAAAAAGCCACCTCCTGTACCACGCCTGACCCATCTATTCAGTGCACCTTGTACGTCATCTGGAAAATAATAATAATAATAAATACGCTATGGCCACTTTCCTCTCTCTTTCTCTTGTCAAGGCGCGCCTCTCCAATGGGGGCTTTGGGTCACCAGTGCACAATCAGCAGATTGGGATTCCATTATAAATCTTGCCTGATATATTTCTCTTTCTTTCTTTCTCTCTCTTTGCGCCACCCTAACTTTTATTTCCCTTTGTTTCATCTCCTATATTTATTGGGGGAAAAAGTGAAACTAGCTTCAAATGTAAAAGAGGGGAAGAATTGACAGAAGCTTTTTTTTTTTTTTTTACACTTTTTCTATTGTGATACTTGTAAAATATAGCTAATCAGAATTAAGATAACGTACAATTATCATGGTGTGTGACAACTATATTAAGCCATGCCTCATCGTCCCTCTTCCTACTGTAGTCATCCCCCCCCCCTCCCCTTTCTCCTTCTTTTTTATTTCTCTTCAAGTATCTAAATGAAGGGGGGGGGGGGGGCATTAAAAAAAAGCATTTGGTTTATTTGGGCCACCCCCTTTTTTCCAAGTCTATTTTGCATTAATAAAAAAATCGTCATGTAGGGTTTGACACTCCAAATAAGTCAGTTTAAAACGTGAACAAAAAGTGTCAGTTGACACTTGAGTTACGCAAAGATTTCACACGCGCAACAAAGAGAGATGTCCGATTATTTTATTTTTTTAACAGCGACTCATGGTTCACTTCTTGAAAAAAAAGAGATCCCATCAAAAAAAAAAAAAAAAAAAAAAAAAAAAATCGCTTAACTATCAATTATTCTCTTCTACGTATTTTAGACAATCCAATTCATATAATTAAACCCTTCAATGTGTCTCATTTCACAAATAATGGTTTTTTTAAATAAATAAATAAATAAAAACTTGACATGTGTAGCTTATGATTCGCAGCTTCATGACATAAGTTTACTTTTCATCAGCTTATTCACAGGTAATTAATAAAGCACCTCTTTTTTTTTTAAAAAAAAAAAAAAAAAAAAAAATCTTTATAGATACTACGAATCCAAAAAAATTTCGTTTCTTTCTTGCTTTAGAGTGGACGCTTACTTATCAGACATATCAGCAATTATTTAAGTGCTTCCCAATTACAGTAATTTTTACGTTTTGGGATACGCATGTGAAAGATTTGTCAAACTTGTCAGAGGAGGAAATTTATTGAAGTAGCAAACGCCTATTGTCATCTACTCAGTTTAGCCTCAACTCCCCCCCCCCCTCATTTCGCATGAATAAGAAATTATGTAAGCCTACCACAATGCTACTCTCTCGCTCAAGATAAGCTGCGCTGGAATCTGTCGGTCAAGCCAGCGACACGCTTTCCCCCATTAGCTTACCCTAAAAAGGTCTCTTCGATATTAGTTCATCACAGAAAAAAGTACGGTGGGCCACCATAGAACAATCTAAATCTTAGCTACTGTGGTTAGAGACTTACGTTTGACTGTGAGGTATATATCATTACGAAAACTAGCATTAGCTATAATAGTGAAAAATTGGTGGGTATTATATTTTTGTAAGAAAAAAAAAATGAAGAGAAGGGAAGGAAAAAAGTATTTAAACAGGTTTTACTTATAAACAAGAACTGGCTTATGTCAGGATGATGCCATTGTTTATTTCATCAGAAAAGTGTATGAAGGAGTTTTCGTGATAAACTGATATACAAGGCTTATTTCAGGATTATGTTTATTGAACCATCCACAGGTAAAAAAGTCTTTACTGAAATAATATAAAAACATTTGCAAATACTCCCTCAAGCTTAGATACAAGCAATTCAAGAACTGGGTAAATGTCTATCAGTGTTTCTGTAACAGTATATATCAATAATGAAGCATGATATGGGATGTCAAAGAACGTAAATTATTTCTTTTTTAGACTCATGTGTAACTTTTTACCATGTAGGTTGCATAATGATCAAAAAAAAAAAAAAAAAAAAGATCACATGAATCGAAAAAAAAAAAAAAAAAAAAAAAAAAAAAAAAAAACGTAGAAAATCTAAAAAAGACGCAAGTGTATACACTCGAGCCTTTTTTGTAAACTGTCGTTTCCAAAAATAAATTGTGTAATTTTTATGATTTATCCCACCTTAATCCTCATCAAACATGTGTTAATTATTTCAAATAAAAAAATAAAAAAGAACTACATGTCAACGTCTTCATCTATCTCAATTTACTAGGAAACGAAATAGGCCAAATCGCATACATGTGCTCTCTGTCTGATAAGTCCAATTACATCTAATAATACACAGTTCGTAATCTAACCCCCCCTCATCCATTGCCACATCAATGTAGTACAAAGACAAGTGATTAAAGAAGGTCAAACCGTCTTTTTAAATACCATTGAGCAACCATGATGACATATCGGTGTGTCCAGTCAAGTAGAATTCATGGCCTTATCTTTTTTTTTTGTTATCATGGAAGTTATGTACACTTTTTTTTAAAAAAAAAGTGATTATCAAGTGGTCGCTTATGCTGCGGACCAGGCATCTTTAGGGGGGATAAATTGGAAACGAACTGTCATCATGTTCCCTGGGTCATCATCAGATAAGACCCTCGTAATGTCATGACTTGTTTCACTCTAACCCCTTTTTATTATAATTAAAAAAAAAAGCACGGTGCATTTACCATGTCATGTCAAAAAATACTTGTTAAAGAAAAAGGCTTTTTTATTTTTCACATCCTCTTCTTTAAAAATGAATAAAATATACTACTTTCTATTTTTTTTTTTTTTTTTTTTTTTTTTGGCCTAGATGTAATAAAATAAACCTTTATCATTTGATGTACCCCCTTTCTAATGTAAGACAAAATAATCTTTGGTCTTATCCCCCACCCAAAGTGGCTAATTAAGGGTTTGTTATTTATCAACGTTTTAGGGAAGCATACCTCGTTTCAAATAACCATGTTTAAACATGACAGCCATTTTAATGTCAGTTTAAATACACACATTAAGGGTCTATTTCTCACGAGGGGGAGGGGGGGGGGTCGATAATGTTATTGTTACAATCAAATACTGACATGACATTACACAAAAAAAAATTAAGCTCTTTTTTTTTTTTTTTTCTTCTTTTCTACCCATTCGTGTTAATTACAATAACAATCGTTCTTTTAAAAATTAAAAAAAGACTCTAGTGGCAAATTCAGGGCAATACTCTGGTCATGGTCTAGTAACAACAACACATACACACACGCTAAGTCATTCAGAGATCCGATAGCTAAGCATTTCTCTCCATCTTTTTTGACATATCATCGTTTCCATAGTAACAAAAAATGACACCTTTTTATATTTATATATATATTTATTTTTTAGACAAAAAAAAAGAGATTAGAGACCCATCACTTCCTTCAATTGAGCCTTTCTCTGTTCAATTTCAGATTGTACGGAATTTGTATTGTTCATCAATTCAGATAAGGATTCGTGGAACGATCTTCCTTCGGTGCTGATGATGGCATCCACTTTTGCATCCAAATTGTCGAGCGTGACGAAATCCTGTGTAGTCGCATACAATTTCAAGAGTTGTTTGCGTCTAATCTCTCGTTGTGCCTTTTCCATCGCCAATCGATTCTGGGTACGTTGATGTGTACGATCCTCTGTATCTAAACTCTGCGTATCATTCTCCAAGGTCAACATCTCAACCACCTCGCGTTCATGCTCTCGTTGTTGTTGTTTGGCCTCTTCCAACTCGGCTAAACTACGTTCTAACTTTTGTTGGGTGGCAGCTAACTTTTCTGCAGACTTTAATTCCTTTTGTCCTTGCTTCTCTAATAACTCGCGTGCATACTTGTGTCGGGTCTCCTTGAGTTCTTGACGGTATAACTTTTGTGCACTCATCGCACCCTTCTCAGTCACATTTTGGCTATGACCGCTACCAGGCAGATGCGACGTCAGTGAACTGCCAATCTCGCGACGCTTGTGAACAACTTTAATACTCTCACGGCTTCCCTCAGGTGCTTGGAATCCAGGAGCATATCCCTTACGGCCAGGTACGTACTCGGTTGAAATGCGACGTACTTGTTGACTACCAAGCGCAAAACGACGGCAAAGAATGTTGACGTTCATCTATATAGTTCGAAAAAAAAAAGAATTATTTTTTTTTACAGACAAGGGTGGGGGGTTTTCCCCTTTTCCTTTTTTTCTTTGGACCTTTTTTAGAAAAGCAGTCCGATCAGGTGACCTTTAAACCCGTGCAGTTGTATGATGGGGCAGCCTTCATTCAATGCTTATTTTTTAAAATCTAGTATGACAATACATTGTTTTCCTTATGAAAGGATTTGTACCATACTATACTACATAATGATATAGAAAAACCATGATATCCATTCTACAATAGAAAAAAAAAAAAAAAGAAAGAAAGAGAGAGCGTAAATGCATTTATCGAGTTTTGGAGATGATGATAAAAGAAACGCATTTCCCTATGTACATGCGCGTGTAGTCGCATTGTAGGATAGGGTGTATGAACTGTCCCTAAGACCTGGGAAACAAGAGTAAGACCAATCGAAAAAACCATGGATGAAACGATTTATACTCCACCCCTCCTACCTCTATTCTTGTAGTCCATCCCACCCACTTCTCAGTTTTTGTTGGGAGGCATGGCTCTATTAAAAAAAAAGAGAAAAGAAAAAGGCCTGGTATTTATGCTGCTTTTAACTTGAATATTTCCCAAAAGCCTGTCAGGGAATAAATGACAACCGTGACGTTTTTTATAAAACTCCGATCCATAGATCACTCTGGAAAACACCAGAAAGAAAAAAAAAAGTCCATTCATAAACAAAAAAAATTATTTTTATAGTTCAAGCTTTCTTCTTTACTACAACACTTTTTTTAAAAGAAAAAAAAAAAACATGGAAAAATTACTTCAATGGGCCGTCAACCACACAGACAACAATGCCTTGTCTGAACAAGCTGCTGCTATTCGTCGAGGCGATGTTCAAGTCGATCCCAAACGTTACGATCCTAAAGTACTTGAAGCTATTTTAGGTAAAGACGATGCCACCCGTATGAAAGGTAAATATATAAGAGGGGGGAGGGGGAGGGAAAGCGCGCGTACCTTACCCATGGGTTAACTCTCATGTGTCATTAGATGCTGTCGCATGTATTAGTGATCCCGAAGACACCGTCGAGAACAAGGAAATCGCGCTTGACAACTTGGAAATGTTGATTGAAGGTATCGATAACGCTCGTAACATTCAAAACATGAAGTTATGGCCTGCCATCATTGCACAATTAGAATCAGAGGCTGCTCCTGTACGTAAAGGATGTGCATGGGTCTGTGGTACAGCTGTACAAAATAACCCCGAGGCTCAAAAGGCCTTAATGGACAATGGTGGGTTAAAACCTCTTTTAAACCTTTTACAAGATGACGATAAGTCTGTCCGTAACAAGGCTCAATACGCTATTTCGGGTTTTCTCAAGCATCATAAAGAAGGCGTGGAAGCCTTCAAGGCCTTGGATGGCTTTGACATTTTACATACCATTCTCAAGTCTCCCTTGACAGACCCCGCCATGTTGAGAAAGGTCGTTTTCTTATACAACAGTTTAGTCATTGATGATGAGGATTTAGCCAAGGCGTTTGCTAAGGATGGTACGTTAGATGACTTGATGTATGTCTTGGATAAGTTCACAAAGGATGAAGAGGATGAGGATATGGTCGAGAAGGCTTTGCGTACTATTCATACCATCGTTACCAAGTCAAATACACCCGTCACCGATGTCTTAAAGCAAAGTGTTCAACAAGCCAAGGAGAAATACGGTGCTGAGAATTTGGCTTTAGCTGATTCCGAATGGAAAGACTTGTTATAATAATAGAAAACATCTTTGTAAATATATCTAATAAACACCTTTGAATACAAAATTATGCAGAAAGGTAATATGTAGAAGTGTGGTACTTTTTCGGTACAATGTTTTCCCGGAAGGGTTTAATAAATTACATAAAATAAGCCTCAACTGCTTACCTGCATCATTAAGGAGTCTACCCGACTTTTTGATTGTCACATAAAGCCGTTGTGTTACAAAAAGATTTCCTGAAGGAGAAACGTGTGTTCTCGTCATGTTTTTCTTTTGGCAGCTTTTACTTTCGTGTTGGAGGTGAATACAGAAAATGGAAGAACCGTATGACTATTCTCAACATAAATACTGTATTACTTTAGGTAAGTGGCATATACTTTATATTTTTGGGATACTTACTTCCCGCAGCTTTTGAATATAACGTCATTACGTCTGGCATTGTGGCCATCGACAAGATTGGTAGTAACGAACTTAGTCAGTAAGTCAATGTCGAAATACCACACAATATTTTATTTTATTTTATTTTTTGACAGAGATACTCTTTTTAAAAAAAAAATTAGTGACCAAATAACACACAAGGCTTCATTTTTATATAATATTATCACCGAAAACGTTATAGCCAGAGACGACTTAGTTGATAGAATACTTGAGCATCCAGCAGGGCTACCAAAAAGCGATGTTCATATCCCCAATATTTTTAGCGAGCTCAAGAGAAATTATTCTAATGACTTTAGGCCCAAATCTTATAGAGATGCGGCACGATACGAAACTTTTATCCACGAAGCCATAGAAGTATTACAAAAAATTCCGCGTGAATGGAAAAAAGATAAAAAATGCTTAGATACTGATTTTTATTACGCGGTGATCATCCCTTCAAATTGGGAGTATCAAACAAGAGAAGAATTCTTTCGGCCTCTCTTGATAAAAGCTGGTCTTATTCATAAGGATGACGGTCAGGGCAGATTGATTTTTTTTTCAAAAGTAGAACCACTTTTTCACCATATGCAGGAAAGTCCTGATCTCTTGCGTAATGTAGAAATAAAAGCTGGTGATCAGTTCGTTATTTGTACACTAGATTGTCAAGACACATTTCGTGTGAATCTGGAATTGATATCAGCTCAGTACCCCGTTTTCACAGTGACAGAAAGCAAGTGGGTCCCACAATCATTGAAACAGGTTCGATTTGCGATGCCCCTTGGATTAATGGAATTAAAATCATATGGGAAAGAGCTTTATTATGCCGGAATATTATCGATGATTATTGATCAATCCGATCAAAATTTTGAAAAAAAGATAATCGATGCAGTAAGAAATAGATTGATTCGAATCTGTCAAGATTATTTTTTTTAAAAAAAAGGTTTTATTTTGTAGTCCTCATATACGGATGTTCCATTTGACATTCTTCCTATCAATCCTTACAATTTGGGACGTAGAAAAGTCGATACTACACAAGATACCACTGAATTACTTGATCATGAGCCTAGTTTTATTGATCAAATTTTCAATAATGAAATGGATACATTGCTTCAGGGAACGAGCAACATAAAAACCAGATCCATGGTCATATTTAGTACAAAACAAGCTAGGAGTTGTAGTCATTGGGAACCACTACTCATATTAATTCAAAGTCGGTTAAAGGCGTATCGCGATCAAAAACAGTCCTACACATTAATCTCAAATAGAGAAACCTTTGATTTTCACTCGATTCAATCTTCTGGAATCTTGGACCTAGTAACATACCAAATACAAGTCTTTAACATGCGTAGAGCCCCAGTTATACTACCGAAGGATACAGAATATAGATATTCTAGAAGCTATTCAAGGCCTATTATTTTCATAAATATTGGTAAATAGATTCCATTGTATTCTCTGATGTGTGCTGACCTATTTTTATAATTAACCAGATATTTCCCTTACACAAACAAAAACTACTATTACATACTTGAATGAAGTTAGACAGATTGAACAAAAAAACCTATTTGAATGGTAACTGATATAGGGCAAAACATTACTTTTATGAGAGTACTCAATCTAATTTTTTTCCCGTTGTATAATTTAGCAACATGGAACCATTAGGTAGCTTCATCACCTACTCAAAACAAGATCAAAGGCCAATACTTCACATTAATAACAGGTAAAAAAAAAAAAAAAAAAAAAAAAAAAAAAAAAAAATCTAGAAAGAGCTTTTAATTGTCAATACTAAACTGTTCATTGTTTAGGCTGAAGCTACTTTTAGATAATATTTTTGGTGACTATATTAGCTTATTCTCGACTTCTAACAAACAAAGCATGACGAGAAGAATGTTATTAGGCATAACATCCATATTACTTGATCAAGTTTCACAGGAAATGCATGAGAGTTTTATGAGCTATTTCTATAAAATGAAATCAAGCAAAAACCCTTCTAAGGAGACTAGAAATCTATTTGCTTCCTCAAATCCAAACTTGTTCAAACAGCTCACGGAAAACGTTAAAACGAATGATCTTTTCACATCAACGAATGGTAAATTTTGGGGCGCGGATAACGATTCATTTACGACCTGCCATCCAGGTTATATCTTTTTTTTTGTGGCCACATACCTGCACACCTTGAGCAAGCTGTTAGAAGATAAAATAAAAAATGAAGTAGGAATAAGCTGGCAATTCTGGCGAGGTCGACAAAACTGGCAAGACTATCGGAGCTGGCTATTGTGGCGTAGCAACAATATCTGGTATGGTGTCTCTATTGATAAGAATTTATTGGACACTGTATTCGGCTCAATAAAAAACTTGGAAAAGTTATTCTTTGCCTGTGGAATACTGCAAAAGGACGACAAATTTCTAAGAGCAAAATTCTGCACTCGTGGCGAGGATATACTGCCAGCTATTCAACAGAAGCTAATGGACTTGGAGTTTAAAATAAAGTCTTACTTTGTAGTTGCGCAAGTATTTTCAAAGCATATCCAACTCACTCTCCATCAAGTAGTTGTACTGACATCCTCTAAAAAAGATGCAGCTACCATTATTATTCAGGATGAAATATTATATATAGATGATGTGTACGATAGCCTATGTAAGACGCTTTGGACAAACATACAATCAAATTATCAAGTTAATTATTGCGTCATACACAAATACATACGGAATGTACAATACGATTTATGCTCTTTCCAAGGATATAGCAATATTCGTCAAAATCTGCAGTTGTGCGTTAAAAAACTTGTAGGTTAGACCCAATTGAATGTCTTTCTTTAGTAATTAATCTGTTAATTTAGTTGGAAAGAAACAAAGCAAGCGTGGACATGAATTCCAAAATCCAATTGAACATTAACAGCAAATGTTCTTGCAGTATCGATGTTTTTCTTCGCGACATTATAGAAGTTGGTTTTATGACAGTTATAGAAAATATGGCAACAATCATAGCGGGTTCTTTAACCAACAAAGAGTTATTTGGAAACTATGTAGCAAATTACATTTTCGTGTTTGGAGACCCGTTCAATTTATCTTACGGTTCAATGCTCCACACCACATATGTCATGTTATTGCAAAAAGCGATTGATGACGCTGTACAATTTAAAGAAAAAGATACAATGACATTCGTATTGGGAGAATCGCTTTGCCAACTGCTAGAGCTAGTAACACGCACCAAACCATACATGTTTGAAAAATTTATTACGGGAACTTTGTGCCGAGTATCAAGTGAAACCTTTGCGCTGATGATTCAAAAAAGAGCGACAAGTGATAATGTGTATTCATTTCGGTATTTTCCTTTCTTTCGGATTAACCGTACTGGCGATATTAAAAATATTATAAAGGCGGATGGTAATTACTTCGTATTTATTCAAAAAGGGGAGCCAGTTCCAACAAAAAGCTTTAAAATTCAACATGAGTTAGTTTGCGAGTATTCATCTCTCGGTAAGTTTTTTACCATGATTATTTTTTAACTTTTGTACTAATAGACTATCCATTAACTTGGATATGGATACCATTTTAGTTATTCTTAAGGCAGTAGATAGTTCAGGAGATGTGGTTTCGAAACAGTATTCTGAGTTAGACAAAAATACGGCTGGTACAACGTATCACATTCCTGCCGATTTGGGAAGTGAAGTCTCAAAAATAACGATAGACTGTAAACATTTTAAACATACTTTATCCCTCAAAGTATTAAGGGCGAGTATGAACTCTACTTCTGAGAACTATGGCTTTCCTTTTGACCGTTCCCTAAATTTCATCGACCCATTAACACTCGCTTATATTTAAATAAACTGCGATAACAACATCATACATATGCTACGCGAATGTACGGTACTCTCTTTTTTTTCGTTATTTAAGATAAAAGAGGTGTTTGACTATTAATATATAGAAACACTATCAGATTCATCTCTTCTTGATCATTAAGGCATTGACTTGAAAAAATAATCTCTTCGTCACAAAGATCCAGGTGAGAAATCAATTATTGTTCATGATGTGCATCTAATAGCTGCATTATTTTCTCCTCTTCTTCATTGTCCCTAAGATATATGTCTATTTCTTTATCACTGGGATCAACGCCAATGGTATTTTGTACCCTTTGGTCAACCTTAATTGCTTCCTCATGCTCTCGTTCCTCATCACACATGACATATACACCAGGTGTCGCATCATCGTTGTCTATCGGCTCCAGTATCTCGTCCTCCTTTTCTTCTTCCTCATCTGAAGAAGATGTATCACTGTCCCATTGTATTTCTTCCTTGTCATCCGACACTTGTACCTATCCCTCCTCTTTATTGTTTAAAACTTGTGTATATCCTTCACTTTTCCCTGTGTCCTCTTCTTTCGCGGTTGAATCTTCTTCATCCGTAACCATGGTCTTTCGCCTTTTCGCTAGATATGTAGGGGATTTACCTCTGGTATAGGGATTACGGAATAAATAGCGTTTATCCAACATGACAATACTATCTAAATGCTTCACTCCTTTATCTGCCATTATATGTTTATTAGGTTTTGCAAGCGTTGGGTTTATCGGTCATTTAGTGGCTGTCCTCTTTTCTGAATTTTTAAAAATCTACCTTGATGTGCTGTTCATATCAACGTCATAAACCCGTTTCCAAGGTCTTCAAGCAGAGCGTCCCACAAGTTAAGCTGAGATACGGTGCTGAGAGTTTGGCTTCAGCTGATTCTGAACGGAAAGAATTGTCATAGTAATAGAAAGCATCTTTGTAGATTTATTTAATAAAAACCTTTAAAAACAAAATTATGCAGAAAAGAAATAGAAGTGTATACTTTTTTGGTGAAATATTCTCCCGGAAGAGTGTAAGCAAATAAGTCCTTATTATAAGGAACCCCTTATAATAAGGAGTCTACCCGACTTTTGATTGTTACATAAAGCTGCTGTGTTACTAATGGAAAGACGCCTGTTCCCGTTACATTTATCTTTTGGCAGCTTTCACTTTCGTGTTGGAGAGGAATTAAGAAAATGGAGGAACAGTATGACTATTCTCGACATAAATACTGTATAATTCTAGGTAAGTGGTATATTCTTTATATTTCGGGGTTGCTAACTTCTTGCAGTTTTTGGTTATAACGCCATCGCGTCTGACATTGTAGCCATCAAAAATATAGTTATTGAAAAGGAAGAAGTGTAAGTCAACATCGAAACATCACTATAAACATTAGTTTCTGACAGAGATTGTGTTTATTTTCAAAAAAAAAAAGCAAAAGATCACAATCCAAAAAGACGAATGTAGCCTCACTTTTATATCAAACTACCACCGAAACCGTTATAGCCAGCGGTGAATTAATTGAGGATTCAGAAGGGTTTCCAGAAGGCGTTATTCATATCCCCAATATTTTTAGCGAGCTCAAGAGAAATTATTCCAATGATAGGCCAAACTCTCACACACATGGGGTACGATACAAGAACTTTCTCCAGGAAGCCATAAACGTGTTGCAAGGAATTCCGCGTGAATGGAAAGAAGCTAAAAAATGCTTAGATACTGATTTTTATTACGCGGTTATTATCCCTTCAAATTGGGAGTATGAAACAAGAGAAGAATTCTTTCGCCCTCTCTTGATAAAAGCTGGTCTTATCCATGAGGATGACGGTCAGGGCAGAGTGGTTTTTTTTTCAAACATAGAACCAATTTTCCGCTATATTCAGGAAGATCATGATATCTTAGGTGATGTAGAAATGAAGCTTGGTGATCAGTACGTTATATGCACACTAGATTATCAAGGTACATTTTGTGTGAACCTGGAATTGGTATCGGTTCAATATCATAATTCCACAGTGATAGAAAGCAAGTGGCTTCCACAATCATTAAAACAGGTTCAATTCACGATACCATTTGAATCAAGGGATTTAAGATCACCACTTATAGCGTATCTGGAAAAGCTTTGTGGCAACACAATACCATCGGAAATCATTGAAGCATTGCTTGTTATAGTCAGTGAACTATCCAAAGATCGGAAACTTGACATAGTAAGAGATGGACCGGTTGGAATATGCGAATATTTTTTTTAAAGAAAATGCTTTGTTTTTATAGGTCCCATCCTTTTTTAAGCCGTTTCATCGATTAAAAAATCTATATACTGAACAATACGGTTTGAAAGAAAGCGAAATCGATGATATACAGTCAATAACTAATGTGGATATATATAAAAACGTGAATGGTTTTACTGATAACATTTTCAATTATCAAATGGATATATTGCTTCAGGGAACAAGCAATACAAAAACCAGGTCCATGGTTATCTTCGACACAGAACAAGTCAGAGATCGTTGTTTTTCAGGAATACTGCTCAATTTAATTGAAAGGTGGTCGGAGACATATCGCGAGCAAAAAAAATCGTACGGATTGATTGCAAAAGGTGAAGCTTTCAATTACAGCAGACTTCAATCTTCCGGAATTTTGGACTTAATAGCATACCAAATGCAAGTCTTCAACATACGTAGAGCGCCTGTTATACTGTCTAATAACACAGCAATTGAACATTCTAAAAGGTTTTCAAAGTCTACAATTTTAATCAATATTGGTAAATAGACTCCATTTATTATCTGATGCGTGCTCACCTATTTTTATAACTAACTAGACATGCTGCCCACACAGACCAATACTATTGTTACATATCTGGATGAGAATATGCAGGCCAAGCAGACAAAAACCTTCGATTGGTAATTGTTATAGAGCACAATATAACTTTTACGAAACAATGCAATCTAAGTTTTGTTTCGTTGTATAATTTAGCAACATGAAACCGTTGGATAGCTTCATCACCTACTCAAAATTAGAACATAGGCCAATACTTTATATTAACAACAGGTAACAAGTAGTTCAATGTGCCTTTTAGTATTAATTCTAAATTGTTCATTATTTAGTCTGAAGCTACTTTTAGAAAATATTTTTGGTGACTATCTTAAACTATTCTCAACCTCCAACAGACTAAGCATTACGAGAGAAACACTATGGAGCTCGGTATCTACATTACTAGTTCGAGTTTCACGCAAAATGCCAAAGAGTCTTTTGAGCAATTACTATAGGATAAAATCGAGTGCAAATTGGCGAAAAGAGATCAGAAATGTATTTGTTTCCTCAAATCCTAACTTACATAAAAAGCTCATCAGAAACGTTGAAATGAATGACTTTTTAACCTCTAATGATGAATCTTGTAGTGCGAATATCAATTTATTCACTACCTCTGATCCAGGTTACATTTTTTTTTTTATGATTACATACCTATCTATTTTCAACAAGCTGCTAGAGGATAAATTAGAACATAACGTAGGAAGTAAGTGGAAAAGCAACAGCATCTGGTGTGGTGTCTTCATTGATAAGAGTTTATTGGATATTGTATTCGGCTCAATAAAAAATTTGGAAAAGTCATTCTTTGCTTGTGGAATACTCCAAAAGGGCAACAATCTTCGAAGAGCAAAATTCTGTACTCGTGGCGAGGAGATTTTACCCGCTATTCAACAGAAATTAATAGATCTGGAGTTTAAGATGAAATCTTACTTTGTAGTTGCACAAGTATTTTCAAAACATATTCAACTCACTCTTCATCAAGTTGTCATATTGGCATCCTCTGAAGAAAATGCAGCTACAATTGTTATTCAGGATGACATATTAGATATAGATGATGTATACGATAGCCTATGTAAACCGCTTTGGAAAACTATACAATCAAATACCCAAGTTAATTATTGCGCCATACACAATGACAGATACAATGCACAGCATGATTTATATACTTTCCAAGCATATAGTGATATTAGCCAAAATCTTAAGCTATGCGTTGTTAAACTTGTAAGTTTGAATCAATGACTCACATTTATATATTAACCCATTATGTTGGTAGTTGGAAATGAACAAAGCAAGCGTCGACATGAATTCCAAAATACATTTGAGCATTAGCAATAAATGTACATGTAGTATCAGTGTCTCTCTTCGTGACTGTATAGAGGTAGCCCTTGTGTCAGTCATAGAGAACATGGCAACGGTTATAGCGGCTTCTTTAACCAACAAAAGATTATATGGAAAATATGCAGCAAATTATATTTTTGTGTTTGGAGATCCATTCAATGTATTTTACGGTTCAGTAATCCACACAATATATACCATGTTAATGCAGAAGACAATTGATGACGCCGTACAGTTTAAAGAAAAAGATACAATAACATTTGCATTGGGAGAATCACTTTACCAATTGTTAAAGCCTGTAACACACACCAAACCACATATGTTGGAACATTTTATCACCGGAAAGTTGTGCCGAGTATCAAGCGAAACATATGCGCTGAGGGTTAAAGAATCTCACACAGGGTTGCATATTCCTTTTTCCCGAATTAACCGTAATGGCGATATCAAAAATAATTTATATGAGGATGGTAATTATTTAGTATTTATTCAAAAGGGGAAGCCAGTTTCGACAAGTATCTTTGCAATTCAACTCCAAGAACATATAGACATATTTACTTTAGGTAGGTTTACTATTGTGATTACTCTTTGTTTTTTTGTCTTAATGGATGATTTCTCGATACGATTTTAGATATTATTCAAGCAGCAGATAACTCCGAAGCTGTTGTTACAAAAAAGTATTCTGTGTTAGACAGTAATGCTGATGGCTCAAAATATCGTTTACGTACCAATAAGTACCGTGGTAGTATCTCAACAATAGTGATGGAATGTAAACAAATTAAGTACGATCTATCTCTCAAATTATTAAGGGAGTGTTCAATCCTTTATCATGACAGTCGTAGAATTCCCCTTTACGATTCCCTAAATATCATCGAACCATTAACACTCGCTTATATTTAAATAATAAACAACATAAACTGCTGTAATAATATCATGCTACATATGCGAATGTGTGGTACTCTTGTTTTTTTTTCTTTGTTAAAGAAAAAGAAGGTATATTATTATTACTACATTTAAAAAAAAACTATTCGATTGATTCCATCTTCCTCAATGAATTATTCGCTTGAAGAATGGTCTTCGTCATAAAATTCAAGGTAAGAAATCATTTGTTGTTCATGCTGTGCGTCTAATTGCTGCATTCTTTTTTCATCTTCTTCATCGTCCCTGAGATATGAGTCAATTTCTTCGTCACTGGAATTAACGCCAATGGTATCATGTACACTTTGATCAGCCTCGATTGCGTCCTTATGTTCATGTCGCTCATTACGTATGACATATACACCAGGTATCGCATCATCGTCGTCTATCGGCTCCAACATCTCGTCCTTCTCTTCTTCTTCCTCATCTGAAGAAGATGTATCAATATCCCATTCCATTTCTTCTTCGTCATCCGACACTTGTATATATCCCTTTTCTTTGTCGTCTGACACTTGCGTATATCCCTTTTCTTTGTCGCCTGACACTTGTGTATATCCTTCACCTTCCTCTGTGTCTTCTTCCTCCATGGATGAATCGTATTCTGGGACCATGTTTCGCCGCCTTTTCGCCAGATATGTAGCTGATTTACCTCTGGTATAGGGTTCATGGAAATAATAGCGTTTATCCAACATGGCAAGGATATCTAAATGCTTCAATCGTCTGTCTTCCCTAAAATGTTTCATACGTTTCGCAATCGTCACGTTCATCAGTGATTTAGTGACTGTCTTATTTTCTGAATTCAACAGCTGTGTATGCAGATCTATCATGATGTCCGACACAAAGTTTCTAATGAGTTCGTAAAAATTGATGCTTGTACTTGACAGCACCGTCATATCATTGATCTTGCTAAACCTATAAAGAACAAAGTTTTTAGTTTCGTGTTTGATCCATGTTGTAGAAGTCCAGTGGCATACAGTCGTGTTAGAGAAGACATGTTCCATATCTCCAATAATTGAATTTCGGATCGATCGGTGTATTGTAAATGTTTGCCGTAGGATTCAACTTCCAATGCGTCTTTTATTGATGAAGCCATAGCCTCTTCTTGATCAATATAAAAGGGTGTCATTTCTCGCGCAGATAAATGGTCAATGGGTAAAGGGTCGATGGCTTGCGCAGCTTCCTGTAAGCATTGTTGAAATTCGTAAACTTGAACGGGCGTTTTTGTTGGCCCTACACGTCGAGAAATTTCGGAAATGTTGTTTTTACCACATCGTTCAATGGCTAAAAAGAAGCGTTTCTTTTCGGCCGGTGTCCAGCACGTCTCTCCCAGAACGGAAGCACCGAATTCGGTATCTGCGATTAAGCCGTGATCGTGTTCGTATTCGAGAACAGCAATGGCACGAAAGTATTTCTTCATGCGAGGGGTCATTGTTGGTGAAGGGTTGTTGAGGTATCTTTTTTGAAGCATTGAGCATAAGGTGTTCTTTAAATGTTGTTGCATGGGGTTTATGGTATATTCTACGGGTTCAATGGGAAAGGCTGGGTCCGTCTGCTGTTCCATTTTGGCCACTTTCCATAGACTATCGGTTCTTTTAAAGGCGGTAAAGTTCCTTGCCTTTAACATACGATCAATGGGTATTCGAGTTTTATGACTACGAGTCATCAATTGATATTCTTCTTCCATTCCCAGTTTTTTACGCGACATGATATAATTATAAAGGAAAAGAAGAAAGAAAAAAAGTTTTTGTAGCTTTGGGAATCCCTAAATTAATTTAGGGTTCGTGACTGGCATAAAAATGTCAAGTTTTTTTTTTTTTTTATTTTAATCCGTGTCAAAAGTACAAGTGGTACCATAGGTCTTGCCTCGAATCACGGCTTCTACTCTTAATTCTACTTCACCAAAATACATTTTGATGGATAAATCTACTTTCTCACCTTCCATGACGCCTGTTAAAGCGGGCATGGGGATAGTGAAATTGGCTACTTTGCGTACACCGGGACTGGTGGTGTATCTGGGTTGATCATCGGTATCTGCTGCATATAAAGTACAAGTGGTATGATGAGGGTAATAAGCAAAGAAGTCCTTGGAAACACAGTTATCAATATCGAGGGGTTGTTCTCTTCGGACATAGACCGAGAATCGATTATCACAACGAATACTTCCATCAGCACGAATGATCTTGTAATTGGGTGGATCCACACCTTCTTCAAATGTAGTGGTTGTATCAATACCGTACCAATAACGGGGAATACGTGTAGTGACAATACGAGGATTCAATCCAAAATAAACCGCACCACGTACCACGGCTAATTCACACCGAGGGGGTACTGCGACTAACCCAATGCGGGATCCAAATTCGTTTTGCACTCTATCAAATAAATAATTGGAAGAACCAAAACCGCCCACTAAAAAGACTGCTTGAAGACTACCTGCCTTCACCAGTTGATCCTCAATCAAATTGAGCACTTCCTTCACCACGGGTTCAAATACATCTGCTTTTAATTCGTTGGCGGTCAAACAGAGCATACCTTCCTCTAGACCGATGGCGGGGTTATTTAACGAGCCTAAATTCATTGAAGCAGGTAATGAAATAAACTGGTCTTCAACACCGTCAAACTGAGGTTTGATAAGATCCACAAATGTATCCATCATTGTCTCAAATGCACTGGCAGGAATAGAAGCCAAATATTCCTTGAATTTCTTCTTTAAGAGTTTTCTCATACGACGATCCAAAAAGACACTACCACACGATTGTCCATGTCCCTTGGTAGACTCTCGTAATTTTCGACCACTGTGTTCGTCAATCTCAAACACGATCAAATCCACAGTTCCTCCACCAGCATCACAAATCATGAATTTGTCACCATGTCGCAGATTAAATTGCTCACACTTCTTTTCACAGTATAAAGCAGCAGCTTCGGGTTCAGAAATCAACATCAGTCTATCACGGTGATCATTTTCTCCAATCAAGCCTGCTTTAATGGCTGCATCACGCATCGTATTCTTGGCTCTATCTGACCACATGGCAGGTACAGTTAAACACTAAAAAGCGGGGAATGGGTTGGGTTAGGAGTAACTCTAAAATAAAGAGGGAGTACTTACATATCGAAATTGATGTTGACCGTAATTACGAGCAAACCCCTTCTTTAACTCGCTTACAACATGTTCATGAAAGGCCTTTAAATAATCCGCAATGGCTTCCACAATAGTCAGTCCGTTGGGTAAAGGAGGTAAATCTTTGGCGATATTCTCGTCCAAATAAAGTTTATATTGCTTTAATAAAACTGAGTTACGTGCCGTAGGTCGTTGCATCTCCACACGAGCGGCGTTTCCCCACTGGGTCATTTGACTGGAATTTCCTTGGTAGAAATTTAAGGTAGGTGTCTTAAAAGAGTGTTACAGAAATGATTTATTACTAAATAAATATACATTTATATACCTTGGGATACACATTGTTATTTTGCTTGGGCCTATCATATAAAAAATAAAATTGAGTTATACAAGGGTGGTAGTAAAGTCTTTCTAAGGAAGCTCACCATCTCACAATGTCGACAACTTCGTCATTTTGCACAAAGGCGTAAGCACATCCGGTATAAGTGGTACCTGTTTTCAAAAGTTAGTATATCTCTTGTTTCTTTTTACCCAGAGTGCAAATACCTTACCGAAATCAATGCCCACAATAACAGGGTATTCCGTATCAGACATGTATTAGAAGTAAAGGGAAAAAAAAAAAAAAGAAGCGTAAGAAAAGGATACAAATAAAAAAAGAAGGGGGGAGAGAGAGAGAGAGGAGCGGGGCAAGCGGAAACAGTTTAAATAAACATTTTTTTTTTGTGCTCCGCGCTCAATTTTTATTTAAAAGGAAGAGTCTCGATAGGATGAATTCAAGTTATAAATTTCTTGACATAAAGTAGGCCATGTCACTGTCATTGTACCATGTTGTTTTTGTTCTAGTTGTAGTAGTTCATACATGAATTTCAGATTGGGTTGGATAATCACATTGAGTCGGCGTGCACGTACATACAAGTAGGCTTGAACCAGTGTCAATTGTAGATACTTCATAACATAGCATATCGTGATGGTTGCACTACGACTGACACCTACTCGACAATGCACTAAACAGATAGTACCCTTCTTCCGAGCTTCCTCTAAATCAGAAAATTACACACACGCACCATGAAAAAAAAAAGAATAAAAAATAACAGGATTAAAATTTTATTATCGTGTAACCCAAAATATAAACAATAAATAAACATATTTATTAAAAAGAAGGACTTACCGATAAACTGGAGTACCTCTTCCAATCTTCCTCGGATCGAATCAATGCCATCGTCATAGAGATTATCCAGGAACAACAAATCAAAATCCAACGCATCCAAATCTGCCTTTTCACCTACACTGACAATATGGGTGATATTCAATGCCTTTAGCATCTCTGGATTGGTGGCATGATTTAAGTTACCCAAATATAAAAAGGGTAATACTCTTGAAGGAAAAGAACCTTCAAATCGTGATGAATAGAACCAAGGATGCACTTCTAGTTCTTGCTTGGTAGGCGATAAAGACAATTGCTTATAGATACCTGACTTACCAAGATTGGATATTTTATTCAGATAATCATCCTTGTATAAAACACGATGATCCACTTCAGAGTCAGAATCATCTGAAGAATCCAAATGACTGTCTCCAATCCTCAGATTCTGAATAAATTCATACTGTTCGGATTTTTTGCGCTTGGGTTCAGGTTCGATACATTCTTCTTGACCAAGTATTAAGCACTCAATTCGACGCAAAGTAGGTATATCAGAAGCATACACGAAAAACGATCGCTTCTTTTGGAAATAAAGGTACGCATCAGGTAATGAAATCCTCAAGTGATACATGATCCAAGTCAAACCTAACAAGCTGCTTTCCGTGTATCCATCCGAGCAATGGATCAAGATATTTCGACCTTGACTCGATTGCTCTTGCATAAACTTTAATAAACACAAGAGACGCGTACAAAAAACATCGAATTCAACTTTGGTTTGTGGTACTCCAGTCGCATACATGTCGAAATGAATAACTTCGGTCTGCTTATTCTTCACGTCATTTAACATTTCTCGTGCTAACGTCAGCGTCGACGGTAAGGGCATGTCTGCCAAATCATGCGCTTCAATACAAATCGATATTGCATGTGGATTATCATTTGGATCGTCCGAATCAAAACGCACAGGTGCATCTTGTGTATTGCCTATCCACACATGAGACGTGACTTCGCTCGCTTTACTCATCTCTCTCATCTCTATCTGTTCTAACTCCAAGAAATCTTGACGTGTGACCTGTATTCCCGATGCATCATACATCACAAACTCCTCTTTAAACGCAGAAAAGTCTACAAAAGCTTATTTTTAGTCTAATGGATATCATTTCAACTCTGTATCGCATATAACCTTTACCATCCTCAATCACAATCGTCTTGTAAATAAGATCATTCGCATTCACAAGAGCTCGTTTTCCTGCGGCTCGATAGACCGCGTCCATTTCAATCTGACGCTCAGCATAATTTCGACTCTGTGCACTGGCCATCATTTCAGCTACCGTGTACGCATTCTTTCCATAGCAGACTATATCACAAATACTGGCAAACCGGGCAATTTGGTTTTGAAAATTACGCAGATTTATGCCCGTGTCCCTGTGCGCGGAGAAATGCCCATCGGTCAGGACCTGCGAAGGTAAGACAGACTCCACAAGACGACTACTGGTTTCCGAAGGATTACAATGAACAAGCAAGATGCCACGGTATCTCGGCGCCATGCAGCGACGTACACCGAAAAACAGATTTTGCTGATTCGATAACCCGTCTACACCATGCAACCAAGGAAATAGGATATCGCTGGGTAACTCGGTGCGTTTATAAGCTGCATGGATCTTTTGGAATTGGGCAGCTGTGATGGTGTATAGGTTATTGCAAGTGAAATTTAGTAAGTTGTCTGGTATTTCAAACAATTCTGTTGAGGCCATTGAAAGTGGATAAAAATAAGAAAGTGAAGAAGAGAAAAAAAGATTTTTTTTATTTTACCATTTAAAAAGGCGTTTTTTTTTTTATCACTATTTACACCCCCAGTAATTTAACTCCAATAAAAGACACATGTAAAAAAAAAGTACCACGAATGAGAGAGTTTTGGATTAGAATAGTAACATGATGATTTATTTTCATTTAACCTTAAATCTGGACAGGGTGTACAATGTACTCACGGAACCTATTTTGCACGATCTGCGTGCTTTCAAATATCTTTATAAAAGCTACCCTTGTTCCTTCTCCAAACATGTCTACAATTACAAGAATCCTTTATCCTTTATATCAAAAATGATAAAAAGAGAAACATATAACAAATAGGCGATCATGTATGTCTGAAAAATTTAGTGCGCATCAAGCAAAGTCTCCTGAATATAGAGTTATTGCGCAAATCGAAAGAAATTGTCACAAGCCAATAAAGAAAAAAAAAAGAACTAAAGGCCTCGATAGCAATTCTTGATTTGACAAATAATAGCCATAAAAGAATTGGCGAACATGCAGTTTTCATAGTACCCTAATAAAAAAGAGTATTGACACACTCCCCGTTGGTGGTATTCAAACTGCAAACCTAAACCATTTAGAATACCAAAAACATGATAAATCCGTTAGTTTGACATTTTATATACACTAGCTCCCAATTGCTACTATATTCGCAAGTGAGTTTAGTAAAGAAATTAAAGTCAATGCGACTCTTTTAATCTCACTGCATGTTTATTTGATGTCATACCCCATTTTTCCGACTTATGAAACAACGGGTTGAATTAAAACTATGGGATTATCTGTAACATTTGACGTGGTATGATAACTAAAATGACATTCTTTCGCAAAAAAAATATTAACAAGTTTGAATAGAAGGATCTATTCAGAAGTTCACAAAGACAATCATGCCAAAACATATAATCCAATTTTTTATAAATGTTGAAGCTTATCATCTTTCCTAAGAGCTGGTAGCGTTCTATTTTAAAAACGTTGCTTGCGGTAGCTGTCCTCTTTTGCTCATAATAGATTTGATTCAAGTATACTAAAAAATGTGTCCCTCCATGCCTTCTTTGCATAAGTTCAATCAATGTCCATGGTTTTTTATACCAGATTCAAAGGTCTCGGTTGTGAATTTAGTGTATCAATGTAGATAAGTTTGTTTTGCAGAAATAGCGTATATTATATGAAGTTGTAAATTATGAGACATACTATATGCAATTGCCAAGTTACAAGTTCAGACAATTTAAAAATAGCTCAACCATAATTTTTTTCGTATTATTCGTGGTAAAAGTACAAACATATAATTGTGGCAACTTGTAGACCTGGCAAAATATTTTTGACATGTCTACTGTCTTTGCATACGTAAATATGATGATTTTGACGATCAGTATATAAAAATTAATGAACTGACAGCTCACTTGTCTAATAGCCAAAAAATTAAATAAATGACTAGCTAAATTGATCTGACATACTTTGAATAATACGTTCATAATACAATACTCTCCGTTACTAAAATATTAAACAGATTCGAATTTGTAATGAATAAAATGCCTTGAAATATTACTAAAATAGACGCAAGGACCCAGTTGAAACTCCGGTTTTCGAGGGAAAAATAACAAAAAAAAAAATTGGAGTAGCTGGGCGTCGATCCCAGTGCCTCTCACATGCTAAGCGAGCGCTCTACCATTTGAGCTACAACCCCTTTTTTGATGATTTTTGGGTCTAAAAAAGCAGCCATATACCAACAGGTAAAAATTTGCAAATTGAAATACGTTTTTAGAGGCTTTTTAACGCTTTTACAAACTTTTTCCACCTATTTAAAAGCTTTTTGAACCATTAGAAAAAAAGTAATTTTGTAACTCAATTTAAATTGAATTGGGTTTTATAACATGTTTTCAAATTTTACCTGCAAATGGGGGTGTTAATTCTGAACATAATTAAAAAAAAGAAAATGTATTTATCACAAATATTGGTGGATATATCATTGTTTTAAATTTGTCAAAAAAAAATACAAATTTTGAGGTGCATCTAGCAATGTTTATATCTAAAAACTAAATTTTAGCATAGCATGAGATTTCATACTCCGTTTTTTTTTAAAAAAAACTCTTTATATTATTTGTAACATCACAATCGCCCGCTTTTTACTTATTAACAGACATAAATGGGCACGCTTTATATATTTTACGTAAGTAGTGAAATAGATGTAGAGTATTGGTGTCGAGGATACCACACAATTGGATGACAGTAGTCAGAGAACCCCTAAATGGGAAATATTTTATATAATCACACTCTGCGATCTGTTATTTTGTGTTACTGTTTATCAATTTTTTTGTTTGTTTAGATTTATATATCTCGATCAACTTTATCTCGTTTTATATTTTCTGTAAAAGACCATCTGAGAAGCCGGCTTTTTTGAACACGAAACATTCAGGCTGAATTAAAAATTGTTCATCCATTGATAGCAAACTTTTTAACAGTGGCTTCGCAACAAAGGATATAGAGATATGACTTCTTTCTGGTAAAAGTACCCGATCTCTCAATTTAATTAGGTTCTTAGGGAAAACATTGATATATAAAATCATCTACTGTAAAGTATTGCTAGCTTAAATAAGAATAATGTAAAAATGACGGCAGTCAACTTGAGTAAGCTTTTTTTTTTGTGTGTTGCCTATTTTATTAAAAATGTCTTTTCTCTGTACAGGATATTGTGAGTAAAAATACTAAACACTTATACACCCATTGAAATTAGTTCAATTATATTTTTGAGTTGATACTGCATCTGTATTTTTTTTTTTGTGTTGGATCGAATAAGATAAGCCTTGGGAAAAAAATTTTACGTAATACTCTTTCAGACTTAACAGTCGTTGAATGCTTCATTCTTGAACTATTGTTTGTTATAATTAAGAACTGGTATTCTGTGGATCCCAATGTCATCTTTTAATTACACACAACGAATAAAATCAGTATTCAACTTTTTTATATCAAAACTAATTGGTCTTCCAGGAGTGTCACCTTTTTTTTTCCTTAACCAAGTTTACCGCCTGATTTTAGTGTTTTTACGCGTTGCAAAATGATACACTAAATTGTAAGCCTTATCCATGGAGAGGAAGGGGGATATTCGGCACAGACATAGTAGTGTGATCAAATAAAGACGCGTTTATATATTGTTTATACATCTTTACAGGAATTATGCAGGTATTTATGTAGATTATTTATTCTTTACAATAATTTTTATTATTATTAATTATTGAATAACTGAACCAGTAATAGCCTTGCTTCTTTTAAGGCCTTTATTTTGTGAGCAATAATGGCTTTCCATGTAAATTAGCAATGATTTAATTTTTTATAATCAAACTTAAAATAATGTTGGAGGGAGATGAATAGTGTTGGATAAATAAAATATGTAGTGAGTTGTTAAACTTTTAGTTAGCAGGACAGCAAATTTTTACTGATTAATATTAGTATCTATTGAACAGACAGGGTTCCGATATAATAATATGATATTATGTCCAAACTCATAGAAAGATGTCACATCGTCTTGAGTAATTTTCACATACGTTAGGCTGTTGACCATAAGCGGCTAGTAATTTCCGGTAGACTGACTGATATAAATTAAAGAAAAATCAAAGAAATAAGAATATCTTATCTAAGACAATAGGTGTTACCAGATATGGCATGAAAGCAGAGAAAAAGCAAACTCCTTTATTACATCACTTTTTTTTTTTTAAATTTTTTTTTTTTACAAATTAATAACAGATGTGAAAATCCTCGTCATTATCTTCTTCTGTCGCGTATAGATCGACGTCTTTCATTTTGATTATTCTAAGAGTCCCAGTTCGAATAGCGTCTTCAAAGATGTTTAATTCAGAAGGATTGAAATCGTCAATCCTTTTTGAAATGGGTATATTATTTGGCCAACCTATTAATTTTAGTTGGCGATATCCTCTTTCAGAAATAATGGCCTTCCAAGGAAATCCTTCAGATCCAGGAAAATCAGTAAACATGCCTGAAATAGTTTTATCGTTTTTAGTGACCCATATTTTTTTTTCTTTTTCTAATAGTTTCATACTCAATTGCCTTTTAAGTTCGTCCCTGATCATTTTTTTTCGTTTTTGCCGTTTATTGACTGGTTTATCGGACCGCTTTACCGATTCTTTGTAACATATTTTAATACATTTGAACATTCTATCTGTTGGATTTTTTTTTTACCTGGAGCAACCTTGTTCTTGCTTTTCCTCGGAATTTCGATTGGTGCATTATCATCTGGCTCGGTTTTTCCAGATAATATTTTTAGTGTTCTCACTTGATCCCTATCCAACTTATGATATCTTCTAGCCATAGCTTGTTTATCTGAGGTATCAACTATTTTTAGAAAAAAAAAAAGGTCTGCATTTCAATACAGCATATTTTGTGAAACCGATTTAAGAAAAGCTTACCGCCAAAGTCTTCTTGCTGTCTCAGATAGACACCCCAAAGATCATTGACATCATTGATACTTAAAGGAGAGCACTGATCCCTCCTGTTACGTCTGCTGGTCCGTGTGCTCGATCTTTTCATACTGATAGGCGCCACAGTATCCAGGGCTCCTGAAATGGTGACTATAGGCTTTTTCTTAATAGGGTTGATCTGGTTTATAAAAGGTGCATAATTTTGAGTGTGAGAGTTTGGCAATGGGTAAGTTTGAATGAGGCTCGAAAGAGATTCCAGTTCGACGTGTGGGTCGGCTGTCAAGCCTATTAAAGGCGCAAGTTTAATACTATTCATAAGCCCTTTTTTTCCCGGGTTTGCAAGTGAAAAATAGAAATATGAACCAATTGAGATATTAAAGAATTGAAACCAAATCCAAAAAAGGTTGATGATAGAACAAAAAAAAAAAAAAGAAAGCTTCCAGTTACAACCTTATTTAAACAAGTTGATTTTACGCCCAGAGTGACGCGGGGAAAAGGAAATTCAACTTGATACACTACTCCGTGACGGCTTGCATGTCCAAAAGAAGAAACTGCTTTTTTTTTTTTTCTTTTCCAAAACTCTATTACTGCAAAAACCATGTCTTCTATTGTATCAGTCAGAGATCCCAACGACACCTGTCAAGAGATTGTTTCCCGTATCTATTTGGGAAGCTGTGATGCTTTTAACAAGGAGTTTATTACCCAAAAAAAGATCACTCACGTTCTCTCCATTGGTGACTTTAACAATGAGTTGGATCTTAATGTTGAATATAAGGTAAGATCCGAAGATCCGATCCCGAAACAGATATGTGAGATCTAACCATGTTGTAAATAGAATATTAACGTTATGGATGTGGACAACGAGAATCTTATTCAATATTTTGATGAAACCAACGACTTTATCCAACAAACCTACAAGGCCGGTGGCAAGATTCTTATCTACTGTCAAGCCGGTGTATCTCGTAGTGCTACCGTATTAGCAGCCTGTTTGATGAAATCCAAAAAGATCAAGCGTGATGAAGCCCTTGAAATCATTAAGCGCAAGCGTGCCTGTATTGCACCCAACGACGGTTTCATGGAGCAGTTGAACCTTTATTATGACCTTAACTTTGACGTTGATATGGCTCATATGGAATATAGACGTTTCTTGGTTGCTACTATGGCTGAGGATCAAAAGAGTAAGTCTTGATTAATAGCGATGTGTGGTAAAACTTTTTTACTAATTTTGTTTTAACAGCTTATGGTTATATTGAAAATATTACTCTTGCTGCCGATCCTGAATATACACCATTGACAGAAGCCAGTACCGAAAAGAGCTTTAAAGCTTTAAGATGCAGAAAATGTAGACGTATGTTGGTTGGTTCTGAAAATGTGATTGATCACGAATCGGGAGAAGGACAAATGTCATTCTCGTACCACAAGCGTAACTCAGATATCAACATGACTACCAATGCCAGTACTCAAGAAGGATCTGATGTCAGCAACCAATTAGCAACATTAAATGCCTCTTTAAATCCCTTATTGGCCGCCTTGGCATCTAAAAACAACACTTGTTCTTCCTATTTCATTGAACCTATGCAATGGCTCGATGGCTTAATTGATGGTGTACAAGGTCGTATTGATTGCCCCAAATGTCAATGTAAGTTGGGTTCTTATAACTGGTCTGGTGATCAATGTTCTTGTGGTCGTTGGATCACACCCACATTCATGGTGCATCGTAATAAGGTCGATGAAGTGAAAAATATCGCACCACGTAAATAAGTCAAGATATAATCCCCCCCCCCCCTTTTTTTTTTCTTTAGACGGTTATCTTGTCAAAAACCCAAATTCATAGATATCCAAGTTGTATAAATTCGAAACTGCTCAATATTAAAGATTATTTAATTAAATTTTATCTCAATACTTTTTATACATATGTGTGTGGTATTCATGCTTATTAGACATGAGTACGTGAATGTTGGGTCTCCTCGAATTTGCAACTGTCAAAAAAAACCAGCATAAAAAAAATAAACTTTTTTTCATTCTCAGGCATTTCTCTGTTTGTCATTGGTCAGCATTTAATAGGCGTCCCTATTTTGAAGGACGTACCTCCTTTTTCCTTTTCTCGGGAACAGCAGACTGTTTCCTCGTTATCTTTTCGTCCTTTAATTTTTTTTACTCGAGCAGAAAAAAAAAAAGATAAAATGTCAAACATTGATCCTAATTCTGCAGTATACGCAACCGATGAGTATGGTAGACCTTTCATCATTGTCCGTGAAGGACAAGTTAAGTCAAGATTAAGCGGTATCGCCGCTATTAGAGTAAGCATTGAGATCGTCACTTTCATTCGATCATATTTTAAACGCGCGTCCCCCTTCCTTTTTTTTGT